TGCGAATCTCCAAGCTAATGGCTCGCAGTATAATGCTCCCGTCTCCAGCATTCTTCCTGATCGACCAGGTTACAACACCCAGGGCAAGGCTATCAGTATTCGGGTCAACCAATTCAAAATCCTCGATGCTCCGAGAACAGATATCTACCAGTACGATGTAAGTACTGAAATCTCTTCATGACTCACTTTCAGATACTAATGAGCAATGCAGGTATTGATCGGTAAGGGTGATGCGAAGCCGGGACTAGTCAAGAAAGTCTGGCAATCTGCAGCTGTTCAGAAAGAATTGGCAAAGCATGGCGAGATGTGGCTCTGGGATGGTAACAAGATTGCTTGGTAAGTGATTTCTTTTTCAATTAAAATCTCACATTTTCCAATTTCCTGACATCTTTTAGGTGCTCGAGACCATTGGCTCGTGGTGAAGTTCGCATTGCTATTGATCTCGATATCGAGAATGGTAAACCAGGTGGTGACCCTGACAGAATGATTTACTGCCATATCAAGCAGACAACCATCATTAGAATGGCTTCTTTGCGCGCCTATCTCAATAAGCAATGTGATTTCGATAACACCGTTCTATGCGCTATCAGTAAGTCTATTTGTTGCAACTCGTAATGAATTAACTAACTCACATTTCAGACTTCCTTGACCACATGATTCGTCAATGGCCCAGTGAGAGATACACAGTTCAAAAGCGCAGCTTCTTTGCTCGCGGACAAAATCGTTCCCCTTTGGATATCACTATTGAAGCCATGAAGGGCGTTTACCAATCAATCCGCCTTTGCAACCATGTCACTGAGGGTAGTGCTATTCGTGGTCTTGCAGTCAATGTTGATGTTGCAAATGGCACATTCTGGACTTCACAAGATGTGATGCAGGCTGCTCGTAACTTGTGCAGTGCTAAAAATAGAGCTCTGAACTATGACGTCTTTCGCAAGGACCTCATGCCACGTCAGTCCAACAGAGAGGGTGGTAGACTTGAGAAGTCTGCAGAATTCTTGACTCTCGAAAAGATGAAGAAATTGAAGTTTCATCTCAAACATCATGGCAAGGAACAAGGTATGTATTTTCCTCGAAATAATTATTGTCGCTAACATTTGATTCAGATACAAAGGTTTATACCATCAAGAAGTTTACTTTTTCTCACGACCCCAAGTATGCCAACACGGGTGTCAACGCAAAAAATTACTTTTTTGCCCAAAAGGACACAGGCAAGCAGATGTCTGTGTATGACTACTTTAAGACCAAGTACAACATCCTTCTGAAGTTTTGGTGGGCCCCCTTGATCGAAACAGAAAGAGCCGGCTTCTTCCCGATGGAGGTTTGTACATTAATACCAAATCAAAAGTACCAGTACAAGCTTGACCCGAGCCAAACTGCATCAATGATCAAGTTTGCCGTTACCAGGCCCAAGGTCCGAATACAGTCTATTGGGCACGGCCTAGGTATGTTGAAATGGCAAGAAGACCCGTATCTCGCCCATTTTGGTTGCAAAATCGATCAAAATATGACCATGGTAAGTTATCCTTCCACATGTTTCCCCTTGATATATATTTACTTAAGATTTCTCAGACTCAAGCCCGACTTCTCCAGAATCCTGTTGTTCAATTCGACAGGGCTACTGTTGATCCCAAGACCTTTGGTCGTTGGGATCTACGTGGCAAAAAGTTTCTTTACCCCAATCCAGAACCACTAAATTCCTGGGCTGTTGTCATTGTCGGTGGTTGCATCCAAGTACCTGCTGTGAAGAACTTCTTACAGGTTTTTATTCAGACCTATATTGGTCATGGTGGTAAAGTTACTAACAAGACCCCTCCCATCCTTCAGTGCGCGCCTGAAGTAGATAAAGTTGCTGTGGGCGTTCAAGATGCTCGCAAGGCTGCTGGTCAACAAAGCAAGCAAACACCCCAAATCCTTTTCTTCATTATGCCAGATCGAAATTCGTTCCTGTACGAACGTTTGAAGAAGAATAACGAATGTCGTTTCGGTATGATGTCGCAAAGTAAGTGGTGACAATCCCTTCTTAGAAGTCTTAACTAATCAAATATAGTGATGAATATTGCCCATGTTCTCAAAGCGCAACCTCAGTACTGCTCAAACGTTTGCATGAAAGTCAATGCCAAGTTGGGCGGAACAACTTGCAAAGTTGCTGATGTGAAGCCACTAAAGCCATTTTTTCCGCGACCAACCATGGTCATTGGTGCAGATGTCTCCCACGCCTCACCAGGCTCACCACAATCATCTATGGCTTGCTTGACAATGTCAATGGACTCAACTGCTTGTAGATATGCTGCTGCAGTTCAGACAAATGGCAACCGTGTCGAAATGATTTCGAAGGACAACATCAACTCCATGTTCATTCCTTTGTTCAAACAATGGATGGCGAAGGTTGGCAAGGGATCGGGACCTCAACACATTTATTACTTTAGAGACGGTGTTTCTGAAGGTCAATTTGAACATGTGATCAACCAAGAGATCAAAGACATGAAGGCTGCTCTGGAGAACGCATTTGGCCAGCTTGCTACAACTGTAAGTGATTCAGGTTTTCAACTCTCCTCATCCTTTTAACTAATTATTCTCAGATTCGTTGGACAGTTACTGTGTGCACTAAGCGTCACCATCTAAGATTCTTTCCAAAAGATAATGATATGGCATCTAGTGATAAGAATGGGAACGCACTTCCGGGAACTTTAGTGGAGCGTGATATTACTCATCCATTTGAGTATGACTTTTACTTGTGCTCACACTCTGCCATTCAGGGTACTGCTCGTCCTGTTCACTACCAAGTCATTATGGATGAAGCCCAGGTCCCAGTCAATGATTTCCAAAGAATGGTATACCAACATTGTTACCAGTACATGCGCTCTACCACCCCAGTCTCCCTATGTAAGTTTCTCAAAGTTTCACCTTCTTCCTTCATACTAACTTGGTTTTAGATCCTGCCGTTTACTATGCACACTTGGCTTCTAACCGTGCTCGTGCACATGAGGCTCAAGGTTATAGTTCAGGACCTCGTGGTGGGGAAAAATTCCTGGAGAAACAAGCCGCTGCAGCAGCTGACAGAATCGCTGGCCGCGCACCCCCAGAATCCAGTCAAACGGGTTCAAGCAACTTAGTTGAGAACGTGCCACTGCTTCCTTTAGGAACTTTAAATGATCAAGACAAGGTTTACGGCAACGACCTCGCGAAGATTCGCACCGGTATGTGGTACATTTAAGTGCCTTCATATCATAATCCTCCTCATGATCTCTGACCCTTGTCCTTGATCTTAACACCTTTTTACTTCTATATTTTGTTTTATTACAATATTTTGATCCTCGGATCCCTGATCTTACGATTTCTCAATCTTTCTCTGCTTGCTAGTGGCTATTGCGACTGGTGTATGAGAGATTTGGGGATAGGACTTGTAATTTCACTTCTCAGGGCTTTGAAATCATCTCGGAATATTTTTCAGGGGCTTAGGTTTCAAGCTTCCTCTTTTTATTTGTGCACATGGGTGCGGGAAAGTGGTTATGGACTTGATGATGGAAATGGTTTTAACGATTAACGAAAGGTTCTAGCGGTGGGATAGTGGCAGCATTGGTTTCTTCCTCTTTTCATTTTAGTGTGGCTTGTGGTCGATGTCATTGATTGAGAAGATATGGATGGAATTTGATAATCTTGAGGTTGTAGTCAACTAGACTTTGAGGAAATGAAAAATTGCGATTGAATTTAACTTTGGGGTTTCATAAGAAATACTGTGAAATAGATAGTCGAGATATGTACGTCCCGAAAGCAGATGATGAGCGGAATAGGGCAGGGAATTGATTAGATTAGATTTAGATTATAAATGCTTCAAATAAAGCAATGAATAAAATTTGTTGTGCTCAGTAGTAGCTAGGTAGCCATACACAAAAAAATTAATGGAAATCGATTGAATATCATAAAGGAAAGAGATGGAGATTTCTCCTTATATTTAAATTTGAAGGACTATATGATTAAATTACATGTACATGTAGGGTATCCTTTGATGATCTTGGCATCGTTTTGTTTTCTTTTCTTTGGTTCCTGTCCATCGTTCTTGAGGGAAATTAGATATAAGATATGAGATATGAAATATGAAATATGAAATATGAAATATGAAATATGAAATATGAAATATGAAATATGAAATATGAAATATGAAATATGAAATATTTAATATTTGATGCAGCAATTCAGAGAGGAGATGGATGTACGATTTTACAATGGTTTAAAATATATGAAGCGTTAGGAATAGTAGGGTTTTGTTTTTGTTGGATATGTATGTATATGTGTATTTTATGTATGCTATGGTATGTGTATAGGGAAGGGTGTCACGATTCACCATCACGTGGGACAAGTAGGGATCACGTGATGGAGCCTCCAGGAGCATAGGCTCCTCAAGGCTCCTTGAAAGGACCAGTATATAAACATTCATTATTTTCATAGTACAGGAGCTTCGTGCTCAACTTAGTTATCAATTAGTTTACCTACATTCTACTTGATCTAGTAACGAATTCACTTTCAAGTGAATACCAGTGATAAAGCCTTAACCCATAACTACCAACCGACGAACCTTAGGCAGTCGCTGCCCCCAGTACAGTATCGTTACAAAGGGGTAGATGTTTATTGTGTATCTATGTGTTACACATATGTATATTGAAGGGAGGGGTGGAGGGATAGAGGGGTAGTTGGGATTTGAGAGTTGAGAGTTGAGAGTTGGGGTTTTTGAGTGGTGCTTGGGGGGATGGTATGGCGTGGTGTATATTGAAGGGTGGGTGATGAATATAGCTAGTGCATAATTAATTATATAAATACCTAATAAGTACCTAAATAAGATTATACACTACATCTATATCTAGAGCATTATATATTTGGAGTTTACTTGTATTATTATGTATATATATATATATATTTATTATTTGTTACACTGTGTCATTGTGATAGTATAGTTGATTGGGTATATGGTATATATATGTGGATTCGCGCTGTGGAAATATCGGGTATATACTAGAGTAGGTAGGTGGCTAGGAGTTGAGGGAATGGTGGTGATTATGGAAATGGGGGGATGGTGAAGATGGATGGTCTTGATGTTTGAATTTGATGTGATGATGTTGGGTAATAGGTCATTGAATGCTACTATGTATGTCCAGTCTAAAACAGAAACTTGTGCACAATTGCAATTGCAAGATGATGGGAAAATATGGATTTAGTAGGATCTTATGAATAATTGTCGAGATGATGGTGGGAATACTGATATAGCTGAAATTATGATCACTTCTTTGGATTATTGATGTCTACATCTTCGTCTATGTCTAGTGATGAAGAGTGTGGAAGAATGGAGATGGAGAGAAAGGGAGGGCGGTGAGAAGGATAGAGGTCTAGGGGATGCCGGGACGAAGGCAAGGTATTTGGTAGATTTGATACACGTGCAGTCAATGAATCTTGGAGATGCGAGATGGTTATGGTAAAGGGAGGAGTGGTTAATCAGGACTGGTGGACTTTCCCAGATGTATGATTTGAAGGTTGTGAGATGCAGGGAAATGAATGAATATTGTGGTAAAATGTATCGAGATATTATTTTGGCTTTGGGTAACTGTAACCTTCTTTGCCTTCATACAACTTCGTATAGAAATAATAAATAAATTACCAATAAATATTTCATAAGAATGAAAGGAAAAGATTATACGGCTGTCAACCTCATTCTCGATCTCAACCTTGAGTTCAACATCTCTTAGCAAGTATTGGTTTTCTATTCCCCTTTCCATTATCATTTTTATGTCATTTTCCATATGTACACTTCATCCAGTCACATGAAATCTTGTCGAATCTTCAACATGCAGCTTGCAACCAATTGAATGTTTCTTTACTACACCTACCGACGAAAAGAAATCATTTATCCTAATGATGATGATGTTAACCATCTCATGGATAAATGAATGAATATGAATCTGGGTTGAGGTTTGAGGGATAGTCTGTATGTAGGTACCTAGGTAGTACATATTGATTTCTTACATATATCAGATGAGATGTGGTTGTCTGGTGGTCTTAATTAGTTACCCAAGGTTAATTGATTTACTGTTGATTCTTGCAGACGTTTTTTTATCCTGGTGGTGTTCTGCATCTATCGAATGACAATGATGAGAAGGATGAAATCAAGAACAACGTCGGCGATATCCAAATGCTGACATCTCACAAATACTCACCATCTACTCCGTACCTACTAGGTATTTCTCTAATTCTATACATAGCCAAGAGGAGAGAAAGGAAAGAAAAAAGAAAAAGATCCAGCCAAAGCTCCTCCAATTGATGACAATTCCAATCGACCCACCCACCTTCATCTCACAGACCATTTTATTGTCCGCACATCATTTACTTTTACCCCTGGCTTGACATTTCAATTCTCACCATTCATTGGTTCAAATCCTCTAGGATATGGGTATTTTACCTTTTATCAAATCAATTGTTTTTATCTTCCCCGGAGAACCAGGTTACTTAGTATCTTAGTACCGACTTGGTACCTACTGTCCCTAGTCGTCCCACCCAGTTTGATTCAGATTAACCTTTATTTTCATTTTTCAGGTCTCATTGATTCGGGAACGGATACCCAATCCCATATTCAGATTCAGATTCAGGTCAAAACAGTTCACTTCACTTCAGATCTGGATACGATAACTTCAATAACTACCTTGCACAACAGGAGGAAGTGCCCGTGTACCCGTCTATTTTAATTACATCATACCCGTATGGAGATGGCCTGAGTTTATAACTTGGCTCAACATATCGCACAACAGAATAGAACCGTCTTGGCCATCTGCTTTGGTCGAGGAGGGCTTGGGTGTAAGGTTACGGACTTTGGATTGTTGAGTTGTGCCACTCTTTTTTGTCCTTCTCTACCTAGGTACATATAGGTCTTCGTCTTACAAATGGATCGACGACTTTGTTTATCGTGAGAAGAGGAGGAACACATATCCGAATTCGAATCGCGGAGAGAAGACACTCATAAACGAAACATCCCCAAAGCAAACCGTCCACTAGATAGACGATAGAATTGGAGTTGCAAAAGACGCGGGATCTATTGTATGATATTTATTAATATATTACCGTCTGTGCGGAATTTCTTCTTTCGACCGGAGGATAAATTGGCTTTTCGGAAGTTATTTTAAAGCAAAGGTTATACCAATTCGGTATCAATTGTTTTGAATCAATTGGCTTGAGCCTTTTGCGCAAGTGAGAAAAAGGAAAGAAAGGAGAAGAGATATCGAGAAACGTGAGTGAATGTGGGAAAAAGGCAGGAAGTTTGGACGAATACAACACACAGACGAACGGAAGAACGAGCGGGTGGACATTGAACATTGAACATTGAACGAATAGCAGATCCAACTCTTTGCGACAATTGATTTTGGTTTCGAGCCCAAGTTTCAATTTCACTCATACCATATCTCAAACACAATCTCAAACAGCTCAATTCGCCTTTAAAACCCCGTCAATTTCCCATCCTCAATCTCCAACCAAATCCCTCTCTCCTGTCTCTGCGAAAACAACACTGCATCATCCAAAATGTCATCGACTTCATACGACTCCAATCGCATAACCATAACCATACTAGGTGATGGTGGCGTCGGTAAATCCGCCCTAACATTACGGCTAGTAAAGTCTCAATGGACATCCGATTACGACCCTACAATCGAAGATTCTTATACTCTCACCCGACGTATCGATGGACAAACATATCATCTCTCGATAACGGATACCGCAGGTCAAGAAGAATATCGTGGAATGTGGCAGAGTGCCAATGGAAGTATGAGAAGTGATGCCTTCCTACTGGTATATGATATTACGCGAAGAGAAAGTTTAGATGCGCTAGAGTGGTTTGACGAATTAATTAGTATGGAGGGGGAAGTTAGGGGAGAAGAATGGAGAAGGGCGCAGGTTGAATCTTCACACTCAAGATCTCGTTCCAAGTCGAAAAAGTTTCAGAATTCAAATGTAAATCCTATGTCGGGATATGGATACGGATATATACCTCCGATCAAAATCGTGGCGGGAAATAAGTGTGATTTACAACAATCGCGAGAGGTGACGGCATCACAAGGCTTAGAATGGGCTAGGGCGAGAAATTGTGGGTTTATGGAGACGAGTGCGAGGAGCATTGTTAATATTGAGGAGACTTTCGCATTGATTGTTAGACGGGTTGTGGAGGGGAGGAGGAGAGCTGAAATGGATAGAGAGATTATGGATAGGAGGGAATTCGGGGATGACACAACATATGGGATTAGTGTGGATGGGGAAGAAGGGGATGAATTGGATAGGCAGAGGAAGGAATTGGGAACGAGGAGAGCGATGACGAAACCATTGACACCATTACCGCCGGGAAGTCTCGATGGGGAGAATGAAAAGAGGAGGCCTATGAAGTGGAGATTTATGAAAAAGGGGAAATGGAGAGCTATTGGAAGAAGGTTATCTTGTTGGAATTAATTTGGTGTGGTACTCATTCGATGGGGTGAGAGGGGGATGAGATTGAAAAAGGAAGATGGCCAAAAAGAAGGAATGAGACGAGATGACAGAAGATGAGAACTTACGACATATTTTTAATGACTTTCATAACCTACGGGTAGTGATTTTGCTTACTAGCTTGCTTGCGTGCTGGATATCCATTTGTATTTATATTTGGGAAGGATGGAAGGAAGGGAGCGAGGGAATGGGATGGCTGGTTCGTTGGATGGAATGGGTGGTTGGAAGGGATGGAATGAGATGGAATGGATCGGAACTGAAATGGGTTTGATTAGGTTGGGTTTGATTGGGTTGTCAATTTGGGCAAAGCATTTGAATGGATGTATAGGAATGATATCGGTTGGTGTAAAGGGAGGAGAAAGGGAAAAGAGGAAACGGGAAGGAGATCATTTCATATTTCATACTATGTATACGGAGGAACTTACTAGGTTGGTTGGTCAGTCGACTAGCTAAATATACTCGAGCAGAGTAGAGTAGAGTACAATATTAATATCATTATTTTTATTTTTATTCTCATTCTCATCCTCATCCTCTATATACCTATACCTATCCATCTACTCGAGTATCTACATATCCACCCACTCACCTACCTACCAACCAACCAATCTACCTACCAATCAAGATAACCCATACCATAGTAACATTATAAAATCATAAGAACAGAAGTTAAATAACCTTAGAAGTAAAACATTCATGATAAATATAATAAATGTACCTAAAAGTAAACCTTAAACCTTGAACATCAAAATATCAATATTTCAATAGGGTATATATATAATCGTGTAAGAAGATGAGAAGTTGAGGAATAGGAGAAGTTGAAGAAGAGGAGGAGGAAGATGGGATGGGTAGAATCTTGATTTGATTTGATAAGATCTCTAATAACCTTGGAAGTGTTTGTTGGGTATGAATTATTTTCATTTCATATTATTAATTTCATATTATATCTTGTGTCCCTACCTGCTGTGCTGTTCTTTGTGCTGTGCTTAGCTTAGCTTATTAGCTTAGCTTATCTGCTACTCTGCTACCCTGCTATATCTCGTTTGGTTTGGTTTGTGAGGAGATGAAATGATATTCCTCTTTCCTTTCCTTCTTCCCCTTCCTATCCTGTACTTCTGTATTTTTGTTCATGGCAGTATCAAGATCACGCACCCCCATCCCCAACTCCCCAACCACTTCTATCTCCCAGTACATCATAGAACCACTAATACCCTCTAACTAACTACCCCCATTCTTCTCATCCAACATCTTCACCCAATTCCTCCACTCATTATATTCCTTCCAACTAACACTTTCCTTTCTCCCTTGATACCTAACCACAGTCAATTGACCCACTTCTCTCCATTTCTCCCTCCTACCTCCCCACCCAGCCTTTCTCATCGCACTCACTACCGTTTCTTCCCTGCCCCATTCTTGCTCTACCGCTACATCGGGTAAATAACACGCTCCATATCGTTTATTCTTATGATAAAAAGTGATACGAATCCCGTGAACTCCAATTTCCCAATCGAGTGGATGAGCACAGGTTTCGAAATCTGTGAGTAACGTTACTGCTACTTCGAGGGTGGGAAGCTCGGAGCGGGAAATCGGGGAAAATCTTGTATCGTGTAATGCGGATGTTAAGGCGTATTCTGGGAGAGAGGTGATGAGAGGTTCGGAGGAGAAGGTTCCGATGCAACCGCGAAGGGTGGGGGAGTTTTGATGAGGATGTGAGGAGGTTGATAAGGTGTTCCAGGTTACGAAGAGAGGGGATGACCAATCGCGGACATTGCGAGGAGAGGAAGAAGGGAGTTGTGTGGTGTGGCGTGGAGAAGGGGCGATACCGATGGGAGTGAAAGATGTAGTTGAGCTAGAAGGAGTAGTGGCAGATGTTGAATTTGAGGTAGAAGTTCGTTCAGATGAGGAACTAGAAGATGGAGTACTAGTTCCTGAAGTGGATCGTGTGATACGTTGAAGTATAGGATGACGAGCCAAATTTGTGTTTGCATTTGGATCTGGTCTTGGATCTCTTCTCGATTGAATTTGTGAGGTTGAATCAATAGTTTGAGGATTAATGTCTTCTTCATCTTCTTCTTCTGAACTGGTTAATTCAAGACCTTTAGGATAGATTGTCCATAATTCTTGAACTTTTTCCAAGGGTAATGATGGACGTTTTTCGAGATGAGCGGTTAGAACTTCGAAACAATAGAGACAATGATCTGGAGTAGCCATGATTTTTAATGGTATCGGTGAGGAGGTAGATGGAGATGCGGATGGGGATGTAGATGAATTTAGATTTGAATAGAGTTGTGACTGTGAATGTGATTGTGATTGTGATTGTACCTCGGATGAATAGTGATATAAATATCTATGTGAATATTTATGTTTGTATTCATGTAAAGATTTAACTCTATCGTAATCCAGGAATTTAGTAATGAGCAAGAGTTGATGTATCGAGGTTGTCGAGATGAGATGTTTGGAAAGAGGTGAAGACAGAAGAGGTTGTGATGGAGGAGGTTGATGTTGTTGGAAGTGAAGATGATTAGTGGTAGTATTGTGGGACTTCATGGCGGGGTGTTATCGATAACGTACGTTATAGCCTGATTAGGTTATGATTAATTATTATTAGCTGTATGAAGTGATTGATTGATCTGCCGTTTTTGGATGCTTTGATGACGAGACACAATTTGCATAAATGTCGTTTATGAACAAAAAGCTTATTTTTGGTGGGTGATTTGTGCAATTATGCAATTGTGCAATTGTGCATTGTGTGTTGTGGATTGTGGATTGCGGATTGCGGATTTCGGATGTCGGAGTTAAGGGAGAGATCTAGATTCAATCCTACCATACATGTGATTGAATGAATGAATCCTTCTCATTGCTGTGCTTGTGCTTGATAATACCTTCACTCCAAATTACCCCTCAAATTAATTCATCGTATAATGGAAGCTGGTGTTGACTTGTTGTATTGACCAGCTATATTACTACAATGATGATGTGATTGAGATTGATGTTCTTCTTTTGTATGAAAGTACACTTGACATAACCTCTAGCCTCTTTTTCTTTTACTGAAAGAGCTCGACAGCTTTAACCTCTCCAAGTTTTGCATGTCGTCATTATTTCCAGTACAAAGACAATTCTCTACCTAGGTAAGATCTTACTCTCCCGCGGTCTGCTTAGTTACTCGCTCTCAACCTAGGTACTTATTACTCTCTACTTACCTAGGTATTTGGTAGGTAGGTACTCACTTCATTCTCATCCAACATCACTTTCGATTACTAAGCAATCTACATGTAAATGATACTCTGTATTAATAATATATCATATAATTATCAACCTTTTCTCCCCTGATCTCCTAAACCCCAAACCTCAGACAAGACCTCACTCACCCCTCAACCCCAGCGTAACAATGAATCCATAAACCTCATATACAACTCAAAAAGTTCATCCGTTCGGATCTCAAACTTTCCGTCTCATTGACACTTTTTACCCATGAAAAGGGTTCAGTCAATCAGAAGCAATAATCAATCGTGATGAGACTTCATGGATGATGTTTGACATGAATGTCAGCTTGCTTGGTATATCTCTCGCTTCACTTCATCCATGTTTCGTACCCCAGATATATCAGCAACCTCTTTCTTTTGACCCTACAACACAGCCTTCCTATCGTCTTACTGTCCCCTCTAACTTTCCTAAAGCAAGTTATAAAATATCTACGAGCTTGATAAAACTTTTATACCATAAGCCTTGCCCATACATCTGATGTATCAGTATCATTTGATCATCCGGAGAATTTAGCGTAGTGAACCCTGGTTTCTTTGAAGTTGATATTCGCGAATAGTAGGAGCTTGGGGATAGACTAAGGATACGACTGGTATGTTGGTTGGTTCTTTCTTGAGTGATGATCGGACATCAGATGGATTTATGATAACGCTGTTTGGGGATATGGGAGGTGTGGTTTGAGGTTGGGTCCTTGGCTTGGGGTTGTGAGATGGCATGTCGATGAATGGATGGATTGAGAGGGAGGGAGAAGATATAAAGATGACCACCTCTTAGCTGAGGAGATACGTTTGTGGTATCATTCATCTTTTCCACTGCCTGTCTACCTACAGACTATCTTTCACCTCAATCATCCTCCATATATAAAATATATAATCTCTGTCGCCGGACGACTACATTCAAATCACCACTCTCATTACGAACCCGCATCTGTTCTTTAACACACACCACGAAGCAAATATATCCATCCCGCAATCATGCAATTCACATTCATCACCGTCATTTCCCTCATCGCCGTTGCGATTGCTACTCCTATTTTCCGTATGTTCTCAGCATTTTTTATCCGCTTGGCTTCTTCCATTATTATCATCTCATGTACACTGAGAAGGGAATGGTATAAACTTCTTATAAACTAACCATAAATAGCACTTCAGCCACGTCAAGCGCCAGCGATTGATGCATCTACTGCATCTATGAGTGATGCGCAAGGAAATGTCGTTGGTTTTGATTCTAAAGGTGTTAATCAAGGTTTGTTGGTTCTTCTCTGACTTCTCCTCCTTTCTTAGACCTTGCCTTTTATTTCTCCCCCTTTGGTCTTCTTCTTTCACCTTTTCTATTGCCCTTCTGATTATCTACGTCAACTGTGCTGTGATACTGATGATATTGGATTATATAGCTGCTAAGAACTCCGGCATGTAAAAGAAATAAATGGATAAATCTAGCCACTTCAATCTTCTATTTACGAAAGAAGGGATTCGGTACCGAGGGAAAATTTATTCAGGAAGGTATTTGGGGGAATATGGATTAAGGGGAAATGCAATGTATCAATTCTCTTCAGTTTTGAAGTTATTTACACTCTTGAGTATTGAATGGATGGATATAAATAAATGACATTGGTGTTGATCTTCGGCTCTACGTTACAATCTTAAAGCCAATTCTCCATTGAACGTTCTAAGCATCTTGGCATTCCCACACAATCCTCCGGAACCACTTTCTCCTTGACCATTCCCCGGGTTCCTTCAGATAAGAGTACAGATATATAATAAATTCCCATCATACCTGTTACATCAAGATCATACTTCATATTCACTAGAGCTGACGTCCTGTGCACTGTACAAGTCACACTAGCGGCAGTAGGGTTCGGCCAATGGCTTTCACCATCTTACACCTATCTAGTTAAGATCTTTTCATATTTGGCACTTGAATGTTTGAATCATTCTATAACATTAATCGAACCATCACAAAACATTACTCATAACGGTATAAATCTGATGTATATAGGTACGCCCACATATATATGTATAGCAATCACAGTTCAAATGTGGGGAAAGCAAAGGTGGGAAAGGTCCCATAAAAATATAAGCAAGCAGTTGAGCTTATTTTCACGCCCTTTCATAGACAGACGACAGTAATATAACCAACCGTTTTTCTTTCTGCCTTTTACCAGAGAATTTGATTTATCTCCCATTACCTACAAAACTCAACTCAATTACAATTCATCCTCTTCATCCAAATTCCATCCACTTCATCAAAAATGTCCACCCAAACACCACAAACCCTCCGAGCAAATCTCCCCCAAACCCTCCACATCCTCCGTCTCGATCCAATCCATTGTCCCGCACCAGATTTCACCTCACTCCCCATCCCCTACACCTACACCGAACTACCCATTCCCCGTCCCTCCGAATCAGACCTAATAACCTATCTAAAACCCGCGCACATACTAATCACCACCCGATTTTTCCTCCCCTCATCTCTTCTCTCCCAACTCCCCAATCTCAAACATGTAGCTGTTTTAGCTATTGGAACTGATCATGTCGATCTGGTATATTGTGCCGAGAATGGGATTTCGGTCTCGAATGTTCCGGCGGCGAATATTGAGGCTGTTTCCGAACATGGGTTGACGTTGTATATGGCGTGAGGAGGAATGTGGTGGGCATGCATGAGAGGACTAGGGACGGGAGGGAGTGGAAGGAGAAGGGGAGTTTGACGGGGTATTTTTATGGGGGGTTGATGGCGGGGTTTAAGGGGGAGGTGGTGGGGATTGTGGGGGGTGGTGAGTTAGGTAAGATGGGGATTTCCTTTTTGGTGGATGTATTGGGGAGCAACGGCGTAGTTCGCTTTGCTTCTTGATATTCTTGATTACTTCAAGTCTCAAGATAGGGGATTCATCAAAAGTGACAAATCATGTGATCAATCACTCGATTAAGTTCAATATCCCCAGATTCATCACAGAATCTTAGAACCTCAATCGCTAACTGATCCACCAGGAAACCGAGTAGCAACCCTTTGCCGTGCCCTCGGAATGACCATTCAATTCTGCGAAAGAAAAGGAGTCCCAGAAAACGAAACCCGTCCAAACTACACCCCCTTCACAACAGTCCTCCAAACCAGCACAGTCATCTTCCTCTGTCTCCCCCTAACACCTAGCACTCAAAACCTCATCGCCTCTCCGGAGTTATCTACAATGAGACCAGATATCCTCCTAATCAACATAGCACGAGGAGGAATAGTCAACGAGGAAGATTTAATCGAAGCATTAAAGCAAGGTAAAATAGCAGGAGCAGCAACAGATGTATATGTAGAAGAACCAGCTGGAGAAAATAATGCATTGGTGAGAGCGGCGAGAGAGGGGCATTTGAGGGATAGTGGGAGATTGATTTTGAGTCCCCATGTGGCGTGGTATGGGAGGAGTAGTGTGGAGAAATTGAGGAGGGTGGTCGCGGAGAATGTTAGGGGGTGGTGTGTGGGGGAGGAGGGGAATATTGTGGGTTGATTGGATGAATAGATGTGCGATGGATGTTGAAAGGGAGTGAAGATGTTGATATAGATTAGAGTCAAAAGTCGAGATTAGATAATTGCCTCGTAGGCAGAGATGAGTTCAATGTTTTCCTGTATATTTAAATACGTTTTATTTCTATACAGTTTTACTTTGAGCTCAGTTTTTACAGTCTTATTTTCCCAATTTCCCAGATTCAGAATTCCCAATTTTCCAATTTTTCAATTTCCCAGATTCCCAAGTTCCCAGATTTCCATCCCAGATTCCTAAACTCCCAACTCCACCCTCTCTTCCCAACTCCCAACTCCACCCTCTCTTCCCAACTTCCAACTCCCCACCTTCAACCCCACCGCCATCCCCTCCACAAATCTAAATCCACATCCACACCCCCTCCTCCTCCCGTTCACTATCCTCCCCCCCCCCCCCCCCAATACATCGGAAACGCCAAAAGCAAAAGCCACCCTCTCCACCTCTCCAACGTCTCAATCTCCTCCTCCGTAAGCGCAATCCACCCATTCCTCCTCACCCACGCCTCAAACCTCTCTTCATTCCTCCATTCAACCCATAAAGAATTACCCCTCTTGTACACCGTATCCAAGTAAAAAAGTTCCCAGGTCCGACCTGAGATTTCTGAGGATTCCGTAGTGATGGCTGTAAGGAGGGAGGAAATTGTTGAGGAGCTGACGACTGGTGGATCCGGAGTTGATCTATTGGTGGGGATTTCCAAGGGTGCGACTTCTGATTTTTTAATCGTGGGACTTTGTCCCTGGATATCGACTTAGTGGATTATTTCGTGAAAGTCGTTGACGACCTCTGTGAGATGTTTCTCTAGCTCGTGGAGTATGTCTTTCACTTGGTTAAGGTCGTTGAGAGAATCTATAGATTTTGGAGTTTCGGGGATATCTGCATCAATTATGGTAGTCTTTTTTTCCTCCTTTTTCTCCTCCTCCTCAGAAGTCAAGAATGAAGAAGCCCATTTGAGAATCTTATCCCAACGTTTATCATATATCTGAGAAGCTTCACAGAGAAATTTGCGGGTGACCAATGCTATTAAACTGATTATAACCATGTCTTCGATTAGATCGGCTATGACGTAGATGAATAGGAGGATTGAACATGTTTCGAAGATTTCTTTGTAGTTGGCCATTTTGGTTTTTGTGTGTGTGTGTGTGTGTGTGTATGGTGAAAATATAAATATATATAGTGTTGAGGATATGTATGAATATGAATATTGATATTTGTATTGTGTGTGTAAATGTATGAAGAAAGAAAAGAGAAGCTCAAGGAAAATATAACAGATTATATACAATTGTGTGAGAGCTAGACAAACCCGTTTATTCGCTTAAGACGAACCGTTGAATCTAATAGAGAATTTATCTTGTCTACTAGCTTGGCATGAGTACATGACGTTTGGCATCTGCTTTAGTGTTAGATAGTTTACACTCCGTTCGTAGTAAGCTGGTGAATTGAGTTTTTTTAGTCTCTTTTTGTACAAAGGTAGTGATGACGTGCCAGCTTAGTGCAACGGTGTTTGGTGCTAGATAACGCTAGAATAAAACGGTGAGTTAGGGTTTTTCCATTTGGTTTAGCGAGTGAGGGATTTGAGTGAATGACCTTGCTTCGTAGTAGATAGACTGTTGGATAGATAATTTTTCGATGGACTTGAACTTTTTAGTCTATTCTAGCAGGTGGCGAAAAGTGACTTCATGATCCTTTGAGGTTAGGTAGTCTGGTATGGTCATTCATGATGTGTCAGATTCATCTCTTTCGTGGAAGCGGGGTAAAGTTAAGCAAGGATCGAGATGTGATGGGATAATAGAATGGCATATATATAGGCATCAATGAAAAATGTTCCATTTATTCAAGTTATGGCATACTACAAGACTCTCCTCAGCACACTCACTCATGTCCCATATCTATCAATTCCAGTCGATAGCGATCTTAATATAACTACTCATGTATCTATTACCACGCAATGCATCCGCATATGTCCATTATTTCTCGTGATTAGGTCCGAAAAGCTTTTTTGTGATTTGGTGCACACCTACTGAATATGCATCTATGCATATAGACTCTCTTAGCCTCATCGATCTTCACCACGACAAGAGAATTCACCAACTTTCCAAAATCATAATTTGCTACGGTGAGTTTTTGTTACGAGATTTTAGAGACTTTTAGGTCTGAATTAGGTAAGGTAGAGTGATAGTAAGAATACTTTGGTATCTAGTTCACTGGCGATTTGAGGAATTCAATCACGCAATTTTAAGTAATTATGAAGATGAGGACACATCTTAGTAGGAGATAATGCTCTAGATTAGTTATACTTTGACCATAATAAGAGTCTTATACGGTAACTTTGTGCTGAAATATTTCGCCCCGCGCGAGCATCCCACAACGTAAGTTGTGAACTGGAGTTGGGAAACTTTAATTTGTGGAAAAGGTCAGTGATGAGGGATATTTGAGGACTTGACTCAAGTATGGGGATGTTTCAATATCTAGAATGGTTCAAGTTGCTGAGTAATCTCTTTTACGTAGTGGTGTAAGCTATCGAGATCTAGCACGAGCAGAAAAGTAGTACCTTCACAAGTTGTCTTAACTGATGATGTCACTTTCTGAACGAATTGAAATTTATGATAATAAGGATATTTAATTTGTCTGAAACTTGATTACATGCTAAACGCCGAGAGTGATTCCCATCCCAACCTTTCATGATTGTCCAAATGCGCCGAAAAAATTACATCCCCGAATACTCAATACACCTCGATTCAAGTTTCGCTACTTCCCTCCTCCTCTCAAATGAACCTCGTCTCCCCAATCACCGGAGGTTCTAGCCGGATAATGAATTCCATTTCCTTTCAGATAGGTTTCATTAGTCATAGACATCCTCCTCTCATCCGCAATTCGCTTTTCCTCATCCCAAGGTTTCTGTATCTGGGCTCTGTACCAACGCACAGATTGAGCAATGATAGCCAGTCCGAAAGCTGCTATAAGGAGAATAAATACCACGATAATGATCAGGGTTTTCTGGCTAGAGGTCGATGGCGTATTGGCGATGGGAATGCATTTTCCGTATGCGAAGACTTCGGCGCAGGATTCGTTGTTGGAATCTACTCCTAGGTAGATATTGTTGGTGTTGGTTGAATTCATGGTTGTGTGATTTGTAGTGTTAAGATGATTTGTCTGTCCGTCCGGTTGTTTGCGTAATTTGTATTTATTGTGTTCGTGTAGCTTGTTTGAAACTGGCTGATAGATTGTTGGAGGTCCGAAATGAGTGTTGTGTAGAATGAGAAGGAAAAGATTAGGAATGGAATGGATTGCCATTTATAACCACTCCAAAAAAAAAAAAGATTAGCGTAGGGTGACTGCCTACCACACTAAGTAAAACCTAGGACTAGCTCGCGCCCACCAGTATACCATCGGGGAAAGTTTGAAGTACTGAATGATGAGTTTCTATGCGAAGTATATTGTAGTCAGTTAAAGTTTCTTCATCGAGGCCAGGACTAGTTCTGTAGTCTCATAGTTCTATGAATTAGCTCTGCTACTTGTGCACCGGTTCATTTGAAAATTGATAGTCACATGACGTTCGGTAATATTTAGGAGAACTTTCTGGCCAAGCCACTTATGCGATGGACGAAATATACTGCACCACAGCAGATAAACCTCCTAAATCCTAAGCACTTAAAATTGGAGAACTTTTGGGTCGTCAGATGTGAAATGCGAGACAGAAAGTTCTATGACCATGACCTTCCTGGTAAGTGTATTTTTTTAGTGTTTGATTTCCACCTCCCCGTGCCACTAGATCGGGTTATATGAGCCAATCCAGATTGTTCACCGCTATTAAAATGTCAAAAGCCCAATAGAGGTAGCCCAAACCATCCGACACCAAAGCTTGAACAAAAACTCCTCGTTTAACTACTATTTCGGCTAGTGTGGTAATGAAGGGAGAAGCTATATATGATAATCGGAGGCTTGTTAGGATGGACCTCGTAAATGTCAATTTCAAATGTGCAACATGATTACTCTAGAATCGTGATTTGCAGATCAATATAGCGTGCTGGAGTACTAATGCTCAGTTAGTGCTCTTAAAGCTTCGAAGCACTTTTTAGAATACCGACGGCGTGAACTTTGAGACGCTTGACAGGGTGAGGCCTGCATATAATCAATCATAGATGTGCAACAGTAACTCTGTTAAAAGTATGATTGGGTCCGGATTATGTGAATGACACGATTGGAGCATTAGTTTGGTACTAGTTAGATGTGTGAAAGTGGAAAAGTGTAATAGTCAATGACAACACAAACAAGTCTCAAAAATGAAGCCGGAATCTAAGAAAAACTGGTTACCTCAAACCTCAGGGAGGAATGATTGACGAATTGACACGCAGAGATGAGCATGAAATATAAGGTTGACTTCAACACCAGTGACTTTCATGTTATATCGGCCAAGAATCAGCCCGCAACACTTGCCGCCTCCTCAGCTTCAATATTCTTTCCCATTCTCTTCCTCACATAACAATATCATGCGCTGCATTTATAATTTTATATAATTCCACCTTATTTTCCCTTTAAATGCTTCATCTTCCACGCAAATTAAACAACCCTATCGGTGATATACGGACTCCGTAATGCACAGAATGAGGTATGGGTAAGATATTTACTTGATATATCTCAACAAGGCAAGCGCGATATTCAACAGTAGAATCCCCTAAAACAATGAGTTTACATCAAGACCCCTTCGGACTAAGAAAAGCTAATATGCCGCAACTGCAGCCTCGAAAGCTGTTGGGAATGGGAAATCGGGATCACCAGCAAGACGATATTGGACAAATAGTGCATATTCAGCGACATAGAACGTTCGCTAGCATCACTTTGGAAACAACCAACGTTTATGTTGGTAGCCTATCCACTGCTGTATAGACATTTATCATCACGGTGGACTTCCATCCTAATCGAACGGTAGATTCAGATCACTAAACAAGTTTTGGTATGGTTATTAAAATCCCGAGAAAATGAATGACTTATTCTATATGGTATCAAAGCTTTCTCTATGTTAAATTAATCCATCCCAGGTAGTCCGTCAGTTCCACCAATCTTAGCCCAAAATGCTTCAAAATTGACTCCTTGTGCCTCAAACATTTCTCTGGCCTTCTCCATTGTGGCCTTTCGTTGTTCTGGACCAAATCCCTCAGGTTTAGAGGACTCATATTGAACCAATTCAATCCATTTGAAGAAAAGGTTTTCTTTTCCCATCAATGTTAACTCGTCCTTGAAAGCTGTAATCTTTTTCCTTCCTAATTCTTCCTTACTATTTGGGTCAATTGGAGCTTCAGTTTGAACCATCCATCCGTAAGCAGCATGCCATGCAAAAACGGTCGTCTTAAAGTCTTCAAGATCCATAGTCTTCTTATCAACCAGATTTGTAGCTTGTATCATAGCTTTCCAATCCAAATCCCATTCTCTGTTTAACATCAAATATCCAGTCTTTTGTGATAACCATAATGGTTCAATAGCCTTTCTCACATTTGATGACATTAATTCTTTCCCAGCTTCATTATCTTCCTTCAAGAAATCACCAATTGTTCGATCCCACTTCCTACTTCGACGCACTACAATCTCTCTCTCGCGGAAACCTAGCCCTAGTCTCCATGATACAGGATTTCCAATCGTTCGCCCCAGAAAGAAGTCCCGAGGCCATGGCCAAACAAAAATGTATAAAAGTAAATCGATCATGAAAATTGAAGCTCGACGTAAAATCTCGTATCCTGTGTCATTCAATGGTGCATTTTGCGTATTGACTGTCATCTCGTTTTGTTTTCCCATCAACAAAAAGCAAATATTCATATAAAAGGGGAAAACAGCGGAAGCGCGCCATGCGAGACCTGCGATGATTGCAACATTCATAAGCACCGGAACGAAGAAAATCTTCTTCTTGAAATCTGCCGGGTGTTTATCGATATGTGTTATGTATATATGATATTTTGAGAGCTTCTCTAAGAATGGTTCAAGCTTCGGAGGAGGTCGCGTAAAGGGCGCAGGAGGTTCATCTGAAGTGGTTGTAGCTGATTTCGTAGAAGAGGTAGTTTTGAAAGTCCTCTTGGACTTCGTTTTGGGAGGCATGATAATTCGCAGATACAAAGAATGTATTAAAAACTCCTCGTAAGTGATTGAGACATAACCAGCTTACAATTATCTATCCATGGAGAATAAATTTGGCCTCTCGTAAGCATAAATGCAAACTTGGCAAGTTCCGGCATCCGTAAATTCCTGAAAGCATTATGATGGCAACTTTATGAAAATTATTTATATATTCATTGGAACTACAATGCAATCATGAGGAGGGGTCGCAGTTTATTAAAGGTAAGGGTATTAACCTATGTTATATTATATCACATTCTAATTGATATAGGAACCATCAGCGCCAACAATATGCGCTTTTTGTTGGCATCGACTTGGAGCTATTGGCCCTCCTTCACATGTACAGCGTCGATTTTTACAATCCTCTGATTCAAGATCGAAACCACCCGTTGAAGGTGCAGCAGTACGAGAATCCGAAGAATATGAATCACCTCCCCCTGTGCAACCGCAGACACCTGCTGCACCATGGCGTCCAGGACCTGGGATGGGAATGGGTTTTGGTAAAGCAACCTTTGGAGGGTCTAAAATTCCAGGAATAGGTACCTCTGCCACCTTCGGTCGTCCAGCACCTGGAATTCCTATGAAGTCTACCATACCAGATCCTCCAAAACCTGAGTCACCGAATAGGCTTTTTCCTGAAGAAGAGCTTCGTATAAGCCAACAACGAAAAGTCGAAGTACATTCAGGACCAGGACCAGAGACGAATAGGGCTTCCAGGCCAATACCGCGTTCACAGGAGGAGAGGTTGGAAATAGCTAGGATAGCAGCGAAAAGGATGGAGGCTATGAATATACATGCGATGAACAAGCAGCACGCTCAGCCTGATGCGCCTTTGCGATTTTTTGTGAAGGACGAATCTCGCATTCGTAGTCAGGTTTCTAGTCAAATAATAAATGACTCTACTGAACCCACTACTATATCTGAATTTAGTAGCGAGTCTTCTGAAAACGCATCAAATTGGACGCAATTGAGAAAGAAGATAGAAGAGAAGCACCATCCGCCGCCACCACAACCGACCCAAGATCCTATTTCTGAAGCTCAAGCCAAAAGGGAACAAGAAGCTAGTTCGGGGACTTACACACCACTGAGAAACAGAATTCCTTCAGAAAGAGGTCGTTTTACAGAGGTTCCACGAGCAGATATGTGGAGTAGGCCCAATAATTATGATAAAAGCAATTCCACGACTCCAATCTCACAAACTATCCCTACGAATATCTACCAACGACCCCTAAACAGTCCCGAAGACAGGTGGAGTAAGCCAAATAATTATGATAGAGGCAATTCCAGGACTCCAATCTCACAAATCACCCCTACGAATAATTACCAGCGCCCCCAAAACATTCCCGAAAGTACATCTATGTCAAGTTCACATCTAGCAACAAATCCAGGATCAACACGTCCCCCTCAACCAGTGCCATCTGCCCGTAATATGTTAAAACCTCTGGGATCTTTTGGCACTTTCGGGTCTCCTTCCTTTGGCGCAGGATTTGGTAAGATTGGTGGAAGCGATTTCAAAATTCCCGGCTTAGCAACCCCAAGCCCCTTGGTCGAGCCAGAAAAAATCCAAGAGGTTCAAAGTGCCGCTGAAGAACCAGAAAGGGCCCAAGAGGTTCAAAATGCCGTCGAAGAACCAGATAAAAGCCTTGAAGCTGGGAACTCCGTCGAAGAACCTGCCCAAGAGACCGTAGCATTTAGTCCATTAGCTACGGGGCCAGAAGGAGATTCAGATGCTCGTGAACAAGTTATTAATCAATCTTCATCCCCAGATGAATTAACAATACGACATCGAAAATTGTCAGGACGTTGGGGAGCGGAGGACGACACGATTTTGAAGGAAAAGGATCCGAATTACAGAGATCATAAATTGCCGAAAAACGCACACAGTAAAGTGGCCAAAAAGGCCGCCAGGAGACAACGTGAAATGTCAATGGACCGAGATGATGAAGTAAGAGACTTAGCTGCTGAGCGAGCAGAACTTAAAAAGCAAAGAAAACGTGAAAAGGCAGCAAAAAAGGCAGCTGCGCCGACTCCCATCATTTTACCCGAATTTATCAGTGTCTCCAACCTAGCCGTCGCTCTAAAGGTTAAACTCGAGAATTTCCTAGAAAAGATGGAGGAATTAGGTTTCGAAGGTGTAAACCATGATCACATTTTGAATGCTGAAAATGCGGGACTCATTGCTATGGAGTACAATTTCGAAGCTATCATAGAACGAGGCGAATCCGAAGACTTGAAAGCTAGACCACCAGCGGAAGATCCATCAATATTACCACAAAGAGCTCCGGTTGTCACTATCATGGGACATGTTGATCATGGTAAAACTACAATTCTTGATTATCTTCGAAAGTCTTCTGTCGCGGCATCAGAACATGGTGGCATCACTCAACACATCGGAGCATTTTCGGTACCTATGCCTTCTGGAAAGACTATTACTTTCCTTGACACACCTGGTCATGAAGCTTTCTTGAGTATGCGTCAAAGAGGTGCAAATGTTACGGATATTGTAATTTTGGTTGTTGCTGCAGATGATAGTGTTAAACCACAAACTATCGAAGCTATCAATCATGCCAAAGCGGCAAAGGTACCAATAATTGTTGCTATCAACAAAATTGATAGGCCTGAGATTGATATTGAACGTGTCAAACAAGATCTTGCTCGTCATGGTGTTGAAATTGAAGATTTTGGTGGTGACACTCAAGTTGTTTGTGTTAGTGGCAAGACTGGTCAAGGAATGGATGATTTAGAAGAAGCCGCCGTTACATTGACCGAAATTCTTGATATGCGAGCTGAAAAAGATGGACAAGCAGAAGGTTATGTCATTGAAGCAAGTATTAAACCTATGGGCAAAGTTGCTACAGTCTTGGTTAGACGAGGTACCATGCGACCAGGAGATTTCATCGTCGCTGGTAAAACTTGGGCTAGAATTAGATGTTTACGTAACGAAGCAGGAGTTGAAATTGGAGAAGCTGGTCCTGGTATTCCAGTAGAAATTGATGGATGGAGAGAACAACCAATTGCTGGAGATGAAGTTCTTCAAGCTCCTGATGAAGCAAAAGCTAAAAGTGTTATTGAATTTCGACTAGAGAAGGAAGAAAGGGATAAAATGGCCGAGGATATGGAAGCTATTAATGAGAATCGCAAGATCGAACACGATAAACGTGAACGTGAAAAGGCAGAGAAAGAAGCTGCTCTTGCTGGCGAGGAAGATCAAGTACAAGATACTGCTGCTCCTAGTAAAGATCCTGCTGGTCCGAAACCCATCTACTTTGTCGTTAAGGGTGATGTGAGCGGATCCGTTGAAGCAGTTATCGATCAACTTAACTCTACCAGTACTAAAGAAGTCGAAGCCATCGTTCTCCGATCGGGAGTGGGTAAACTCAGCGAATCAGATATCGAACATGCCGCTACAGCAAAGGGATATGTTATTAATTTTAACACTGAGGTGGAACCCAATATTGCTCAATTTGCTGCTCAAAACAAAGTCACCATCTTGGATAATAATATTATCTATAGATTGATGGATGATGTTAGAGCTGAAATGTCGAAATCCTTACCACCATTGGTGACACAAAGAGTATTGGGCGAAGCTTTTGTGGCGCAAATTTTCGATATTAATATCAAGGGGAGGAAGTATAGGAGTATAGCGGGTTGTAAGGTTCGTAATGGAACAGTGGCGAAGGATGCTAGGTATAGGGTATTGAGAGATGGAGAGAAGGTCTTTGATGGTATGTCTGTTTGGATTTCTCATTTCTTAACTCGTGTTTGCTTAACTTTTTCATTTCTTCCTTTCCTCCTTTCTGCTCTGGGCTTTTATGAAGTTTAAAGCATAAATACTAATCCCATAATTAGGTAAACTTGATTCCCTCAAAAATGTAAAGAAAGATGTTCCGGAAATGAGAAAGGGTGGAGAATGCGGTATGGGGTTTATTGGCTGGTCGGATTTTAAGGTCGGTGATCAAATTCAAGCGTATGAGGAGATTCGTGAGAAGAGATATTTGTGAGTGAGGGTGGGGGATGTGGTAGGGGATGTTTATATTTGGATTTTGTGTGGGGATGTGAGGAATGTGAGGATGAGTGATATGGATGAGTAGATGAGTGGATGGATGAATAGATGAGTGATATGGATGAATAGATGAGGATCAAATGGTATGAATATAAATGAATGAATGGGAAAAGTTTATTTTATTATGGATGTTGATATTAATGTTGATATTGATACTGGTAGTCGATATCAAAATATAAATTTCACCCCTCTTCCTCTTCCTCTTACCCTTACCCTTACTCTACACCTAATCTCATCTAATCTCATCTCATCTCATCTTAACTTAACATAACATAAATTCAATAATATAACATAATAGAAGTAATTAAATAAATTCCGAATCTGAATTGAAATCTGTAATGAATTTTTTTTTCTTAATATTTTAATTTCTTAATGTTTAAAGTCAAGTTACTAGAGTATCTAGACTAGGGAGGGATTAGTTAAGGTAAATTGGGTTTGTGGTTGTGGTTTTGTTTGGGGAAGAATGTGGGAGGATGTGGGAGAGTGATGTAATGTTTGAGGCTTGGTTTTTTTGGGGGCGAGGGGGAAGAATGTGCTTTTTTTTCATTGGGGGTAGGTAAGGTTAGAGAATACCTATAGAAATATAGAAATATAAAAGGGGTCCCCCGGGGTGGTAGAGGGGAAAAAGAGGGGAAAAAGAGAGGAAGAGAGAAATATTTGAAATATAAAGAAAGATGTATATAAAAATAAAATGTGTATGTGTGTGTGTGAGGATGAGGATGGGAATGGGAATGGGAATACTGGTGGTTTGATAAATGAAGATAAATATATAAGGAAATGGACATTGAGATTCATCTGATCTGATCTTAATTTCATGTCTCAATTGAATGATTTGGTTCCTTCTATTCATCTATATCTATATAATCAAGACTAATAGATACAGATACCTGGGTTAGATGCAGTAATATTTTAAATATGAGTACTAACTACCTAGGTATAGAGTAAATAAACCATAGTAGGTACATCCATCTGTATCCAAATCACTTTCCTACTTCCTCACATCAACACTCTAAACATCAACCCCCTCACCAATCTCCACAATCGCCTTCATCAACCCATCCATCGTCTCTCTTCTCGTCTGTACATTAACCACAGCCCTAAAAAACTTTCCCTGCTCACCCGTCGCATAATCTACCATAAAACCCCTCGTTAACAATTTACCTGCTATTTCCTGCGTAATTCTCGTATTGTCATCTTTATTTCCCAATTTCCAATCTCTAGCATAGTAAAAACAAATTTGTAAACAGGGGGGTGGATTTGAAGAAACGAGAACTAAATTTTTATTCTCAGAGACGAGTTGAGAGAAATATGACGCGGTGGAAAAAGCATGGTCGATTTGGGATTGGAAACCGTTTGTGCCGTAGTAGATCCATGATAGAGCTAATTTGAGGGAATCGCCGCGACGACCACATTGGAGAGTGAGGTCGGCGAGATCCCATACTTCTGACCCCGTTTCGATGCTGTGGAAGAGGTAGTCTGCGGGTAGGGTGTTTGCTTTGTGGAATTGGGAGAGGTCGGGACCGAGGAGGAAGGAACAGGTTAGCGGGACATTCATCATTTTATGGGGATTTACGGCGAGGGAGTCGGCGAGGTGAGATCCTTCTAGTTTGGATTTGTGGGTAGGGGAGAAGATAGCGGGACCACCCCATGAGGCATCAATGTGGAGCCAGAGATTGTGGGATTTACACACTTTTGAGATCTCGGTGAATGGGTCGTATGAACCGTAGATGGTGGTTCCCGCTGTGGCGTTTACGTAAAAAGGGGTTTTGTTTTCCGAGATGCTCTTTTTGATGAGCTTGTCGAGTTCGGATGGGATCATTCGGCCTTCACCGTCGACTGGGACGGGAATCACGTTATTGGATCCGAGACCACACATTTGAGCTGCTTTTTCGAGAGAATAATGACCGTGAGCGGAAGTGAAGAGAACGAATTGATGACTGCCATTTCCTTCTTGTTTTGTTTCGGGAAAGAGAATGTTTCGTGCAATTATCATGGAGGTTGTATTTGAGGCTGAGCCACCTTGAGTAGAGATTCCTCCTGCATGAGGTCCATTGAAACCAAAAAGATTGGCGAAAACTTTTGCGGTAGTTTTCTCAATGATAGATAAAGCTGGAGATACTTGATAGACGTGAAGCTGTTGAGGATTTTAGTATAGGGCTGACGTGAAGGTTGCATGGTTGTATTCAGGGATTAAACATACATTTGTATTCAAAACGGCCAATATCAATTCGGAGATAATTCCTACCTATATCTAAGTTTCAGCTGATGTACGGTGCATTTTTCACCGCTTCAAATTGTGGATGCGTTCGTACATACCGCATTTGTGCTCGAATAGAGTTTATCTAGGAATCCTTGATCCCACGTATTGACACTATATTTAAGCACTTGCTCAACGGTTATCAATAAACCATCTTTCCCCTTTCCATTGGTGGGAAGGTTGAAATCTAGAAGTTGAAGTAACTTTTCGGGTTTGTGATGTTCGAGAAGGGTGGTTCGGGGACCTCCACCTGGAATGGATTTTCCGTGACCGGTGTGTTTGGTATTGGCATCTTCATCGGCTGATTTGATGAAGGGGATGATGAGAGATTGGACGGCTTTGAGTAACTAGGTGAGATTGATATGTTAGATGATGTGTACTGTGATGATTATTTGTGGGTATTTTGACTGGATTGGGATGAGATGGCCTCATGGCTGGCTGAAGTGTGATATTGAGACATAATGTATGTATATAAGATTGAAGGATGAGATTGAAGGACAATGATTAAATAAATGACTGAATAAATAAATGCATGGACTTCTCACATCTTCTACTTCATCAGCACGGTTCAATGGATTTGAAGCATTCGGAACATTTTGACCAGTTGAAAGAGTGGTATCGTGCATTGGTAATTCAATGTCTTTGACCGTTGTTCCATTTAAAGACATTTTGAAGAATGAATTGTATAGGGTAGATATAATACAGTAGAGAAGAGTAGATGAGTTACGCAGGCGCACGCAGTTAGAGGAGTGTAAGATATATATAATATAGTATAATATAATACAGTCAGAAGTGTAGAGCAGAGAGAAGAAATATGCAGAATGAGTAATGAGGAATAATTATCTCATTAAATGATATCCTCTGTGCAACGAGAGTGAGGAAAACAATGGGAGAAAGAGGTCAATTGAGCAATCATTACCTTGCATTAAGCAGATCTTATTAGTATGATTAATATGATTAGTATGATTAGTATGATTAGGATCATTACTAACAAAGTGCACTCTATAAAATATCATCAACTCCCATGACGCGCATAAATTTCGCCATAGTGTTCATAGAGTCAAGCATCTTCCTCCCAAGTGTATTAGTCAGATCTTACCCTCCTACTCGGTAGTGAGTGATGGCCAAACGGCAGAATATCGGAGGTGAGATTGAAGTGAGTGAATGATGGTGTGATGCGAATTTGATGGAGTGAAAAGAACGAGGGGAGGAGAGAAGAAAGAAATGATAGAAAGTCAGAAGAGGAAGAAAAAAGAAAAAGAAGAGGCTGAAAGTTACAAAAGTACTAGGTAGTCTCACAAGAGGTTCCAAGTATGTGTTACAAGTAAGTAACCGATCGATTTCGATCTCACCGCCCTTGATAAAAAAAAAAAGATTGATAGCCGCTGGGATGTTGAGTTGACAACAAGGACAACAAAGGCTTACAGTCCACTTTAACTTCACTTAAAACATCATTTCCCGCCAAGGAGAGGAAAGGTAAGGAATGAAAAATGAAAATGTTCAGCTAATAAGAGTTAAAAGTTAAGAGCTAAAAGCTAAGATAACCTTATTAACCAACCAGGTTTATTGTTTTATCTACCTAGGTCCTAGAGTCCTAGACACAGAGTAACCCTACACCTACCCACCATCACACCAAAAATTAACCGCTAGCGCCCGCAATTCACATTTCCAAAACTTTTGATTCGAATTCTTCAATTACATCAATCATTCATCAATCATCACTCATCACTCACTCCATCTGTCCGTTGGTAAAAGAAAATAACTACCATATCGTATTTGCCTTCATAACATAACTCCCTACAGATCAAACATATCAGACACTTTTCATACATTCAAATCACTTAAATTCTTTCCACTCATTTACCCTTCCTTTATCTACACCCACCCTCAATTACCTTCAATCTGCACATCTACACTCAATCCTCCCACCACCACCACCATGCCAAAAGAAAATAAACACGCAAGAGGAAGAAGAGATACCTTGAAAAGAAAGAGGGAAGAAGATTTGGAAAGGGAAGAGAATCATGATAACCTCACTCAGGATTTGAAAAGGCGGAGATCATCACAAGATGAAGCCGTTTCTTTCATAGCCCTGGACAACGATAAGACTTTTCCCTCATTTTCAGCTGGCACAGGTACAAATGCAATCGAAGTGGCAGATCGTCCATATTATGGATTACTCGAAGATGAAGAACAAGAATATTTCAAAAGGGCTGATGAATTACTCGAATTGAACAATTTCCCTTCAGAAGAAGAACGAAGTCTTTTCCTCGCAAATGTATATCGGGAAGCCAGAGGGAAGGAATTGAAGATTGCGTGCAGTCAATCATGCTCGAGGTTAATGGAGAGATTGATTTTGTTGAGTACAGCTCAACAGAAGAAGAAATTGTTCACTCAATTTGCCGGAAATTTTCCTCATTTGGTGTCACATCGTTTTGCAAGTCATTGTTGTGAGATGTTGTTCATTCAATCTGCTTCTATCGTTACAGAGGAACTTACTGGGGCAGAAAAGAAAGAGCAAAAGAAAGAGGCAGAGGCAAAGGATGAGGAAGATGGGGAAGGAAAAGAAGATGAGATTACCGAGTCCATGGAAAGTTTGTTTCTAGCCACATTGGATGAACTCGAAGGACAATTATCTTCCCTTCTCACCGATCGATTCGCATCTCATACACTTAGAGTTTTACTCATCATCCTTTCTGGACGACCTTTGGAAAAATCTTCGACAAAATCATTACTACAAAGCAAGAAGAAGGAAAAGATTGGTATAAATGGATTGGATACCGCCCCTACAGAGTTCTCTCTCAATAAGCGCACTGTGCCGGAATCTTTCTTATGGGCTATTGAGAAGATTATTTCGGATACAATTGCTTCCATGGATAGAGCTTTCATTCAGGTTTTAGTTGGACATCCTACTGGAAATCCTTGTTTACAATTGTTACTCGAATTGGAACTCACAAACCCAAGCTCAAAGAAAGGTGGCAATTCCGAACAAAAGACTCTTATTTCTACACTTTTACCAGATGATATCACTGTGGAAGGTAGTCAATCCGCCATCTTCGTCAATGGTATTGTCTATGATCAGATTGGATCTAGAGTTTTGGAAACGATCATGTCACATGCTCCAGGAAAGTTATTCAAACAAATTTACCGAGCAATCTTCAAGGATCGAATCGCAGGATTGGCACGAAATGAGATCGCATCTTACGTCGTTATTCGAGTTTTAAATCGTCTTAGCAAAGAAGACCTTGAGGAAGCAATCACAGAAATCTCTCCCCAGATTGAAGGTTTGGTGACCAGAAATCGAACAAACATTATCAAGGTCTTATTGGAACGATGCCAAGCTCGACGCGCAAGCACAGAACCTCTCACAAATAGTATTGCTGCTGCATATGGATCCGATAAGAACCAATTAATCTTGAAGATGGCTGATATCTCTCTCGAAACTCTTACAGCAGCTACCGCACCACCTCCAGTAGCCATCGATGATGACAAACCAGCTCCAGTCACTGTTTTACCTAAACCTAGTCCATCTCAACTTCATGGATCTTTACTTGCTCAAGCAATGCTTAAAATTCCTGGATCACCTTCTCAACTCATTCAAAATTCTTTGTTGTCACTTCCTACTTCTACCATACTTGCCCTCTCTTTATATCCAACCACGACTCACATAATTCAAGCATCACTTCTTCCCATCTCCGCCTAATACTCCTTCGAACCTTTTATTTCGACGAAAACTCATCAACTCTATTATATCACCTCCAGAGTCAGCTACCTCAACAACCCAACCACCAATAATTACATTATCCTTGTCACCTGCAGGAACACACATTCTGGATTCTCTTCTACATACAACAACTACACCAACTTCTACTTCATCAGCTTCTCTCTTTTCTCTTTGCGAGCGTATTGCCATGTCACTTATGCCTTACGAAGCTTTACTCAGAGAAAGTTGGACAGGAAGAATTGTTTGGAGAAATTGGTCTATGGATTTATTCAGAAGAAGAAGAGCGGATTGGGTGAAGAGAGTTAAGAGTGGAGATACACAAGGGAAATCCAATATCTCAAATACAGTTGTATTGAAGACTCAAGATGGTAATGCAAATGCTATGGTTGGAAAAGAAATTCTTGGAGATGGAATTGGAAAGCCTCATGGAAAAGGTAAAAATGGTGATAAAGAGTTTGGAGGAGAGAGACAAAAGAGTGCTATTGAGTTGGCGAGAGAGAAGTTTGCTGCTCATAAACTTGCAAGTTTTAAAGGAAAGATTATGCCACCCAAGGGGGTGAAGGCTACTGGAGCAAATGCTATTTGAGGGTTGAATGAGGATTTAAATGAACATGGAATCATGAATGAAACTTCACGATAATGACATGATGGAATTGAATGGGATGAGATTTCGGCAATCGCATTCCAGTAATGGGTACAAGAACGAGCATGATTTGGGTACTAGCCTATGAGAATGGATGGGCCGGGAAAAGGGAAATCAAAAGCAACAATCAAACAATGAATGAGGGACGAACAAATGGGAAAAAAAAAGGTGTAGAATATCAGAATGAACGAAGCTACGAATGTGTGAAAGCTATTGAAAGAATGCCTTGCGAATCTATGAGAAAGATTCTTTACTTGATTCTATTTTCTTTTTTCGTTTGTCTAACTTTCTGGTCTGGTTTACGCTACAATGTTCTTGATTGGTCTAATGGTTATGGTTTTATTACTGTCTTTTCTCTAATTTTTGATTACATACGAATATTACTTAGCGTGCATAGCATGGGTTTATGGATGGGATGGGATGGGATGAGGTTGGATGTGGTTGCATTAGTGGGTAGATGGTGAGAAGATGTTTCTTTAGGAGGGGGGAGAGGAGAGAAAAGGGGATGATGAATGGAGTGGAATTAGCGATGAGATGTAAATGTTAATTCAGAAATGAAAGAGTTAGTTTATATTTTGGTTAGGTTTGATGATTGTGATTGTGAGTGTTTTATGTATGTTATGATATGATGCGATGTTCAATGGATGGATGACCTTTAAAGAATCCGCTGCATAGCAATATAGACTTCACATCCTGGTCACTACTGATGGTGTAAGATAGTCACTGGCACAACAGTCACTGGCAAAACAGTCACTCACAAAAGCTAGCTGGGCCTAGAAGAAAGCTATCAGAGTTGCTACAACACTTGCCGCAACATTATCTATATCGCAACTCACATCAGCCTACATGGGCATACAGTTAAACTATTTGAATTGATATTGAATTTTGATATAACTACCACTTTTTAGGTGCACCAACTACTGTCCTAGAAAATGTAGCACTAGCAATCGTTGGATTCACGGCCTTGGCTTTCTCTTTTGCCATTATACCAGTTCTGTCTGTGACAGGAGTGGCATCAATGATGTTATCAAACTCATCATCTTCTCCATTATCCGAATCCGCTTCAACCTCAGAGTCTTCTTTTAATGGCACAGGCCTTGAGATCTTTTCTGGAGCTGCTTTTTGATTTGTGGTCTGTGGATTTGAAAAGGGTTTAGAAGCGAGGACTCGCCGACGGAGTTCTGCCATTTCTTCTTCATCATCCTCATCATCGGAGATAGCAAATGGATCCTTATCTTCTTCCTCATCCTCATCATCCTCATCGTCATCAACCTGTGGTTTCTTTTTTGGTTGTTCTTTACCGAGATATATTCCATCGACTTCTTCACCACTGTCTTTTCCCTCTTCATCTTCTTCATCTTCATCATCATCATCATCTGAACTTTCAGGTAATCTATGATTCGTGTTTCCACTCTTCCAAATATCATCTTCACCATCTGGACCACCCTCTCTACTCTCTTTATATTCCCTCTCCAATTTCTCCATCCAGACTTCCTGGGCCTTTTTTATCTCTTCTTCATCTTTGCATGCTGCATATCGTTTTAAAAGGCTAGAATTGATATCCAGAAATGATCGACCGTAGTTGAAAGGCTCTAAAATTTGCTCCGCCCAATCCTCAAATCCGCATATATAGAATGCAGCTCCCAAAGCCTCCACACAATTTAACCTCCAAGGTTTACCGTAATTGACCGAGTTTGCCGCTACGAGATACGGCAACAGTCTCTCACATTTTCCACCTATCTTCGCCCAAGGTACTTCTGACGTGCGAGCCCATGAACATTCTACCACTGCCGCACCATATTGCAACATGATTTCGCGATCGGCCGGTGATATTGTAGCTTTCGCATTAGGAGATATAATAACACCTTGATGCTTTTGACCAACATGTAACTCCCGCATAAGATTGAGCTTCATCAGTTTCTTCCCAGAGCAACGTTTTGGATCGCAGTGACCGAGATCCCAACATGCAGCTTTGAAAGCGGGACGAGAGGAGCGGGGTTGTGATTCATCATCGGAATTGTTACGCGGACCTCGATTTCGGGGAGGGTTGCTATATTTCTTGCCTCTAGAGGAGAAATTATCTTTCTTGTGTCGGACCATGGTTGAAGTATGTAGATTATCTGATATGTGAGTAAAAGAAATAAATAAACTTTAGAGGTGATGATATCAAAATCGAGGTGGGGAAGCCAAGAAATGTTCAGCCTTGCAAGTGAGGCTGACTAAGCATACTTTCATCATTCCTAAAGTCCAATCGTGTCCACCCCACTGAGCTCACCCACAACCTCTCGCGCCGCATCAGCTCAGATACGAACTTTCCACAACCAACATTTTCTTTTAACCCAACAACATTCCGCTTGGTAATATACAAGAACATCCCTCCAAATGGAGGCAGCTTCCGCACGAATGGCGGCACGAGATCGTTTCTCCATGATGGGAGATCCGGGACCCTCCCCTCTCCAACGATATATTCAGCAAGCATGCTCCCCCGATAATTATGAGCCAAATCTTGCTATGAATCTCGAAATTTCCGATCTTATAAATTCGAAAAAAGGAAGTGCGCCACGAGAAGCAGCTATTGCAATTGTTAATTATATCAATCATCGCAACCCAAATGTTGCAATATTGGCACTTTCCTTGTTGGATATTTGTGTGAAGAATTGCGGATATCCATTTCACTTGCAGATCAGTACAAAGGAGTTCTTGAATGAATTAGTGAGGAGATTTCCGGAACGACCACCGCTCAGACCGAGTAAAGTTCAAATGAAAATTTTAGAAGCTATTGAGGAGTGGAGGGGGACAATATGTCAGACTTCGAGGTACAAAGAGGATTTAGGTTTCATTAGGGATATGCATAGGCTATTAAGTTATAAGGGATATGTCTTCCCGGAGGTTAGGGTAGAGGACGCCGCTGTGCTCAACCCGAGTGATGTAAGTTTAGTGGTTGATGGAGGGTTACTGGGACAGCAGACTGACGATATTATAGAATTTAAAATCTGCGGAGGAGATGGAAGAAGAGGAAAAGGAAGCACAATCTGCGAAGTTACAAGAATTAATTCGTCGTGGTGGACCGGAGGATTTGCAGGAAGCCAACAGGTTAATGAAAATTATGGCAGGATACGATACCAGGTCGAAAACGGATTATCGAGCGAAAGCCGCCGAGGAAGTTGGGAAAGTTCAACAGAAAGCCAGATTGTTGGAAGAACGACTCGAGGAATTCAAGCCTGGAGATGTTATGACGGAAGGCGATGTTTACGAAGAACTTGCTTCAGCTCTTCAGAGTGCGCATCCTAAAATACAGAAAATGTGTGAAGAGGAATCGGACGATCACGAAGCTGTCGCAAAGCTCTTGGAAATCAACGATAGTATTCATCGTACAGTGGAGCGATATAAGCTTATGAAGAAGGGTGATGTGGATGCAGCTTCAAAGATTGCCAAGGGAACCCTTGGTACTAGTACAGGGGTTAGTAAGAATGCTGCAAATGAACTCTCCTTAATCGATTTTGATGGTGAACCGGAGACTAATGGAAGCTCTTCTACGAATAATCCCTCGGCGAGCATTTCTCAACCAGGTGGTTTAGAAGATGACTTACTTGGGTTATCTATGGGGAATACTTCATATGGCGAAGGCGGTGGCATCTCTCTTGGATTTGGGAACAATACCAGTAAGTTTTCCTTGAAATATTTTGAATCCACCATATTAACACACTCTAGATATCCCCGGCCCAGCTTTATTATCTTCAACGACAGAAAACAGCACTGCGAAAGGACCTACGCCAAGCATATCTCCGGCACCTTCAAACTTACCTGTGAAACCCGATTATTCTGCGTTTTCCGCATTTGGAAACTCACAACCACCATCGAAACCAGTGACTCCACAACCATCTCTCTTACAGCAACAACAACTACTGCAACAGCAACAAGCCGCAGCTTCGAGACCTCCCTCGAATATCGATCCCTTTGCCGCTCTAACATCGCCATCAAGGCAATCTACTCCTCAGCAGTCTGCCTCCATGTTTGATTTCGCGAATCCTAAACCCCCTATATCTCATGCAGCGAATGCTTCGGCCCCTGCAGCAGATGATGATGAATGGGCATTTTCATCTGCCTTACCCGAGGGTCTTCCATCTACTAACGATTTAACCATTAATAATACCAACCTCAAAATATCCTTAAATGCTACTCGCGAACCTATCACACCTGATGTTATCACTCTTTCCATTGCATTCTCAAATAATTCCAACGAGCCAATATCTGATTTAACCTTTCAAGCCGCAGTCACTAAGGTATTTTATTTTCCATCTACCTTCAATTTGCTCTGAAGAAACTAATGTCATGTATAGGGTTACACACTCAAATTACAACCTCAAAGTGGTCGAAGGCTCAGTCCCCGTCAAAACTCGGGCATCACCCAAAAGATATACCTGCAAGGTGTAGAACACGGGAAAGGTGATCAGGTGAAAATGAGGTGGAAGTGTTCGTACCAACTTGGTTCTCAAATATCTAATGAGCAAGGCGAAATCGCGAGTTTAGGAATCTCTTGATGGAGATGATGATGAGATGAAAGTTGTATCCAAGGAGTTGTAATTGGAGGAGGATGTCGGGGAATTTTGTTAAGCGGCAGAACGTATGCCTAGATGTACGAAAATTCAAGCGATATAGTTCAGATTAAGGAGCACATTACAATACATGGAGGTTATGGATACCTGGCTACGGCTGATATCACCTGAATTTAATTTCAAATCCCCTACAACCCTTACAGCTGTACTGTTTGTTTATTGTCATGATCGTGGTGAGGACTTATCTTGCTTTATATTCCCGTCTTCCAGAAAGTAGGGTCTTTGTATTTCAAATTTCGGATTTTTACAACAAAGCGGTTCATGTTCAATCAGTGAAATCTGACCATTTTACCTATACTCTGGAATCCATATTGCGGGAAGACTTTACAAATGATACTATATTTGGACCTGCATAAATACGCTCAACGATATTTGCTTTTTATCCAGACACTACCCAATCGGGATTCGTATCCTATGGGGCTATATATTCCTTAAATAGGCTTTCCTGCCGTATAAAATGCAAATTTCTCTTACTGCAGACACGAAATATTGCGTGGATTCCGGTGTCTATATCTGAATATACGTTCCGGTGTATTTCCTGGTAAACCAGACACATTACTGTCTTCTGGATTTTTTATTGGAAGAATTCGATATCTCTCTTGGTCTAGGATATTTCATACTATACTCCCTTTTAACAACAATGGCAGGAATAATTAGTTAACTCTCCGGAATGCCCTCGTCCGAGTATCTTCTAAAAGAGCTTGCACGGATCCTTTGCTTTAGCTGCAAATTGGGACTATTCGGTTATGTAATTAGTTATTGAGTAAAGTTTCGTGGGACTCTGATTTTACGTACGAGTTAGATTGATGACTACTTCAACAATACGATACGGAAGCAGTAAATGCCGAGATTCATGAGATATGCAACAAGGAAAGAAAATGTCGGAGTGAAGAGTGCCTAGGATCCTTAATGTGAAACGGAATCATTTACTGGAGCTAGTTAGTATCCAGAATAGTCTTAATCAAGATTCATACTTTAAGGTCTACTTATTGGCAATGCTTGTCTATTCCTTGGCTTAAAGGTAAGTAAATTTAGTTGGTGTGTAGTGTGGGCATCCTCGGGGCCTAAAAGATGTGACATGAAAGCTTCGCGCCACATGTAATATCTTACTAAATATGTTGAAGATGATCTTCTGGTGCTAGTTGATGGAATCAAGAGATTGTTGATGATAACTCAAGCTTGGTAAGGTATAAAATATGGTTATAGGATAGCATAGGGGAAATATGGACGCATAGAAGCCGCTTGATGTTGAAAGTGTTTTGATTTTTCGAACAGATCCTCGTACCAAGGAAATAAAGTTCTTCATGTAGAAAATATATATTCTATATTTACATACCTCAGTACATTTTTCCTGCTTGTTTCTTCTGAAGTCTCGCCACTTAAACTAAACTTGCTCTGGATATAGAATTACACATACCAAGAGGTCCTAACATGTGGAAAGATCCTCATCCTGGCCTCTGCGACACCTCATTGCCACTTCCCAGTGGGCATAAAATATTCGATACTCTTCTTTCTACTTGAATGTCAAATGATACTTACACAAGGTTCATGATTCTACATATTCTCAATAGCCTAACCCTAACCCAACATAGCTCTCCCACTTAATTTAATGACCATACGTTCCCTAGGACATAGAACCATGGCATCAAAGTTTTCATTTTAGCCATCTATAGAATTACGAAATAAATAAGAATGCTAGTAGCGATAGTGTCAAAATGTCAATTAAAGTATCGCTTGGTCTTGGCTTATTGTCTAAAAACCATCTAGCGAGACTAGGCGATGTACTACTGAATTAGTTCTTCAACTAAGGTTAATTACCGAAGCCCACCAGTGGACCACAAATTTATCTACCGTATTCGCGATAAATTTCAAACATCTACATCAGGATGTATTTGATGAAAATGATATTCATCTACCTAGTTTCCACTACATTTGGCGAAATAAAAACACATCTGATCCAGTTTGAGGATCCGAGAATACTGTGAGAACTCCCTCTCCAATTTTTAATTCTGCCACCAAATTCCGTATATTTATACTTAAATATATCTCAAAATCCACCACAATCTTTTGCTATCTCTAGCAACATGACGTCTGATCCAGAAATAGCCAGTTTATCCCCGAAATTCATTAAATAGATCCTCAATACCTACATTATATGGGACTGCGATAGTAATTACACCTCCTCACTATCGCCAAAACTACCCGCATCTAATTTCTATCATCATCACGTAGAGAAAATTTTCATTTTCGCAATAATTTCTATACTTTAACTTATCGCGATAAATCGTGGATAGTTTGTCACTGGTGACCAAAAATCCTCATTGCGTAGTGATGAAGTGGTTAATGAGCTCAAGTTGTCTGCGCTAGTAGAAAAGAAGAAAGAGAAGAGAACATGGCCTTTCTACAAATGGATTAAACGACGAATAAAGAAATGAGAAGAATCGAAAAGAGAAAAAGGATGCTCTAACTACTAACATAGATGAGGTCCAGGATCTAAAATTGAAGATCACAGGTCATAAGATGCAGAGTGTAAATTTTGAACTTCTGCGAAGTGCAATGCGAAAAAGAGCTAGGTCTAGTGGTCTAATCTTTTAAGTGTTCGTTTTGATATAGAGGGAAAGAGGTTTTGCCGACTTCATCACCATGAAAGATGAGTCTGAATTTTACCCCGAAATGTTAGGATGGATGGGAAGGTGTTCGAGACAGGAAGCTTTTATTGAGCTAGTAAAGGGGTAGTTTATTGATAAAGTTGATGGAAAATACCTAGTTATTATATTTAATTTCCCATAATGTGAACAAAGGAAATATATTAAATATCTTGATATTAATCTAATCCTTACGAATATGCCATAACATCAAAGATACAGTCACATAAGATTACATTAGCTCAGCCCAGTCACACAAAATACTCATTCAATATCCTCATGAATCTCTCGGCACACACTATCTAATTTCATGATGTCAATCTGAGGATAAATAATTTCAATTTTTGGGCTGAACTTTGATTTATCTCAAAAGATCAAGCGCATTCATTGTTGAAGTAATACCCACTATCATTATATTCTCATCTCCAGACAGACTTATCACTCTGACTAGCACAAATTAACATAATCTTCTGACGAATATGATTCCGAATATGATTCATCTACCTAAGATAATATCTACCTAACCCGTATTAAGCACAAGTAAATACTAGTTAGCGTAAAGTCTTAGTTGTAGCAAATCCGACTTTTATCTCTCTCAATTTTCCCAAGTCATTAAATATAGATAAATATTGAGGATACACACACAAACGATCATTCTTATCGTCATAATGTAAACCCATCTTCACAACCACAACCAAAATTACAAGTACACACCCATTGATTACCTTCCAATTCTTCTTCGAATCTCTTATCCTATCCCATACCATCCCATTCTATCCCAACCAACCCCTTCCCCCCGAAAAAGATATCCATCCTCAAACACCCCCCTCAAACACATTCCTCCATCTCTCTCCACCATATCACCCGCAACCTAGCATCATCACTCACACTCATATTCACACCCATCCCATCACATCCCCATCAATCTTCATCTTAATAATGGGATATTCATTTATATCAAATAAATATACATATAACCATATGTATCTATACCTACCTACCTACCTAGCACCTAAGTACCTATATAAGTATTTAATATTCCCGTAGCATCCCCATAGTATTCCTCTAGTATCTATTTCTCTCTTCTCAGAAATAACAAATTATCGAGAGCTTTATCTTTCCCGTTTAGCGAGTTCATAATTAATCAATTTTATAAATTTACATCTACATCCCCATCCCCATCACCAAAAAGAAATAAGAATCTCAAATCTCACAAACGCAATAACCATAATAATAATAATAATAATAATAATAATAATAAGAAGAAGAAGAAGAAGAAGAAGAAGAAGAAGAAGAAGAAGAAGAAGAAGAAGAAGAAGAAGAAGAAGAAGAAGAAGAAGAAGAAGAAGAAGAAGAAGAAGAAGAAGAAGAAGAAGAAGAAGAAGAAGAAGAATAATAATAATAATAATAATAATAATAATAACAACAACAAAATAACAAAATAAACTTTTTACATTTCTATTTCTCTCTTTCCACAAACCAAGGAATATAAAATTCCGGGTACTATCCCATTTCTATAAATACACTTCCTATACACTATACACTATACACTATACACTAATTATACAATAAAATAAAATATATCCTACCCCGCCCGCAATCCAATTCATCTTCTGATGTAATAATTCATCAATACCGTTCTTTCGACTCTTTCAGTCCTTTCAGTCCTTGCTGATAATATCTGATTTCTGAACTTGAGGCTACCTGCCACCTGCCACCTGACATCTCTCTTCCTTCCTTTCTCTATGGATATATATATAGATATATAGATGTATATATATATCTATCACGCCAAAAACTCCTACCAACCATGTAATATAACAATAAAGGTAGGTATATAACTCCATCCCATCCCATCATAGAACCACCACACCACACCACACAACTACCGACTCCTACTCCTCCTCAAACCAACCCCATACCAACCCCTCCCATCCGCATCCGCATCCCTATCCACCTCTCCCCTCACCAACCCCAACCCCTGCCTCCTGGACCTCGACACCCCCCCCAACAATCTCCTCCATCCCCCCAAATTCCCCTCCACTTTCCCGTATGAATCCCCAACCCCGTCTCCCCAAACTCAATCAAATTGCTCCTTCAACACCTTATCTCTTATCACTACCCACGCTGATACAACGATCCACATCTCCAAATTCTACTACTCTCCCCCCTGCAACTACTAATCCCTCCACTACCATTACTTCCCACCTCTTTTCATTTCTGGGGCTTCTAGATCTGCATTTCGATTATTATTGTGAAATCCGCCTTCTCCACTTCCTAGATCTGGACTCGGATAGATAAAACTTAGATCTCGTGTCATTCCTCTTCTATCCTCAGCTTGACCTTGATATACCATTTGAACTTCCCCATTTGTCATTCTCGGGCTAAAATTCTCAGCTAAAGGATTAAAGGTCCTAGGTACCCTCGCTTGCGAAGAAATATATTGTGCCTGTGCTTGTGCCTGTACCTGTGCCTGTCTCTGAATTTCCATCTCTCTCTCATCACCCTCAAATAGAACCCTATTAGGATCATCCCTAACCACCGCCCTCGCAAAAGCCAATCTCGGACTCTTCCTCACCATACCTCTCTCTCGATCCTGCGGACTAAGATTTAGATGATACCCCGAAGGAGAATAAAGCTGATAACTTCTCTGCGGAGACATTGGCAATGTATTTCCTATTCTTGAGGAAAAAGGTAGTTGAGGAATAGGTTCTGTGTCTGCAAGTGAAGTTCGTCGAGGAAGAGATGCTGAGGTAGATGTTGAGCGGGGACGAGCTGAAGCGGGATGAAGAGATCTTGTTGAGTGGGTTGATTGGCCTGATGGGTCTCGGGAGAGGGGTTGAGATGTGTATAGTGATTCTTGGGGTGTGGTACGTGGGGTTGTTGAGCCGATGGTGTCAGAGTGAGAGAATTCGGGGTGTCCTGGGTAATAAGTTGAGGAGTTAGGACGATATTGAGAAGGGAGAAGATTAGGTGAGGAAATTGATTGGAAGTGAGTGGGAAGATTGAGCTGATTAGGGTTTTGGAGGTTGGCTTGATGAGAAGTCGGGATATGTAGCGAGCCATTCAAAGAGCTTGGATAAGATTGTGAGTCCCAGCTTTGATAATCATGAGGAAGATCTCGTTTTAGTGGTGGTGACAATGATGCGTAAGGTACAGTAGATCTTGTAATCGGGACCGGACCTGTCATGATCGGATAAATATTGTTGAAAGGATCCGGTATTGGTTGAAGGTTATTATGATTGCCATTGACATTCGGCATATTATACAAATCATTATCAGAAGCAGGATAAGGTTGCTGATAGTATAAATCCGGTGTACGAGGATATGGTGGCATGGGAGTATAAGGCGTGCGTGGCTGTGGCGATGGAACTTCCACTTCATGCGGAATACGTTTTAGAGCAGCAGTGGCTGTTGCTGGCTCAGGAAATCCAAGGTTTGAAGTTGTATCACTAAAATTTTCCTCCGTACCATGTCGAGAGGCTGTATCTCTCGTTGAACCAGCAACAGCCGAAGCGTAAGTCGGAGTGGCTGTGATGAGATTGGACTCTGTTAATTTATCACCAGATGTTCCTCGATCCTGAATTGGACCACCTCCTCGAGTTGGTGGTGGACTGTTTTTGCTAATATGTGCAAGTGCTACTCTGGCATTGGATTGACCAGATAATCTACTACGAGATTGTGGTCGATTATCAGGTTGTTGTAATTCACCATGTGCAGTAACACTGCTCACACGTGGATCTGTATAACTTGGAGTTAAAGAACGGAAAGAACTAGCACGGCTTCGAAATTTTCTTGATTCCTGAGCTCTAATAGTTCGATGAAGATCAAGTTTTGGTTGTGTGACCCTTGGACGTCGAGGCTTGACCAATTCCCATGGACCTCCAGGAGTTTCAGGTGAATTAGCTTGAGAAATCGTAGGCTTTAATGGTTGAAGTGTCATATTAGAACCTTCCCGATCACTATCATATCCAGTATCTTCCTTGGGAAGCTGAGGAGGAAATCGCATATGCTTTATGTTCTCAACTTGTCGGAGGAAATCCGGATTATGAACCAGACGCTGAGGAGATTCAGTATGGGGCCCAAGAGCCCAAGGAGTACCTTCAATGAACTTATCCGCGGGTGTTTCTGGATCTGCGCCAGTATCAGAAGAGCTGCTAGTACGATCAAAGATCGAAGTTTGAGATGCTTCAGGTCGGCCACCAGCAATAAAGTGTGAAGACTCCGGAGTTCGTCGTTGGATTTCGCTTCGAATAGTACTCAAAACATCTTCCAGAATGATATGTGTAGCTTCAGGATCCAGCATTTCTTTCTTGTGTCGTTTGATGTATTCCTTCTTGTGTCTTTCGAGATGTTGCTGAAGCTTGATGCCGTGAATCTCATAAAGTCTATAATCTTCAACAAGTCCTGTGTGTGTTTTCTGTGTAATTCGATCATTGGCTTGTTCAAATGAATGACAAAAAACTCCAATAGCTCGGTCAAGCCACATGGGTAATTTTCCTTTCGCATGTAAGGTATCCACAAAAAATCCTTGAACGACACTATGCAACGTGATAACATCGATATCATCCGGTAACAAATCTCTACTCCCCTTTGATGTTTGGGATGAACTAAGAGGCTCTTCGCGTTCGGTTCGGTCTATCAAAGCGAACTTGTTCAATACTTTGAATGTATTGTTCAGAGATCTTCCTGTAATAGGCTCGCTGGCCCTAATTGGAACATCGAGTGCATCTAAACCTATTAATCATGTTAGTACGTACATACTTGAGGGACAGATGACGATTTGATATTTACCTAATGCAATCATCTCAACCGGAACATGTTGACTGAAAAAGCACAAAATATGTATCAAGTTGAGAGTCTCATAAGCCCCAAGCTTCTCCAATTGCTCAACCACAGAGGTAAAAGCTTGGAGCTCTCTTAATCCTTTTGGCCCCGATGCATAAGACCTAGCATATCTGGCAAGTGGCTCATCCGTAGCTTTCAATCGTTGAGCAACAACATGAATGACCACAGGTAAGAATTGCATTGCCTGGACCAATTCCATCGAATGTTTGAGATCATCTTGAAGGAATGGTTCCTTCTTGTCGAGTTCACGTAACAAAAGATGTTGTGCTTCTCTCGCAGACAGTGGTGATAACTTCAAAATCTGTGGGTTCATGAAATGGTGATCACCAATGACTGACTTCTCTGTTGAAGTATAGATGATACTAGTGTCGGTGCTGTCAGGAATGAATCTTCGCAGGGTGTCGTCAAAGTGAATACCGTCGAGTATCAATAACCAATGATGTCTATGATTCAGCCACTTTTTGACTAATTTAATAAATTGATCGGGATTGTCGAGAACCTTTGGATCTTCATTAACCATGGAAGGTTTTAACGCTGCTTTCTTCGCGATTTGCCAAAAGCCAGCAGTGATTTCCTGTTCGGTTTTTGCTCGAATCCAGAATACTCCACCAGGGAATTCGTGCTTGTGTTCAAACACGTATTGTCGAGCCAAATGAGTCTTACCACAGCCAGGCATACTTTGAATCAAAACTGCAGATGAACCTTGAGATCGTCTAGTTTCATCAAAAAGCATCTTATGCATCTCAATCAACTTTTGCTCTCGACCCACAAAGATTGAATTGGGACGAAAGCCAGGTGGCTTGATGAAATATTCTGCACTATCGTCTGTAACATCGGGCTCAAAGGTTACAACGGTTTGAACTGAATTCGATAAATCTACGGAACCAAACAAATCAGCTTCCTCCAACAATTTGTAAAGCAAACGCAAAGCTCCAAATGACCAAGGAAAAAAAAAAATCAACCCCAACACCCGAGGTCCAGATAACAAAGAAATTTGGAGATCAATTTTAACGATACACCATCTCAGTATCTCCCTCAACTTCCGAAACCTCATAATCAAACATAGGCCTTGCGTGAGTCGGCTCCATCAGACTAGGCTGATGATGAGCCGACGAAGCACCTTGGTACGTACCCTTGGGTTGTTGTGGAATTTCCGGTGCTGAATTGGGCTACGACTAGGTTAGTAAAAAAGTTCCGGCGCGAAGGATCAGAGAGAGCGTACATCTTCGAATTGACCTCTGAGTTCTCTGATTTGCGCTTCTCTTTCCTCAATTCGCTTCTTCTTTTCCTCCCTCCAACGAGCGCGAACTACTGGAGAAGCCTCCAAGGCCCATGTCTTGAGTTTCGTGGAAACATTCATGTAGCCTGGTGCTCTTTTGCTTTCATATTTGCATATGCCGCTATGTGTAGCCTCGATACCAAAGTAAGAGACATCTGGAAGTAGAGGGCTGGCAGAAGTTTGATCAACGACGAAAGCTTTTGTTCCTTTGAAGTCCGTCTTTAAACTCTCATGAGCCATGCAAATCTTGAAGCGTTGATAAATGTCGAGAAAGTGGAGGTTGATATTCGCAAGTGTCTCATTGTTTGTCGTTAAAGTTTGGATGAGGATTGATTCCGAGTCCAAAGCCTTCTTTGGCATCAAAGCTGATACCATTCCCTGAAATATCAAACCCCATTTTGCCGGATCAGCACCCGTATGTGGAGTACCCAGAAATATGATTCCAAAAGTTGAGACGGCGATGGAACGAATTTCGTTATTGCTCTTGCCTTGATAGTCGTGGGAAATTTCTAATGCCTATGAGAGGTCCATTAGCTTTGGTGGTATATTGCGGGGTATAGTGGTGTTACTTACTCGTTTTACCAAGATACCACCCAAACTATGTGCGACCCAAATAATTGGGTTTTCATCGGCCTCTTCACTTTTTCTCTCTAGGGCCAAGCTCGAAACCAAACTCTGTGCGTGTTCATGAATTCGGTCATGAGAAGCCGATTTCTCTCCAAAAGCTACAACATCCGCATTGTATCCATATACGAGTATTCGGACCTTGGCAGATTTGGTCGGATCTTTTGAACTGAAGGTAACTGGCAGGAGAGCAGTGGGCCAGAATATGCCATTCTTCGCAGTCCACGTATGTTGGGGGTGACCGTTCAAACCATGAACCAGTACAATATCTGCTTCAGCTTCAGGATGGGCATAGACTTCTGTGACTTCGTAGCGATTGATTTCATTGGGGTTTATAGCGGATCCATCCTGTTCAATGATGAAATGAAATTAGCCGATAAGCTCTCGGATCTCTGCTGGTCCCTTGCAGACGGAGAGAATGTTTAAATCTGGGGAAAGGACAAGTGCACTTACCATGTCGAGAACTTCGTGGGTCCGCGATGAAGCTCGAGTTCAATCGTTGCGTATATAAGCATGAAAGAGAGGAAGACTTATATAGACGAATGAAAGATGGATTTACACAAGTTGGCAACGTAAAGTGTCATGAACTTTGCGCGAAAGTAAGCTTGCAGGCGCAAAGTATGGAAAACGTCTGCCTGACTGAATTGACGTACTCAGGGCATATAAGTTTTCGGTGTATATTAATGTACTCGTGAAGGTTGTGGCACGCGCCAAGGGAGTTAGTCACACGGGGGGATGAAAGTGTATGAGACGCCACAAGAACAGTTTATTGAGTTTAAGACATGGACGGACAGATTTGCAGGATGCGATATCGTAATAGATATATGCCTTTTGTCGTTTTTGGCCGTTTGAATGAGGGGACGTGTTTGGAAATGGTGAGTTGAGATGTGAAAACATTTCGAAAAGAATCCAGGTCAGCTGGCGACATGGGATACATAAGGGACTAAGTAATAACTAGGTAAAGTAGGGTAGGCCGATAGAATAGGCAACTAGGTATTCTTTAAGGATGGGATGTGAAGAGCTGGTAATCCATACGTAGGGTAGTTTGTAGGCTTTGAGTTTATCAATAGGGCCATGGCTATGCTATCAAATCGAAGCTTTTGGGTGTGAAGACAAGAAGGCTTAGCACATTTTAGGGTCCTCACCTCCGCATAGCACTAAACCTCAACAGTATATGTCACCCAATAATATATCCTGACTATCCCCAAAGTCTAAGCGTCTCACAACTCTAACTCTAAAAATGGCGAACTTGTGTGCAGGATTGACGCTTGTAGGAGCTATTAGGGTGGGTACTGTGAATCCTGGTCATACGGATGGCGCCGTACATACTTGCATCAGGGGGAACTTATAATTTCTGAATTTCCTCAACACAGTCACCTCACCTCACCATATCAATTCATAAACATAAACATAAACATAAACATAAACCGTATTAAGTATCTTTTATATGATTCACACAACTCTATATAAATATCTCGTACTCACGCTTACCGACGGAAGAACTTCGACGCAATAACCACTGTTATATTTATGGATTCTGGATTCCCGTGTTCCAAGTGGATAACTACTAAACTAAATAGAGGGCGCCTTAGTGGTCGACTAAACTGTCTGTCACATGAATTATCCGAATTATCCGTCATCGTAGCGCCGTAAGACCAGGAAAAGAGGCCATCAAATATTGGGTATATTCGGATATCGGGATTTGTAGCGATATTGGGAATGCATTAATACCGTCATAGAGAGTCAAGTCACCACTTTTGTTGGAACATTACTTGGATATCTGCTATATCTGCTATATCTGCTATATCTGTTATAAATGTGTTTCACACCGAGTCAATTATATGTAGTAAGCTGAGTAAGCTTGAGCAGGGTTCTTCTGGAAGTTCTAAAATATGGCGAAAAATATACGAAATCCACCACACGATTTGGAGCCCCGAAGCCATCAAGACGCATGCGAGGAGTATCAAATAATCATCCCCGAAGAATAGAGATAGGGTCAATGCATGAGAAAGAACTGAACCACGGAAGTTTACTTGCGTCATGAAGGAGGCGGATAGAATTACTCCTATAGGCCCTAGAGCGTGTGACCCGCGTCGAGTCATAGAGATTTGCTATCCCACTCTGCCCTATGCTATGCGTCAAAAGTGTACAAAGTACAGAGTATGAGGCTCAAACTTTCGGTAAGTCTGTGTTAGCACCGGCATTTCTTGATTGATTGCCCTAAACATCGAAGCTTCTGAACTCTATTTTGGATTCTCGGCGAAATACCCCGCTGAGCTTGACTTTGAATAATTCGTACTGGCGGCAAATAAGTGAGACAGTGAGACTAATTTGTGTTGGGAGAGATTTGAGTCCTTAACGCGTGCATTTCCTTTTTTCTATGGCGATCTTCAGGATCCACTTTCATCTGAAATGCCTGTGATGGCTTGCAGCTGACTTATGCTTCTCTGACGTCGTACAATTCGTATACCATAGCAAAAGTTTGAATGAGCTTCCGAAAGTATGCTATCATAATGATCAACACCTTCCTACTATACTTTGCGAACTAAGTTCTCGGTGCCAACATTAGCACATATTCTCTTGTACTGTGACCAAACTGTATCATGTCCTTATCCATTAACTCAATATATCGACTCTTGTCCACCGGATCTTTGTTCATCATGGTGCCATTTGCGGAATCCAAGTCGATCAAGTAGGGCTTCACTTTTCGAATTTTATCTCCAAATTCGTTCATCTTTTCCGTCGCTTTGAATTGTATGACAGCGTGCTGTTTGCTGATACTTGGATGCTCCGCGGCTAGATCCACCACTGCAAGCTCACGACCGATAAGCCAGCAACTTCTTGTGCTCAAATCAATCGTTTCAATAATGTCGGCACCTTTGAACACAAAAAGCTTCCAATCATCTCTAGCGGGTGGTTTGCATGCTTCGGGCGGTTCGTGATACTTTAGCACTATAGCGTTTCCATCTGCTTGTGTAATTGTATTTGAGGCTGCTGCCAAGACCCCCGTTTGTCCCAAATTGGGTCTCTCTTTCTCTTTTACCGGTTCGTCCCCGGCAGGTACAAGAGCCATTGATGAAGGATCTCTTTTCGATTGAAATGATGCAGCCTGAGATGGCAGCGGACCATTTTGCTTTCGACTCACGGCGGATTTTGTCGCTGCTTCGTCCGAATTGGCATTATCGTCATCCTTGATCTGTCTTCGATCTCGCGACCTATCTCTTCTCCTGCGATGTGAATCTCGATCATTCCTCCGTCGACGAGAATCTGAATCAATTGGACTGCGCGATCTTCTGCGATGGCTTCCTTTATCTTCGTATCTATCTCTTGTATCTCTTGTACCTCTAGGACGATCATCACGCCGGTCGGAACGAATTGATCCACGGTCAGCCTCTCGCTCTCTCCTGCGCCTCCTCCGCCTTCTCTCTTCTTCCGAATCTATTGAAGGTGACCTAGAATATTTCCGGGAAGAATAATCCTTCTGCTGATTAGAAGTCTCGGGCTGATCCATATTGTGTAATGAAGTGAGTAATTTAATCGTAAAAGAGGTGAGGTAGGTAGACTTAAGAAATGGATGTAATTTGACACAAATATAGTTATAGAAGCATCATCTACTCGTACTCCGAAGACTTCAGTTCGGTCACCGTAATCTTTTTTTTTTAGATGAACAGCTGGAGCTGAAGTTCAATCAGTCATCTTACCTAATTCAAACTAGCTTCATTCTTTGCTCATATTATGTAATCATTAAGACTCTTGAGATGATTCTCCTTTATATTTCCCCATATCCCACAATCCCATTTTATATCGCTCACATCATGCTGTGCTGTGATGTGATGTGATGCGATGTGATTGTTTTTGCTGTACTGTGTTTCTTTGCTGCCATTCTTCAACAATACGAATGATGTACAATTCAAGGAAATCAAATGCATCCTATGTATCAATAGGATCATGTGGACACCATCATTCAACTCCCTTACTTTCATGGTCATCCTGATCTATTTTCAACCCAAGATACATTCATCTTTGTTCCCATTTGTCTTTACTTTCTATATTTTCTACTGCTGATTCTTCAGACATATACAAGGCATGTAAGTCTTACTTTTCATGTAGTTTGGGGTACATTGCAGCACCTGAAACTCATCTCGAAATCGACTATCTGGTTTCATATCTCTCCGTATCTCAAATCCCTTACTGAACCTCTTCAATCATTGCTTTCTTTTCCCAATCATGTTCTTGTCTTTACTCTAGTAGTACTTTATCTTGCTTTACTTCCGAGTCTTCTCCCTTCGCCGTAAACGTGTCTTTCGTGGTTGGGTGGTTGTAGCGATATGAAGATAAGCGACCGCCCCCAGGCGGTTACGAGGGTTTTATGTGTTTTATGATTAGTCTGCATAATTCAAATGGACGCTACTTCATTCGTTTGAGGTTACTGCATTCAATCGAATGGTTCAGAATGATTCTTATCATCGAGACACCATGGGCCGCAGCAACATTGCCGCATACTCGCACGCTTGGATTGACTGATCAAGGCTTCAAACTCGAGTCAGATTATACCATGTGAGATGGGGTCCATTCCTTCGTTATTCTCATATTTATTCGATTATGTCCCAGCCTCATCCCTTAGATCTAAGCCTGCCTTAATTTCAATCCAATTCTTCCTAGGCCGCTTTTCAATTCTGGGGGATCACTGTCGTTCCAATACAACATCGCATGGCAACAAAGTCCTCAACAAATAACCCGCGTACATTACATAGGGATCTTGGGATTAGTTATTTGTACAGGAAACTCCACTGCTAAGCTCGTTTTGACTTTTGTTATCGAGGTTTACCACTTTTTCTGGGGCCAGCATTCCCCTTGGTTGAATCACCTGAGCAATTGTGTAGTCATGCCTCATGTTGTCTCTCAAATGCAGCCAAAAGAAAGGCCCGAACAAAGTTACAACTACAAACAAAAATTAATAAAGCCGGCCATTTCTCAAGACAACCTTCGCTCACCTCGTGGCCAACGTCATCAGAATGCAAATAGCGTGGCTCCCACGTTGAGTCTACTAGTTCCTCCACAAAGTACTTGGAAGTATACATCGGGTCGACAACAACTAAAGCATTTTTCGCCCGACAGATTAACACCTGTGTCCGCAGTCGATTCAGTTTTCGAATTACCTTGGGCAGCCACAAGTCGTTCCCAAAATTCAGCCATATCATCATTTATTGCCGAATTAGAAGATACTTCTCCCGGGGCCGTTCAACCCCAGAATCCTAGTATGGATTCAAAATATCCAATCAGTCCTACACTTTCTGTAAGACCCTCCTACAAAATATCGCATTACCAATACTCACTTATAACCCCAGTTACATGCAATCACTGCCATTGATGCCATCAATGACTTTGAGGTCGAGAATAAGCGACTTCTCGAGCGTGCTATTGCCGCGGAAAAAGCTGCCAAGAGGTTAGAGGAGCAAAACATGGATCTCCGACGACAAGTCAACTATTGTATGGGACAACATAGACCAAGAACTGCACCATCACAGATAACTTTTCAAAATCCTCGCAAACGCGGTACTGAGTACAGTACCAAAACACCTCTCTCCGCCTTCAACACGATGATGGATCATGTGGAGACTGACTATTTGCAAACTCCCATAAACACACCCACCCCGTTTCCTCGGCGCAATTCCTCTCTCCCAACACAATCGCCAGTTTCGCAACAAAGTAAAATTACACCAAACAGACTTGGTCCTAATGGATTCATTCCATCACGGAGACCTCCCCCAATTCCAGAGGGTACAAAAGTTTCTTTGTATAGAATTCAATCCCGTCATCCAGATATGGTGAGAAAGAACGATATAAATAACTTACGAACAACAAGTTCTAATAGTCGGATAACCAGAATTTCTTTGGCGGATTCAAAGCTTAGAGAAAAGCCGCTACCACCATTAGGTCCAATGGCACCATCAGCAATTCCGGGTGTGGTTGAAATCGGTAGCACACACGAAGATTTTATTCCTAGGCCACAACTGCGAACCAAGAAAAGTTTCGCGAAATTCTTTAGGAAAGGGAGGAAAGAATAGGCGCACTAAATCACAATATTTGCGTATTCCAAAAATATGAATAGAATATATATCGAATATAGGGATGTCATGTCATTCATCCCCGGCGTTGTACTTAATTTATGTATATCTGATGAATAACGAAATAGTACATACGGTGTAATTGGTCGTTTCACTCAGAGCGATGCCTCTGATCGATGAAGTTGCAGGATTAATAGTAAGGCAACAATACATATTTTTTTTTGCCGATATCCATACTACCTGTATATGATCCATTTATGTCCTCCCGTTTCTCATCATTCCCTCTTTTGCCAAAAGAAATCAATAGTATTGTTTATGTGGCAGGGAAAATTATACTAGCAATTCTGTATTATATCCCTCTGGATTAGGTTGGATGTTCCCTAAAAATCGGCATGATTACCTATTCTGTAGACTGAACAAGGCCTGACTCATTTATGATGCACGAACTTGATAATCATTTATTTACTGAAGTGTCAATTGTAGGATTATTTTATTTTCCCTTTGTTACACATATATATGTATGTATATGTATATATATATCACCATCCCATAACATTGCTCCAACACTATAAAAGTAATCTCATCATCGCGCCTATGCCTCTCTCCACGTTATCCCCGCGCTCCCACCATTCTCCGACATACCATTCTGCGCTCAACCGACCGATCTCCCCCTTACTTAAGAATTACCTACTATCGGTGTATTCGAATCTCTATCTATTCTTGTGCATGCATGCATTAGATATGTTGAATTTGTAAGTACTAAGTCTAGGTTATTTATTCTTGGAATCTTGGAATCTTAGAATTGTAAGATCTTATATATTATGAATGGATGAATAAATGGATGGATGCAGGGATGGATAGAGGTAAAAGATATATGGCTATCGATATCGCTTTTTCTTGGGGAATGTGGGAGGAAGTTCTTATATGATATGTGAGATGAGGTGTGCGCCGTGTGGTGAGGATTTGGTTGCTGTAGCTATAGCTGTGGTTAAGGATTAAAATCATATTGATGATGTTAAAAGGATATGAGGGATGGTTTGGGATTTTGGGAAAGCAATTGGAGGGGGATGGTTTGTGAGTATTGGGGGAGATTAATTTTTAACCTCCGGTGAGTACTAAAATTCAGAGATTTCTACTCTTAGAGTGCTTATAGCATAGTAGATCGCCTAGTCGCAATTTTCGCCTTCGCACTTACCGCAAACACACCTTTATTCTCTGAAACCAGTCACTTTATCAAAAATATACTTTTCCCAGTTATTTCTACACTATTAATTTGAAATGAGAATGGAGCAGTTCAAATTCTATACACACTAAATGCCTAGCTTTTGTGAAGCTAAACCCAAGCGAAGTAAGTTAAAATTCCTGATCTATATCTATAAATCTGGCATCTTTGCAGTTCCACCTTCTTCCATCAAAGTAAAAACCAGAAACCTTTCTTCATATCGATCGAACAAGAAAATTTTCTTATACACCATTTGAAACATAAAATATCCTCAACCAAGAAAATCATTACAACAATATAACAAAAATGCCTGCACTCGCGAACGTCACCCATGTGCCAATGGAACTCATGGAACTCATCACCAACATGATTAACACACCCAAAGACGAATACAAATGCAGAGCTCAATTATGAATGATGGTCGTAATTGGGATCGGATCTGGGTAGATCCTCTTAATATGTATTTGCGCTATCGTGGGAATACAGATGGACAAAGTAAACAAGAAGGAAAATATTATATCCGTGAAATTTGGACCCAGCTTTCCGGTTCTGAAAGGGGGAGAGCGACTTTATGTCGAGGAAAATAATGACACGAGACATGAAGGGATTGTCGCTGCTAGAGGGTCGCGACATGAAATTGAGATTGTTAGAGATGGAAAAGCCTGATATCGATGAGGAGATTTGTTTCCCAGAGGCTGCGAATGAAGCTCCAACTTACAACCATGACTCTTCAGGGAGTAGTTTGGGATAATGGGAAAAATAAACTGGATTATGAGGTACATGATGACAGTTGGAATAAGCTCTGACTAGTGGCGTAAGAGGAAGTTTCGTATTTTCGGGAGGATGCGGGAATGAAGTCGAGAAGTTGAGGCGTTGACCTTCGCTTTATCTTTTGTACGGGTTGGGAAAGGGTTTGATTTTGCCGAATGTGGACTTTTCTGATATTTGGGATTGTATGAGAGGGCGCGGATACGTCCAGGTTGTGGCTAGTTGTATCAATACACGCAAAATAGAAGGAGACCATAAACAAATGAAAAGGAGAATTCGCCGATTTGTCATTAAAGATGATCACAACGTAAAATCACAAAATATAACAAAGAAAAATCTTTCTGGAACTACAGAATTATTGTGAACCGACAACTAACTTAATACCTGAATATATTATGTGAGATTTAGGTAATCAGCACCGACCAAACTTCTCTAATCCACTTCGACTTTAAACGAGATCAAAAACCTACAACAGCATTTCACATCTGGGGACCCCAAAAGCCGTATTAGACCCGCTCCACTGTTTCCACATTTCCATTACCAGCCTCAAGCTCCTTAGCTAGTGCAGGCGCACCAGCACTTTCAGTTTGCTTCAACGCGAATTCCTTTTCATTAACAGGGTCGATACCCACAGCGGTCAATCTTCGTTCATCCATTCTGTCCTTAACGATAAAGTTCACATATACGGGATAAATGTATGCCAACACAAATGCCATCATAGGAATTAACATGGCCATATGGAATGGTTTCTTGCTTCCAGAATTTGTTAGATGCGTGGCTACAGCACCCGTCATAGGTGGAAATACTGCTCCTCCAGAAATTGCAGCTACCAAGAGTGATCCTCCGAGTTTGGTATGTCGACCGAGACCACGGAGGCCGAGGGTGAAGGTTGTAGCAAAACAGGCGGACTCGAAACACAGGACCAGAACTAGACAGGCAATGCTGCCATTACCATGCGATTGAGAGGCAGAGAGAACAAAGAGCCAGGATAGAAAGAGGTAGGCTGCTAGGATATAGCGAGGTTTGAAGACTTTGAAAGTCATGAGACCACCGGCTACGAAACGGTTGAAAGCATAAAGACCTTGTGCTGCAGCGAATATGTCGGCTACTTCTGATTAGCGGGTGTTTGAAGAATACTAGGAGGAAAAGACATACAGCTGGTAGGTGCATCTTTGCCTGCTTCTACACAGAAGTTGACAAAATAATTTGCAACCGAAACTTTTCGCGTTAGCACCATGTTTGTCGGTCATGAAAAAGTTATTATCCTTACCTTGTGCACCAATATAACAGAACATACTCCAAACAGCAAGGAAGAGATTGAATTGTCTTTTGAATGGTCCAGGGTCATAATCGGCAATTTCCAATTCTTGGGTGCTCATATCAGCATCCGTGATTTCTGGCATTGGTGCCAAATAAAACAAGACGATCAGAAGGCCGACAAAACCAGCAACACCGAGGTAAGTCCATTGAACGTTCTTGAGTCCTTGATCATTGTCGACTGTCTTAGCGAAAAAAACGCGAGAAGCTAGGAGGGGGGCGACGAAAGAACCCACAGCTTGAACAGCCTGTGCGAGATTGAGACGAATCTCTGAATATCTTGGAGGACCGCAGATGGAGAGGAAAGGATCTGCTGCAGTTTCGAGAGTTGATAATCCGGCTCCAACAACGAACATACTACCACAGTATCCGCCAAATGAATGTTTCACCCCGCTTGGCCACATTAAAAGACAACCAACCGCAAGGACACAGAGCCCAGTCATGAATGTGACTCTAAATCCCCATCTTCGAAGTACCCAGCCACTTATTGTTGTTGGGCAGAGCGCATAAGCACCAAAGTAGGCGGCTGATAGGCCGGAGGCTTTTGAAGCGGTGATGTTGAGGGAAGTTTGGAAATGAGGATTTAAAACATCCAGAAGTCCGTAGGCAAATCCCCTATATTTAATTAGTCAAAAAGCCATGCCATTTATTCAGAAATCGTTCATTTACCAGAGGAAAAAAAGGATTGTGACTGCACAGATGGATGAATTAGTCTCAGCAAACACGATGGTGTCTGGTGGATTACAACTCACCTAGAAAATTGGGTATAAGTGATTGTCGTAATGTCAGATGTACCGCAGATGTCACCACATCATCAGCAACGGTAATTTTCCTCTTCCACAGTCTCATGTTGATTCTGTTTCTTTATGGTGTCCGCACCTTGGAATCCGTGTATCCTGTGTATTAGACTACACCTTGAATAATTGTAGGATATGAAGTCTGAAACCATGAGAAGGGAAGGCTCAGTATACAGATGATTTGAATAAAAAGAGAATGGTTCTCAAAGATTATACCACGATATGACCTAGACGCAAAAAATCTCGGTCTAAAGTTATACGACGCATAGCATTCCCTTTCAAGGCGGGGAATGCATGTATAAGAGATCATACCATTATAAGATAATCATATTAGATGGAGTTACACGGCAGCAAGGAGAATATCTCGTTCGATGATATACCGAAGAGTGAATCAAATAAAAAGTCGGGGTAGCTTCACCGCTTCCACTTTCCTGAGTAGATGTAAGCTTGCATTTAAATTATTACCATTTGTCCAATTTGATATTTATTAGGAGGTTTTGAAGATGCTCATTCGTTACCCTTCCTTGATAGATATTTGACACCGAGAACTATGCAGTGGCACTTGCAAGAAGACTTTGTATGGAATGGATGAACTCATCCTTGCCGCTTGGCCATAGAGTAACACATGGGCAACTACATATACGAAAATGAAAAAAGCAAACGAGATGACTGGTAAAAATCCCATGAGAACAATCACCAACTGTGGTGATTGTAAGGATGAGTAAGTGGTGCCAGGTCAAACGTTTTGAAGAAGGGGAAGAGGGGTTTAGAGTCTATCTCATGTTTTGAGTTGGATTGTGAAAGACAATTTTTGTCTTTTCTCTTACTTACCAAAGGAGGGCACAAATTAGATTACTAAAATTGTTGGGAACAGAATAACCTCAATTAAATCACGTGACCATATCCCTTTACCTCATACCACATAAATCAAGAATCCCAAGGGAGTGGTGAGATGTTGTAGTATAGCTTCATTAAAGTCATTTATATAACACCTTAGTGTATTTATTCATGGTTTTGAGCTAGACATTCAAGAATACCAAAACTATCTGCTCTGATTAGTGTTCCCAATAGACTGATCCGGATTAGGATGAGGCCGAACCTTACTTCGCCGGCGATTGGAAGAATAGAGCACAGTGTAGCTCAAGTTATTGTAAATTTTAACTACTACCAAATTTCTCGAGGATTCCAACATAACAGGAGTTGCAACGAAGGATGTGGGAGGATCCCTCTGTAAGCGGCAATCGGTCTTTGCTTCGACACAAGATTTCTTCACTACAGATTTAGTGGAAGTGTCAAGAAATCAAAGAATGTGGGCTCGTGTAGGTAAACAAGTCTTGATCAACAGTACCTGATTCTGAGGCACTTTCTTTCTTTCACATGAAGCCTGTTCAATAGACCTTCGGGACGTTTCATACCTGAAATTGTGCTTTTCCGTGGACATCGCCGATGTGATTCAACTGGGTGAGGCTAGAGGTATCTTGGTATATGGACATGGAAATGATCATGATCATGTATATTTCTTAAGGAAAGACAACAATGTCGGGGATCGTTTCGAGTGCCTCGCTTTACTCTATCTGTCCAGATTCTGGCTGCATCGTGTCAAGTGAGCGTGATTCTTATTATTGAAGGGAAGCTCTAAAATTGACACTATTTCTCATTCATTATCAACTTCTAGCGATGGGATGTTTATGATATTCGTCAATCACAGAAAGTTCGCTGCTTCTATCATGATAACAGGCCACGAACTGTATTCGTGACTGCCTCAAAACTTATTGAGCTCTCAATATTTTTTCCTTCCCTCCTGCCCAAAATATTTCGTCGGAATCATAGCTCCTTGATAAAAAACAGCCAAAATTGCTTCCGTTTCATCCATGATTTCTATATATCTCATCAACATCATATCAGCAGCCTTATTGTACGAGCTTACTCATGCTCGTTATCAGCATACTAAATATTTCCTATTTATTCTTGAAAAATACATTACTATGCTTCCATATTGCCCAACCACTCGCAATCCATTCATTGGAGATAATCCACCCCAAGAAGAATATTCCAACTCACCTGGGATAGGCTCGCGGCAACACAATTTGCGTCCCTCAAATCATCACAAAGCCTTCGGAAATGGACCAGCTACTTACTACGCACAATACTACTCTGCGAATTCTCATTCTCAGTATACACAGCACCATGCAACTACGGGTGAACGGAGTCCATTTTACCAACAGCCTATTACAGCCAATGAATTGAATCCTCAGCAGCCGCATTTATACTTCCCTAATGGGCCAAATGCCACCTACCCACCGCGTCACCTTGTCTATACGCCAGAGTTTTTCAGCTACTTCGACCCTCATGGCCTGCAGCCCAAAGATTATGCAAATTTCCCATTATTTGAATTATCACGCCATGAGCTGCGTTCGCAGCTAAACTCAATAGGCCGTGAGATCGGCCTACAAACCGTGGGGAGCACCACTACAGCTTCGAAATATGCAACTTATCTTGGGAATCCTGAGTTTCTCATGCTTTATCTCGTATGTTAAAGTTGAACATTCTTAATTTTTATGCATTCAATTCTAACTTATGGAAAGGTTGTATTAGGACAGTTTCTCGCACAGGGAGGTCAAGTTTACTTTGTCAAGCTTCCTCCACCGTCTCCGGGAAATTCTATATTTACCTTCCCCACTACGCCATCTTTTTCAAGTACTCTTCCAATCAGGCAAAATACAAGCAAAAGAGGACGCGATAGTAGGAAGGGTTTTAGAAGCTCTTGTAGAAAACTGAATACGGTCGACACAAATGATTATGTGCCGGACTTTACTCCACTTACGTCCATTGACGTTACGCCCAATAATGACTCTTCGCCTGGATTTTCTCGGCAGCAAGTCCCATCCAAAAAACACGTTACCATTGAATTCGGGGACGCAGTCTCCGTATGTTTGAATCTTGATAAACCTCCAGGAGGTCGTCGTGAGCCTGTAGAAACTGCAGGTTATCCTTTTCCCGTACTCGATGGTGAATCACTTCAAAAACTCATAGCTCACGAGAAGTCCCAAAAATCCGCCATCTCATCCACCATCTCATCCACGGCATCCAATGTTTCCAGTATGTTCAGTCCATCCGTTGAAACAACCCCAAACAGACCATTGCATGCATTAGTTCCCACGAGACCGCTTGCTCCTGAGCCATTGCTACTTCCCCACAGTACTTGCTTTATTCGTTGCGATCCCGATCAAGGTATCAGAATCTGCATTCTACCTGAGATAATGGAGAATTCGGAAATAACATGGATCGATCTTCCCGGAATATGGATCCACACGACGAAGCAAAAATTACCAGAAGGGTGAGTACACTATCTGAGCACAAAGATAGCGCTAATATCCATACAGAGCTTTTGTAATGGGTTTTGCAGATTGGATCTACTCGGAACAATGGATCTCGGCACTCTACCAGGAAGTTTTGATTAATGAATCACTGAGGGGGTGTGAGCAAGACTATGCCAAATCTGGACATGTATGGGAAGCGTCAGGAATAGTCTCTGGATACAAAGATGCATACATGGAATCTACTTCCGATCTGGAAGGTAATACCAAATCCGTACGCAGGACAATACAGTATCCCAGCGGCGATGATTTAGGCGTAAATTGGTCCGCGTCGGAAGCCGAGAACACAAGAACCAAATTGGCTAACAAGAGGGAAATTTCGGTGAAATGGGAAAGAGAGGTGCGAGAATCAACATGGCCCTGGTATCTTTGGAGACAATTTGGTTTGTCGAGAGGTTGGATAAAGGAACCCGAGGAATTTGGGGACAGAATGAGGAATAAAGATGATGTTGAAGGACTAAGAAGAATAATTACTCACGGTTGTTCACCGGTCGGTTATGAAGATATGGATGAGGCTTTGGATGGAGAGTCCATTGCTGATTTCAGGACCTGGTGGAGGATAAGACACAAATGTTTTGGAGGCCCTAAGTGGGAGGGATTGTAAGTGGATATGGGGGTTGTGATGTAACTGCCAAGCGAAAGTACAGCGATAATGTAACGTATTACCAGTGAAGATCAATGAGTTGAAGCGAGAGAAATAATGTGCCTTGTCCAATCCTTATGCATACCGGTCATCCTCGTCAGATATCACGTGATAAAAACCGTGTTTTTTTCCTCCCTCCTAGCACATTGAGAAGAATCGCTGTGCAAGCCAGTTAGTGCAAAATTCCATTAAAATGATAGGCAAGATTGAGAAAACCTTGATATAAGCCAGCTGTATGCTTGAAATGGAAGGGTACTCTTAGAGGACACTGATGGCATTCGTACATTAAGCGCTAGATAGCCCCCACTGAGATCCAAACGGATGCCCTAAATAGCTTTAGCATATACGCAGTCGAATGTGAAGAATTTGTTAGGGCTCATGAATGGTGGAGTGAGGTTGAAGCGAGAAGGGATATGCTCTTTTATGAATGCCAGGTGATCAGGGATCGCAACTGTGGATATTACTGTCGAGACTATTGGGCGCAATGATAGTAAAGTCTATGCGAATAGTGTGAAGCTCATATGTATCTGAAGGAATGAAGTACAGGAAGGGGCACTAGCAACAAGTCATTGGTCGCCTGATCGTATAGAATACCAGGGAATTCAACCACATCGCTTTGCTTTTTTCGGGGTGGCCGATGACTATTCCATTCGTCGTTTGCGCATGGGAAGCTAGAGCCGCATTGACAACCGAGATGCAGGAAAGAAAGCGATCGAGAAACTACTCCGTACAAATAGGGCTGACGAGCTCCGTTGTCGTGGCTAGCGAGGAGATAGCACTTGATAGGTTAGATGTATTCTTTCTAATCTAAAGCTCTTTAGCTTTTGTAGACGTACTCCGTACAGATTATTCAATATGGCGGGGTGGCACGACCAACAAAAGAAGCGGGGTGATAGCACGGATAAAAACCGAGAAAACTAACATTGAGGTTAGCAGGGGGTTGTTTCGGCACGACCCACTCATCAAGCGGCACTTAATCTTAGAACTTGACATCTTTAGATCTTGACATCCAAACCTCACCATTCACCTTACGTTATATGAGACAGACGCCGTCATCATATGAGACAAGGTATATCTTCACTTGGGACGGCATCTCACTGGCTAGTCGATGATGTAGTATAAAAGGAAATAGGAAGGTGGCCAAAGAGTCGAAAGTTACCAGCCCCCATTTATCGTGAAGTCCCTGCGATTTATCCGTACTAACCAATAAGAGCCTCTTTTTTACCCGATTCGGAAATTACCCCTGTGTTCAGCGCGCCACAACTGTGTGGTATTTTGCTAGTTGATAAACTACGGTGAAAAATATGTACCATATATGTTAAAACGGGCACTTGTGAAAATCATGAAAAGATTCCAACCGTTTTGCTTCATCATCATCCCATTGTTGTCACCCGCTAACCCTTGGCATTGAAGGTTGAATAATCACAATGCAGGTAAGATGTATGAGCAGATGAATGGGGCGTGAGGTGATTGATAGACGTCGAGTGAGATAGGAACGCAATGGCTATTTTGAGTGTTATTAGTGAGGGATTGAGGTCGGAATTCAGGAGAGAATTGGTAAGATCTAATTGTATTTCCTCAAATTTCTTTGCTTGAGGCTGGGTTGGCTAACATTTTCATTTTTCTTCGACCTGTAGAATCAGAGTTCTGACCCGAGGATTGGTTCTTCAAGAGACAACTCCACAAGTTCAACCGTAACAGCTGCAGCATCAGGGTCGAATTCCTCGTCATTTTCTTCACTGTTCTCCACTTTGATACCTGTGGGCGTTTTTGCTGCAGTTTGTACCATCTCCTTCTTGGTGTTACGGAGAAAGTATCCAAGGGTATATGCCCCAAGGACTTTCTTAAGTAGTCTAGAACCTCAGTAAGTTCGATAGCCCAAATGGGAAAACAAAAACTAAACGCATAATAGTGAACGAAGTAAGGAATTACCATCTGGGTGGTTCAATTGGGTGAAACCTTTCTTCAATACCCCAGATGAGGTAGTACTCAACCAATCTTCACTCGATGGGTACCTATTTCTCAGATTCCTCAAGATTATGTGTGTCATATGTCTTGTGGGATGTGGTCTCGTATTTCCTGTTTTGATACCAGTACATGTACTTGGAGGTGCCGGTAATGAGCAACTTGATCAATTGACCTTTGGAAATGTTACCAATACCCAAATGTACTATGTGCATGCATTTTTGGCATGGCTCTATTTTGGTGAGTTTAATTCCCTTGAAGGAAGATTTCACTAATGAACTATTAGGATTTATCATGTATACAGTCTCACGAGAGTGCGTATACTACATTAATCTCCGTCAAGCTTATCTACTTCATCCTTATTATGCTAAACGTCTGTCATCGAGGACTGTCCTGTTTACATGTGTTCCTCAACAAAATCTGGAGGAAGCTAAATTACGAAAGGTGTTTGGCGATGCTGTCAAGCATGTTTGGATACCTAGGGAGACTGGCGAGCTGCAGGATTTGGTGGACGAAAGGAATCAAACTGCTTATCGACTGGAAAGAGCGGAGACGACATTGATCAAAACTGCAAATAAAGAAAGAAATAGAGCTCTTAAACATGGTCATCCAGATCTTGAATCAAGCATCGGTATCAATTCTGTGCAAGAGACAAAACGAGAATTCACAGCTACTGGGACTCGGAGACCAAGCTTGGTTAGAAGTCCAGCTGACGTGACGCCCAGGGATAACGAGATGTCGGAAGTTCCCGTCACACCCAAAGATAATTTAGTAGGATCAAACTCTAGTTCAATTGATGGTACGGCGAAGGAAACCACGGCTCCCGAAGTAGAGATGTCGCAGACAAGTTCTCAACCTACCACTGACGTAAATCCCGCTACCCCTGCCCTCAAATGGGGAGACAATGGTTATGGAATGTCCGGGCCTCCTCCAGGAGTAAGTGGATCAATTGCTTCACAATGGATTCCTCACAGCTGGAGACCGACTCATCGACCATTATCAAACTATGGAAGAAGTGTCGATACCATCAAATGGACACGGAATCGATTGAAGGAAATTGGACCTCAAATTAGCAAACTGAGGAGAAATCATCGACAAGGAAAAGTCAAGCCATTGCCGGCCGCATTTATCGAGTTCGATACTCAGGTTAATGCACAATCCGCCTATCAAACACTCTCTCATCATCGAGCATTCCACATGAAACCCCATATCAATGGTATTCGACCACATGAAATTGTATGGGAGTCACTTCGAATGAAATGGTGGGAAAGAATAATGCGCAACTTTGCAATCCAAGGTTTCGTTGCCTGTCTAGTTATATTTTGGTCCGTTCCCTGCGCATTTATCGGAATTGTATCCAACATTAATTTCTTGACCAAAAAAGTCCCATTTCTTGGTTGGATCAACAAGCTTCCCTCTTCAATTCTTGGTGTGGTTACAGGCTTGCTACCAGCTTTAGCATTGTCAATCCTTATGGCACTGGTTCCAGTTATTCTACGAACTTGTGCTCGTCAAGCCGGGATACCATCTTACTCGATGATTGAACTATACACACAGTCTACCTACTTTGTATTCCAAGTGGTACAGGTATTTCTCGTGACAACCATCACCTCAGCAGCATCTGCTGCTTTCGAAAAAATCGTCGAAGATCCAACTTCCGTGCGATCACTACTTTCGCAAAATCTACCCAAATCATCAAATTTCTACGTCTCCTATTTCATTCTCCAAGGTCTTGCCATGTCCGCTACGAGATTATTACAAATACCTACACTGGTTCGTCATTTGATATTTCAAAACGAACAAAATCCGAGAGTCATGATCAATAAATGGCACAAAATCAGAGTCGTACATTGGGGAGCTGTTTATCCTGTCTTCACCAATATGGGTGTTATAGCAATCACCTATTCACTGATCAGTCCGTTGACTATCGTATTCGCACTCATCGGGTTATCTCTGATTTACCTTGTATCGAAGTATAATCTACTCTACACATATTCCTCGGAGATATCGACGCGGGGGCTCTTGTATCCCCATGCTCTTAAACAGCTACTCACAGGTGTATATCTTGCGGAGATTTGCCTCATTGGTCTTTTTGGATTACGAAGCGCATTTGGGCCATTGGTGATCATGTTCGGATTAACAATCTTCACTGCATTAATTCATGTCAGTCTCAATGAAGCACTCGGACCACTCCTCTGGAATCTCCCTCGAACTCTCGCTGTGGAAGAACTATATCGCGGATTAGCATTCAATTCCGATCTCCAAACACCTATGCCTACCTCAAATAGACTCAGCAACACAAATGAAAATGGCGATTCATTCTTCCCAATGGACACTCCTCCACAATCTCAATCGCAACCAGCAGTATCAACATACATAGCCCATCGCATGTCCAGTACCCCGAATGTTCAACCGACTATCCATGAAGAAGATGAACATGAAAAGGAAAATAACTCCTCCAATTCCTCCAATAAAGACTCCGACGACGACGAAGAAGACCACGAACTCAACCCCCAAACCCGGTCTATCCACCCCAAAAATATCGAAGGACTCCCTCACCTCTCAAAACTAACCTTCACCTTCCTCCTCACCGCCATCCGCTCAAAAGTCCAACCACACCTCCACAAACTAACTCCCTACTTCATCTACCTAACCCCCCTCATATCGCCCACCTACGACCCCCTCAAACCCCCGAACTTCCTAATAAAATTCCTCCACCCAGAAATCTTCTCCGACTACCACATCCTACGCTCCCTCACCGCTCCTCTCCCATCCATGGACTCCGGCTTCGAATACACAACCAAACAACACGAAGATGCGTATTTTGCACCCTGCGTAGCACGAGGACTTGATCCTAAACTGTGGATCCCGCGAGATGACGCCGGAGTTAGTAAACAGGAATGTGAACACACGAGAAAGATTGCGGGTGTGGAGTGTAGTGATGAAGGGGTGGAGTTGACTAAGGAGGGGAGAATCGTGGTTCGGGATTTGCAGGCTGAAAATTGTATTTGGAGGAAGGAGACGAGGTTTTAGGGTTGCGTTCTGGGGGCTGGGGGCTGGATATGGGAGTTTGGGGATGAGTGGGATTGCATGGCGTTGAGTTGGTTATGATGTGATGATTGTGGATTAGGGTTTTGGTTATTTTATGGGGACTTGGATAGATTTTGTGATGGTGATGGTAACGGCGTTGGAATATATATTGGATTTTATAATAGGGATTGGTTTTCCTTAGCTTCTCTTCTTTCAATGTGAGGTTAGAATATTAATCCGAATATCTGATTCTTTCTTCGCTACTGATAATATGTGGCTTTGCTTTTGTAGATGTATAGATTTATATTGCATATATAGCAACAAAATGGTAGAGTACTACTTCCACGTGTAAATCACACAATCTACTAGCGAGAAAACCCCCTAATGAAAATACGAACCCGCCACCGCCTTCGTCTTCCCCCACGCCCTATCCAACGCCTCCACCACCCCCTCCCCTAAAGCACCTTTCTCCAAATCCACCAAATTCCCCCTCAAATGCGCCTCACTACTCGCCCCAATAATAATTTTATCCCCCCTCTCTGCCTCCAACAAACTATGATGCATCAACCATCTCAACGCACATTCCGCCTCCGTAAGACCTTCCTTCCCGCCCGCTTCGCGAATAATATCCAATGCGTCGAACATCGTATCGTTCCAGTATCTCTTGCGGTAAAGTTGGCCTTGCACGTGTGATGCGTCGAAGCGGGAAGTTGCTTCTACGGATTCTTGATCCCGGTGGTAGCGGGAGGTGAGGTAGCCTCCGGCGATCGGGTTGAAGGCGTAGAAGGACATGTTGTAGTTGTGGAGACAGGGGAGGAGTTCGGGTTCGATGGTGCGTTGGATGGCGTTGTAGACGCCTTGGTAGATGGTTGGACAGATCCACTTTTTTGGTGGTTTTAGTGTTAGTTTTTGATTTTTGGATTCTGCATGTATGGATGGATGGATGGGATGGGATGGTTGTTTGATGAATAAAAGACTTACGTTGTTTTTAATGCATAATTCTTGGATTTGTGCTACTTCCCATGCGGTGTAATTACTAATTCCAAATTTGGTGAATTTTCCCTCTTTATGTAAGATATCAACCGCGGCAAGAGTCTGCTCGTAAGGTGTACTCCTATCCGGAGCATGCAAATAGAAAATATCGACCTTTTCAACTCCTAAGGCCTTTAAACTCTTATCCAGATGAAGTCTGAGATCATCAGCTGAATGCGTAATTTGCATCCCGTTATTCTTAAAGGGATAAAGTTTGGTGGCCATGATGATACCACGGTCAGTATAGGAAGGTTGAAGTTGGCCGAGATATTCTTCTGAGGAACCCATGCCGTAGACACGGGCAGTGTCTATTTCGTTGTGGCCATGTGATTGGAAGATTTCGATCATGGATGTGACGTCTTTCATATCGCCAACGCGGACTTGCATTACGCCTTCATAGATATTAGTTCCATGGTGTTTGGATTGAAGGTAAAATTTACTTACCGGGTTTTCCAAATGTCATTGCGCCCAAGACAATGGGAAGCTTGGTCTTAGCCTTTGTTTCTGGTGCCATATTTACTGATTATTATGTGCTTTTCAGATTTATATTTTGAAGATGGATAAAGTAGCTTTGCTTCGATATATCAAAGTCTTGCTGAAGGATTTGGTGCAGAAACGAATTGATTCTTTTATAGCTATGATCAAATGTGAGATATGAAAATAAAGTAAAACCACATCAAAGGTTCAATCAACACATTATATATATATTTCTAGCATTTTCAACAAGTAGCCAACGAACGACCAAAAAATCTGTCTCTCTGTCCCTCATCTGGCGATAACGGACTTTACTCTCTGTGCCGGAATTAGACGTGGCGATGGGGTTAAGAATTTCGGCCGACGAAGGGATCACCAGATCGGCTTCTTTACCGAAAAACCATGCCGATGTACATGTGCGGCAACAAAGCATGCAACACTCCACTGATAAGCATATAATAAAAGATGGCAAACTACAAATAGAATAGTGACCCCATATATAAGTGGAGTGCGGCAGACTGCCGAATATATATTTCTATCCTAATTTAGATGGATATCCACATTTACATGCGAAAATAGCCCAATAAGTATTTCATGAGATTTTTGCTCTGATCATAAGATTACAATCTAAAAATAAAAGCACAGAAATAGATTTCAAAATTTCAAGTCGAAATTTCAGATACTTGAAGTCTCGAATTTGGAAGGTCCTGTTACTATCATTGCAAATGTCTTTATTTACTACTATGATGAGATTTGATATAATTAGACCTTTCGGCTAATTTAATCAAAAACTCTAAAAATAGTACTAAGATGATGTCAACAGTCAGCTAGCATCTTGTCTACCAAACTGCTTCCCTGCATCTAAAACTAAAGCTAAAGCTAGAGCATATATCGAAAATATGGATTCTGCTTGTCGGTCAAGTCTTGAAACGCCATTTTATCTCTATTCTCCTCGTCTAATCTGGAAGATGCCAGTCAGCACGATTTTGTCACGAACTGACACTTCAGTACAGATAGAATGATTATAACGTGGAAATTTTAATGGTGGTGCAATGATGCATTATCAAATTCGTGGGTTATCGCATCATTATATATATGGATGAAAGTGGTATGAACTTACTCCATTAATCCTCTCTTTTGATTCTCCTTAGCCAATAAAATATACAGCACCACAGCAGCCACAACAGTAATACAATAACTAATTCGTATTAGTATTCATGCTATATAGACAAATTGAATTCAAACCTACCAGATGATCAATCCCAACCAGAGTTCAGGATAATGTCTCGACTTCGTTTGTGATATAATCAATTGAGGTCCTACAATATTACCAACACAATATGCCACAAAAATAGTCGCTGCCATAAAACATTTCTTTGTTTGTCCCGCAACATTTGCCATACCAATTGTGATAATCAAGCTCACTACTGGTCCAAAGAACCCAATTATGGTGTACCCGACGACTGGAGTCGCTGCATGACGATACCAGGAGCTTTTCCATATCATTGCGCAACCAGCAATCACAGGAAGACAACAGGTGATGAGGAGTATAATGCGAATATTTGGGATATGCGATGAGAGATAGCCGGTAAGTAGAATGAAGATGAAGCATATTGCACCCAGAGGAAATTGGAACAAAATAGAGTCGAGAGCTGAGTAGCCAAAAGTAGAAACGATGAGAGGACCAAAGCCACTAACTGCTCCATTGACGGTATAAGCCGAAGCCATCATAATGGCCACCAACCATACTTTTATATCGAGTATAGACTCCTTAATTTGGTACCATTTGAATTTAGTACAACGAATACCAGTTTGACCATACCTCAGACGTTCCGTAGCTACCATACGCTCATCCGTCGTAAGAAACCAAGCGGAGACGGGAGAATCAGGCACGAAGAAAGAACAAATCCCAAAAAGAAAAGTAAGAGATCCAGCAAGTAAATAAAGATACTGCCAACGTTTAAGATTTCCACCTTCAATTTGTCCAAATGCATAATTGAGTGCCCCACCAATAATGGTAAAAGCGCCAGTTGAGGAAAACCACCAACTTTGTCTTAAGGATTGCTCGGACTGTGTATAAAAAGAGCTGATTATACACATGAAACCAGTTGGGATGATACTTTCGACGAAACCTAGGAAGAATCGTTGTGCATATAGACCGCGCCAACTCGTAACGGCGGTTGTGCACGTACAGATTAATGCCCAGAGGCACACGATCACGCCTAATATCCTACCCATATTGAATCTTTGCAAGACAAATGTCATAGGGTATAAACCTGCTAACATGCCAAAGTAAAAAAGGGATGTTGCCCAACTAAGACGAGAGGTATTGGTTGTATGTGGCGACACATTTGTATTGGTGATGGATAGGGAAAGATCAGTCGTCATTCCGAAGAGAACTGCGGATCCTAGAATTGCCTAAGATTATGGAATAAGTAATGGAGACAAACAACGTGGAAGTGCATGTATCATACTTTATCATAGTAAACTAGTCCATAACCAATGAACATAGCAGGAACTAGAAACCAATCTATCTTTCGAATGACTCGAGCTTCTATGGCGGGATCAATTTCATGACGATGTTCTCCAACTATAGCTATAGCTATATCTTTATCTTGATCTGAAGATGATGATGCAAGTTCATGTTGACTATTTCCAAGCACTGGCCTTGCCTGCTTTCCTTCTGCAGCTTCAGATTGGATATGAGAACTCATTTTGCGGATAATAGCATAGTGATGATATCCGGAAGATTTTTTTAATCGTGAGGTTCAGCATAGCCGAGTCTAACCTATACTAACCCTAACCATACACCTTCAGATATCGACAGTGCAGGATAATTAGACGTCTGTAGATTGAAATTTAGATTGGAATTCTGTTTTCCTTACGATACCTTACGATGATATTCACTCATGATGTCCTTGTGGAATCGATGAATCGGCTTGGACTTTGAAGCGGATGAGGAGAGCTAGGAATCCACAATGTTGTGTTGATTTCGTGGATGTTTGTATCAAGGTAAGGCAGCAAGCAAACCTTTTACTACCGACTTGCCAATTGAGCAATACATACAATCGCCACAGCTCAGCTATTTAATAATAGACTTATAAGAATATGAATGTTTGCTTGCCATCCCCAAGCCATATCATTCGAACACCTTAACAAAATGATGTCGTTGTGATTGAGTTTTAGAGTATCCGTAGAGTGGTTCCGTGGTTCTCCAGGTCTTACTTCTCCACTGAGGGTCTAGGATTCTAGGGTTCTAAGCTTTATTAGCCAGTCCATCAGCCTTGTCCAACTGGTTTCACAGCCTTGCGGAAGTGTCAGCCTCGTAACACAGCTCAATTATCAAAAAAATTGTGGTGTAACATGTCTTGTGTAACATTAGCCACGCCAATTGAAAGACATGATTTCAATAAGGCGAGCAGTCAATAATCCTGCGCCATTGACCTCATTAAGGACTTCAACATTTCCCATAAGAAAGAATGTAGTTGTTCGGTCATCATCGACTACAACCTCGCCAAATCTTTTCAGACAATGGCACAAAGAGACAAAGCATCCTTATTCACGCCACTTCTCTAATTCAACCAATGTCTCTCCAGCTCTCAAACTACACAATCAAACGGTCGAGAAAATATCTGCAAACGTTCGACAATTCTACGAACGAAAAGAGAAATTTAGAATTAATCATGGCTCTACGAATAGTACACGAAATAATGCAAAAGGCAAAAATATAATCAATATTGGTGGACTGTCACATGTATTGGAAGTCAACACTGCAACTCAGACAGCATGGGTAGAACCAAATGTGCCAATGGATAGATTGGTGGAAGAGACGTTAAAATATGGACTTGTACCACCAGTTGTCATGGAGTTTCCTGGAATTACTGCTGGAGGAGGATATGCGGGGACATCTGGTGAAAGCAGTTCTTTTCGACATGGTTTCTTTAATGAGACGATCAATCGGGTTGAGATGATTTTGGCAGATGGTCAGGTTATTCAATGTTCGAAGACTGACAAGCCTGATTTATTTCATGGAGCGGCCGGAGCGGTTGGAAGTATGGGTGTTACGACATTGGTTGAGTTGCAGTTACAAAAGGCGAAGAAATTTGTCGAAACTACATATCATCCGGTATCTAGCATGCCAGATGCAATCAAGAAGGTTGAAGAGATGACTACAGATCCAACCATCGATTATGTTGACGGAATTATGTTTTCGAAGGGGAAAGGTGCTATCATTACTGGTCGTTTGACAGATGTACCAACAGACAATACTCCAGTACAACGTTTTGGTAGTGCTTCAGATCCATGGTTCTACATGCATGTAGAATCCAGTATTGGCAATAGTAAATCCGCCCCAAGATTTGCTATACCTCTCGCGGAATACTTCTTTCGATATGATCGTGGAGCATTCTGGGTAGGTGCTTCAGCTTTCAAATATTTTTCCTTCCCCTTCAACAAATTTACTCGATGGTTCTTGGATGACTTTTTACACACCCGTATGTTATATACCGCACTTCACACTGCTGGTATGCCACCTGGCTATATTGTCCAAGATTTGGCTTTACCATATTCCACCGCCACAGAATTTGTAGAATACACCGATGAATATTTTGGAATCTATCCCTTATGGCTCTGTCCATTAAAGCAAAGCGCAATGCCAACCATGCATCCCCATTCCGCCTCCTACGAAGCTGACGGGAAAACCCTCAAACCTCTAATGAACATCGGACTCTGGGGCTACGGAAAAGAAAAAGATCTCGTAAAAGCCAACATCAGTCTCGAGAAAAAGCTCAAAGAATTAGGTGGCATGAAATGGTTATATGCACAAACCTACTACAACGAAGAACAATTCTGGGAAATGTATGATCGCAAATGGTATGATGGGTTGAGGGAGAAATACGGAGCAACCACTTTACCAAGTGTTTATGAGAAAGTCAAAGCAGCCCCAAAGACCGAGGTAGCAAAATCCTTGAGCTTGTCGGAGAAATTTCTGAAGGCGTGGCCGATAAGTGGCTTTCATGGCATTTACAAGGCAATACAAAGTAAAACTTATTTAGCAGCTAGGGCTTCTGCATGGAAGACTTTTAACTTTGCGACGGTGAAAGAGAAGGAAGTTGGTAGGTAGTTTCCAGGTTATTATATCTCGGTAAATTAAATACACTCCCCTCCAAAATCTATCTATCTATGTATGTATATACACCCTACACCAGAAAAAGCCTTTCCAAATCATCATGTGTATATATGCACAAGAAAAAGGAAAGCAAAGCAAAGCTAAGCTAATTTTGCTCTTGATAGATACCTAGATGCCTAGCTCACCAGCTGTAAATAGATATCTCAATACCTAATTAAATACCTAGTATATATAGTATATACTCAATTCCATCACTCCATCACAATAGCTCCGATGTTTATAGAGTTTTTTTCGTATCTTTTGTTAGGTTTTTTTTGGTTTTGATTTTTTTATTTTCTTTGGGGGAGTGCGGGGGGGGCGGGCATTTTGAGATTTGTAAATAATCTTATATGATTGCTTATGGATTTGTGGTGATGAGATATAAAAGTAGTGAAAGACATAGAGATAGAACTATACTTTTGGTGAAGAGGGTGAGTGGTAAATGGGAAGGATATTAAGTGGGATGGAGGGTTTGTGTGATCTTTTGTGGGAAGCATGAGTGATATTGAAGATCCCCTAGTGAAGAATACAATGGATTGAAGTGAAGTCCCTTGTATAAACTATACACCGAGTCATGTATTCAAGAATTCTCGTCCTTGAAGAAGGGAAATTGGATGGGCGGGGTATTTGTATTAAGGAGGGGATGAGGAGGGTAGTACGCATTGGATGGAATGGGATGGGATGTCGAGGGGATTTTTCTTGCTCACTATATATCCTATCTCCAATAATAACCTAGCATTTTAAAACAATTCCATCCCATCACACCTCAGACAATCTATCTCACATTTCACACATACACCTCACATCTCACAACCCATCCCCCTTCCCACATCCCACCTACCCCCCACCCTAAAAAAACCCACCAATTGCAATTCCCTCCCTCATCCTCCCCCAAAAAACCCTACAAGCATCCCTACTCGTAAACACATAAATCAACGCATTCCAAAACCCCTGCAGCGGCAACACAAACACGGAAATATACTGCAGCGACATATTAACCATTCCCGGATAACAAATCGAATAGATTCGATTGGCGGTTGAGGGGATCCATGTTATCATCATAGCGAGAAAGAAGAGGAGAGAGACTTTTGCGTAGGCCCAGAGGGCGGTGTTGGCTTGTTTGTTGGGGGGGTTGCTGGGTTTGGATTTTTGGGGTGGTGAGAGGACGGGTTTGGTTGGGCTGGGGGATGTGGTTTCTTTGTTGGTGTTTGTAGGGAGGAGTTCTGTCTGGGAGGATTTTTCCTGGCGGAGTTTTGGTAATGAGGCTGGTGAGGTTCGTTGGTTTGCTGTTACAAGTTCTTGTCTTTTATCGTAGATTTTTTTGCCTGCTACCGTGTATATCATAATAGTGATGAAAATTGTAATCCTTTGATACATCCATCAGTCAAATCCAACGCAGTAACAAAATCATCATAACTTACCAAACCGGCACATAAAAACTCCATAATCTCCACCAAGTCCATTTCGAATCAATCCAACACCATGAGATGGCACTTCCATACATATACCCCTTTTCACGCGTATGCACGAAAAAAAATACAAAGGCGGGTATAAATGGAACTCCGTAACAGAGAAGCATATACCATTTTTCTAAACGTCGAAGCTCGATGACGTCGAATTGGAAGAAAAATGCAAACATTACGTTACAAGCCATTGCCAATGTCCAATAGGCATCTGCTGGGAGAAACCTTTTATTTTTTTTTTCATTTTTCAGATTCACAGTAACTTTATTATTAAAAGAGGAAAAGAAAAAGAAAAAACTTACATCTGAATAAGAAAAGCCTGAAATTGACAAAATCTTCCATCTGGTTTCCCCAGAGCAGATCTCGAAATCAACGTAGCGAGATTTGTGAATAAGTTTCCAAGGGATGCGTAAAAGACTAATCGATTAATTGGTTTGCGAAATGCCGTCGTGCTGAGAAATGTAATGATTATGAAGAAACTTCCCAAGAGCGATATTCCGGAACATGTTCGTTCGATTGCGATGATGGTTTGGAATTCTTGGTGGGTTATGTTTTCGGCTTTCATTTTGGGGGTGGGGGGTTGGAGGGGGGGATGGAGGTGGAGAGAAGGCGCTTGGGGATGTGGATGTATACGTTGTAGTAATAGCGGAGGAGGAGAATGAGAATACTTAGGTTGAGGGCGAATTTGCAATCTATTGAAAGGAGGAAAAGAGGGGTTTTGGGTTTCATAGGTAACGAATAGTTTTAGATTAGGTTAAAATCTGAAATAAGGAAATTAAGAATTGTAGGTATGTTTTCTTGAGTGAGTGATGATGTTTTGAAGACCTGGGTATTGACGAATTTGAAAGCCACGGTGCAAGAGCTGATTAGATACTTGCAGAGTTCCTTCCTGAGTTAAATGTTGCAAATTTGGTGACAATAGTAAAAGATGGTTCAAGCCGTTGTAATCAAGCAATATTTCATTTACTGAATTCGAAAAGTACACAGAATTTGAAGGAGATATTAAAGCGAAAAAGATACAGTACTAATCAATTGCTATCAAATATTTTATAATTTATATTAGAAATAATCGAAATTGTTAAAAGGAATGACCTCACACAGGGAATAGTGGGAAGCTGATAGGGCAGAACTGAGGTAATATTGGTCTAGTAGGTTAATCTCTCTTCTAAGTTCTACGGAAGTGCGAAGCTCTCTTACAGAGAGCTTCTCAATCTAGTCCTAATAGGACTAGTGCCCTGTGCACTGTGCTACGCAGGAACCATTCACTTTAACAGAAATATAAGAATTCTGGAATTTACTCACTGCACACTATTCGAATTCGTGACAAAATCCCTGCAAAAACTATAATATCTCATATAAAATTAAATATCAAATAACTTTTTTAATATTAAATCAAATTAAATAAAATATTGATATATTATAATTAACTATTAACGAATTATAAAAAATTATTTATTTTATTTTAAGAATTTTTGTTGAAAAGTTATATATATTTAAAATTGAAAAAATACAAATTTTTATTTTTGTAACGCTTTTTTGAACTTTTCTCTATATAAAATAAATAATTTTTGTAAAAAATATATATATAACAAAGAATCAATTAGTTGTTACGAGATTTGCCGTCTAGATGTTACGTTGGACAGTAACATAGGTCACGTTCTTGATCACATGATCAAGAAACCGACAAATCGAGATCGGCTTTGCGGTAATCGAATTGTCGGGTTTATAGCCATCGGTTTTTAACGAGGCACGAAGGTCTATATAATCAAGATGGATTCCCTTTGTATAGAGCTTCATGCTCACGATCAATCATTTAGTATACTCTACTATTAGTTACGAATTGCATATTATTATTTGTCATTACTTAAGTCCCTGCTTGACGCCTAGTTATAAACCACCTCGAGAGCCTAGAGCCCTTCCACGTGATCTAGACGGCAAAACTCATAACATAGGACTAGATTGAGAAGCTCTCTGTAGGAGAGCTTCGCACTTCCGTAGAACTAAGATAATGGGTGTGTGACGGAAACCCCTGCTTTCCTCCCACCCTTATTATATAAGAAACCTCAGGTACATTAACCATGTCCACACATGATACGATTACTCGGGATTAGTATACGATTTAGGTGGCCTGAGGATCAGATCCGGACAAGTACTAGGTATCAATGGTTATCGGTAAAGTAAGATCATTGGGGGGATAAATATGACTTCTTTTTGCCTAGCCATTGCGGCTAGGCCATTCATTTGTGTGTATATAGAGTAGCTATCCCCATCTACAGGTGCTCTTAACCTGTAGATTCTAAGTTAAATACAATTGCTGGTCTATAAACACCCTTTTGGTCACAGGGTGATTCATATAAAAGGCCAATATAGCCTCAGTTCTGCCCTAACAGCTTCCCACTATTCCCTGTGTAAGGTCATTCCTTTTAACAATAGTTATAATATAATAATTTTTATTGAAAAAAATTTAAATATATATATTTACTAATATATAATAAATATGAATATAAATTTTCAATTGAATATATTTATTTTAAAGTATTAATTTTGATTTTTATAAAAGTAGTAAATTGCTTGTTTTGATTATGAATTTTGAAAATGGCTGATAGCAGTTGGTATGGACTGTAGAAGATTGTGCTGGTGCTTTTCGCCTTTAAATTTTGCCTATTTTGAGAAAAGAAGTGATGATGAAATAATCTAAGGATTGAGATACATTTTATCAGCATCATAGAATTTGTCACATCCACGATTGGGAGCCTACAAGCGCCTTCTTTCAAATGAAGTTTTCATTCATTATTCCTCAAGGTGGACTAGTCTGAGTGTGAATCATCTCATTTTATCATATATTCCTCATTAGAAGATTATAGTGAACGATAGTTAGTTTCTAGAAAATCGAGAAATGGCAGCCTTTCGCTCAAGTCAATCATACCTCTCGGCTAAACCGTTGCAGAGGTTATCTTTCATACTAAAACCCGTGTGAACAGAAATGATTTGATATCTCGCTGCCTTTTTGCCTTTCTCATTATCTGGAAATCGCAGTGAAAGAAAAGAAAAATTTCCTACATTCTCGCTGTCATAGTATTGCAGAAGAAAGATGTGACAACAGTTAAGTGTATTTTACCAGTCATGAGCAGCCGTGGAATTATTTTTCCCTACTCTAGATATGGTAACAGGGGTAAAGTACCATCGTAGCAAGTCTTCAGATCGGTTGAGATCTGTATTGGTAGCGTTTTTTTGATGGAATGAGTGTCTCGTGCGGAAAGTGTCTGTGTCTGATCACTAAAACGCTGTCCAACACAAGCTGCTCATGACATTCGAGAGTTTATAGACGCTTCTTCTCCTGATGATCTAATCATTCATAAGAATGCCATGCGAAAAATCGTGGTGATGATTTGGTTCTATGTTATAGATGAAAAGATGCAATAACAAGCTGAGATCAAAGAGTGGTTGAGTGAGAAAGGTTTCGAAGGATTTTGAAAAAGGGGTTAAGGAGGATTTTCGCTTGTTTGCCTAGCCGGAGCACTTGTAGTTAGCGAAAAGAGAGGCTCTGCTAATTGCGTAGAATTTGACTTACTGACGATTGGTATCTTGCAAAGATGGAGCATATCTCTGTTGAAGAACAAAATCTGTCAGCGGCGAGAAACGGCAGAGAATGAGACATCAGACGAGAGATGAAATAAGGGTAGCTCAGCTCGAACCAAACATGTTAATAACACCAATTTGCATTGTTAATGAATTCACAGATACACAGCCTTGAATATATGGTAGTTCATGATGTTACTTAATAGGTCTTCAGTCTGTGACTAAGTTCTATAAAATCCCCCAAGCTTCGTGCAGCTCTCTTGATACCATCATTGAATCAGATAATTTCTTTATTACTTTTACATAAATCAATATTACTAGACATAAAGCCTCTTTAGAGACTAGTTATTCATCCATCTGAGGAAACTGATAGAGGAGTTGTCTTGGTAACTTCTGGAAGATATTTTGTTCTGCGACCGCAGTTCTTGAAGGAATCTCTTCGGTCCTTTGTACTGTTGAGACATCCTTTCTTCTTCAGCACCGTATTTGGTTACTAATACTGCACAGCATTACTCTCTAAGGTATCTATTAAGCATATAAATGACTCTCAAATTGCACTTCATTCTCTTATCAGCCAGCCAAACACCTAAGGAGTACTCCTAATCTTGGTTTCACTCACTAAACTACTTGTTAGTAGATAATCTTTAGACCTTCTTAACCCTTTCCCACCTCGCTGTCGCAGCTAACCTGACTTCTAATCTTCTAGGTTGTTCTCACGTCCCCTTTTCTTGAATTACACCGCCTCGCATTCAATAGTATCTTGTTCAGTACTATAGATCACTCTTATAGCTTCTCGAGTAGGTCAAAGTTTTCTTTTAGACTTGATTAGATGAGCTAACCTGGCTTTAGGAGAATTTACTGTGCGTTTAGGTCCCTTCCCAAAACACAAGTTCGACTTTATACGACAAAACTGGAAACATTACGAGAACAATAAACCTCTTCAGCCATGAACAATAACGCGACTAACTGGCAAATCAACGCTTTCCTCCCGCCAATTTTCCGAACATTACCAGCAGTCCTGGCTGGGGCCAGTACGGCTGTGTCTCTAACACTAGTGGAAGCGTTAAAACGACTGTGGGTCCTTTCCAATCGTATAGTAATGTCGTTAGGGATTTTCTAGGTGAATATCTACCTGCTTCATCACCTGCTCCTGTTCTTAAAACATTCTCCGCCCAATATAGGGCCGCAAATTCGAGATTCGCAGATCTACTTGACTCCCCTACTATCCAACCTACTCGTGATACTGTATCTGCTGGTGATGCTAGAACTCACGAAGCTATCCGCGGATTGAGCCGGCTTGAGATAACAGCGACAGATCGTAGGCCGGCTCCTAATTGGAAGTACATATTACCTTCTCCCTCGAAGTGCATCTCCTGTCCCTTTAGATCTAAGTGCTAATCTCATTCTAACAGTAATATGTCCATGGATATGGTCACTGTCTACATCAAAGGTGAAAACGGCTCAGTCGACGGCCCTCCCTTCAACCTCCACAAATCCTTCTTTACCCACGTCTCTCCGTACTTCGAAGCGGTCTTTAATTCTGGATTTGCCGAGTCTGAAATCCAAACCTTAAATTTCGCCGAGTCTAACCGCGAGATATTTGCCATGTTGGTCGATTGGGTCTATAAGAAAGACCTCAAGGCTCTCGCTGCCTTCGAGCTTGATGATCGTAAGAACCTTCCCGTCGGTATCAGACTCAGCGCCCTCCAAGGAAATGACCTAGAGGAATATATCAAGAAATCTCAGGAAACAGCCTTTGAGCATACTACAAAGCTGATTGACCTCTGGTTTTTTGCAGATAAGGTAATAATTCCAGAGTTACAAAATGCTGCTCTTCAGGCCATAGAAATACTCCGCTTCTTTACTCCTTTACAAGGAGTTCCAGCGGATATCTCTCGAGCAGTCTACGACAAGACACCAAAAGGTTCTCCTCTACGCTTGTACCTTGCTGAAACCACTCTGCGTCGCTTGCAACCTAATTCTGGGAATGAAGGCGAGAACTTTCACCCAGATATGTTAGTAGATATCTTCAATTTTGTGAAGATTGTTGGTGCAGATGCTAAATTGCGCCATTATGGGTTATCTGAAAAGGTAATGGTGGCTTACTTTGTCCCTAATAAGGGAGATGCTCATCTAGAGGGCAATCCTATCGTTACTGCCCCCCTTGCAGATGACATTTGGATCAGCTTGTGGGAGCTTAGAAGATATGCGTTGAAGTTTTGAGAACATTTGACGGGAATGTGGGCTTGTTTCGAGATTGGGTAGATTAGATGCGTATTTCAATTATATTGGTGTACTTTTTATATTTTTTTTAGCGTTACGTTTGGTTGGGAATGCTGGGAGGAAATAATTAAGTAGATAGTGGCTTTCCTGATAATAATTTGTACCAATTTCGACTGTAAGTGTGGTATGCTAGTACAATAAAATAAGTACAAATCATTTGAGTAAAAATCGATTTTTAAGAAGTGAAGCAATTAAATTTGAGCCGACTTTGGGAAATTTTCCTAGTTTCAAGGATGAAGTCTTGTGTTTTCAGGGACTTCGAGAGATCTCTGAATGAAAATAAATGAAATTCAGGTCTGAATGAGCCGACTTGGAGGGAATACCCTCAGAAAAAGGTGACACTACTTCAAAATGACATCAAAATGTTCTTCAAATGAAGAAAAAACACTTGACGTGGAATAATCTGTTCCAGAAAAAGCATCCGAATCTTCATTAAGTGAACCAAGAACAATAAGAATGAAAGTTTGAAATGACCTGAATAAAAAAAAATGATCTAAAATTTTGTCATTCCGATGACAAAATACCTTCATACTTCATCACAGTGAAGGCTTTTTACATGAAAATTTCATTTAAACAGCCTACAGATACAGCTTATGGCCATATAGGTATAGGTTATCGAGCCAAGAACTTTAGGCCTCGACACTGTGATTCTAGGCTTGAAAATGAACCTTCAATTATTTTGATTGGTTTCATTCATCAAAAAAATCGGATGGGAGTATTTTAATTGTTACTACCAATAAGAAACTTTGTGTTACTATTATCAGATATTTTTATATTGAGTAGATTTAATATCAAGGATGAAGATTGTTAATCTGGGAGTGATAATTATATATTTTGGAAAGGGTAGGATGGGAATCCTTCGATATTCAGGACTTGAATGCATAATAATAAACTATTGTTTGGTATCTCAGAAAGTCTTATAGTTAATGTTATCTGCAAATGTAGATATTTGAGGGATTTTCCGTATGTACATCAGATGGTTAGTATCTAAATGTCTAATGTAGCAAGACATGTCTAGATATTTCATTCTACTTATAAGACGATGATACTCTTAATGTCGACAATTAATTTTGGTCTTTTTCACGCTTTAGTTTGGATATTTGAAGTGATTAAAAGCAGAGTAGATTCAATGTTTCAAGTTTAGTTTAATTTTTTATTTTATTTCTGAGATTCTACCTTAACTCTCTCATAAAAAGTTATTAAATATTTAGAATTAGTTTAGTTCCCTATGAGATTTAGGATTTGTGTCTTATAACTATCGGGTAGGAAACACTTGAATATTTTGACGTTGTCAACTAGATCATATGTTACTTGAAGCTTGAGCTAGTACCACGCTAGAATTCTTAAATAAAATTAGATTGGCTACTCGTGGTAAAATGAACGATCTATACACTCTCATTTATAAGTGGCCCCACACCAAGGGAATAAATAGATGGGACTACTAATATCTAAATTAAACACTTCGAAAACTTCCGGTTATAATTTCAGCGTTTGAAAAGAGATTTTTATCAATAATAAAAATTTACAAGGCTTTGGAAAGCTCAGGAGTTATTTGAAATAAAGTGAGTTTCTTTTGAGGGAAGATCAAAATTTTTTCACATATCGGTGATAGGGGTTGGTATTTTCATCCTTCCCAGAACTTCACCGGACAATCTTCTCTGAGCATTTAGTCAAAGCCAAATGACGTTTTGAAATTATTGATCATGGTCGATCCGAACTATTCTCTCCTTCATCTTCAAGTGACATCACCCAATATCGCGTGCCTCTGTTAGCAACTTGATGTTAGAAGCAATAAAAATTCTCTGCAGCAATTTCATGATGGCTAGCTCATCATAAGCTTCACGATATTTACAAACTACCTGCACGAATACTGCAAATTAGAGTTTCTTGTAACGTGAAAATTTCTCGAAAATTCTCGTTCTTTCTTAGAATGTTCTATATAAGTTGAAAGATCATTGGTCCGTTTGCTTTGAAGTATTCAATGAGTATTCCACGGTTCTGTGTTTATTATGTACGGAACTGAGATTATGCACGTGGGTGGTTCGATCTGTCAGATTTTGAAAAGAGCTGAAATGCTTCTTGATTAATGCCTAGACTTGAACCTTTTTGGCCCCGTAGGATCTTTGTAGGTCAATGCCTCCTGTAGAGAGGGTCGTCATATGCTTCCATGTCATCAATAGATCAACATTGTGCTGGTACATTCAATACTATAATGAAGACCCATGATTGAGAATGAAAATGCGTGCATGGGGCTACACTTAAAGAGTTTATAGATACAAAGAAAGATAATCCTTTCAGAAATCAGAGAGTTAAGCTCCTTCTAGAAGGAGGATAGAAATCATATAATACACCCACCCGCCGGCAGAAAAGCTGCATTTCTGTAAGTAAGAAAGGCTTCCTGGATCAATATCGGCATCTCAAAACAGCATGAAGACTACCTTGGTGCTTGCCTTGGACGCTTCGTACCGTGGCAAACCTAGTTTACCAGAAAATGCACAACTATGGACCATCGTGATGAACTCTTTGAACGATGGTTACGCTTACAACTTTACCGTGACACGTTCGGAAACTATTAGTTATTCTCGCGGGAACCATTTAGAGTTGCGCCGTGCGTTCGGTTGCCAAAGTCTTGGCTCCCACACAAATTCAATAGAAGTCGATGGGCGAGTCACCTTCATTGCCAACTCACTTTGCGTGGCTCTTCGGAGATTCATGCTTGGAAATAGCCATAGGTTACGTGATGCGACTTTGCCAGTTCACATCGCGATTAGGTTTGGCGACGGCCCTTTTGTTTCTTTTGATACCTCTTTCAAGATTGAGGTAGGTCTTTTCGATCTATTGTTACGTCCTGGTCCTCCCCCAACTTTGTATCGTTTTATCGACATGGCGACATCATCTCTAAGGATTGAGATACCCTCTCCAAAACTCACACCCAAACCGGAACCCGTTGATGAGGAGCTCTCCGATATGCAGCTTGATAATTCTGACAGGCGCCGGTCTTCCACTGCAACTCCAGTTGATGAAGCATACTATGCAGCAACCTCCGAGTCCCCACTATTTGATGCCCTCCCTTCCGCCGGTCTAACTTACAGCCAAGAATATGATGATGCAACTGTTCAAATGCTGCTCTATGCGGCCCAACTCGTCATGCTGTATCGACAGCTCTCGTGATTGCTAACCGTAAGTCGGAATCAGTCATTATCGGTCTACGAGAGAAGGGTGTTGTAGTGTCAGCGCCGAGGTGTCATGATGCACATAGAAGCCCCATTTTCGACGAAAAGCGGTTTGAATATTCCTGTGGTGGAAAATACGAATTTGACGAGGACAAATATGACGTGGTTTTCATTAAAATGCCTAGCTCCAAGGATCCAGTAGTAGACACTTATCGTAAGTGTGAGCTAGCCAGCTCCCTACGCGAGTCAGGCAAGGTTAATGGATCGATCATTATATCTGTGGCTTCCATGCATACTGTGGTGGGGATATATGATATTTTAGATATTCCTGGTAAGTGCTCAACTGATACCGAGGCTACACTTCGTCAGCGCAACTTTTCCAAGGGGCGTCTGGACGTCAATGATCCTCTTAGGTGTCTAATAATTGGTTCACTAGAGATTTCGAACGGTCGTGATGAGGTTAGTTTGCCGAAGTATCCAATATTTTCAATTTTTTTGTGCCAGAATCAGAACCAACTAAATGTTTATACCTGCTGGCCACAGCGGTGGCATGACGTGCTTTTGGGCGGACCATGTCTCCAGGCCCACGCCCAAAAACCTTCATTGAGACATGTACGATCTGCGAAAAATCCGTTGGAATGCTATGCCGCTCTAAGAGTCGGAGCTCCTTCTCCGTTGCCCGCAAGCTTGGAGGAGACTTTCAAATCTATTGGGGAGCGCCACATCCAGATATTATCGTCATCATTTTTCTCCCGCAATCCTCGCTTCATTGAAATGGTTAGCGCACGATATAACGAATTAAAGGAGTTTTGTGATAAAACTCTCCTTGACGCGCCCAAAGAAATCACCTCTTTATACTCCGGTGCAGCGGCCATTGTGCTTCTAAGTAACCTGATAGATTTCCGAGGCTCCTTGACGGGATTCAATGGGCGCGAGGGCGAAATATATCATAGGGTTTTGCTATTTGAAGCTATGGCAGTGTTATGCTCGATTCCATTCTTTTGCATCATTCGCATGTATCTAAAAGCTCGCGAGGAGTTTCTTGGTGATATCTTACATGTTTGGGAACTTCAGGATCTGCTTTGGAGGTTGACGGCATTTGGGACGTGGGAAGAGAAGCGGTGGTACATGGTATTAAAGTTCAACAAACTCCTCGACGAAACAGCGGACGATAATGAATGTTAGAGAGGTCAAGCAATCCTGTTACGGAATTTTTTTGAAAATGATTTGGAAACCTGAAGGATGGGAAAGAAGCCAGTGGGGACGAAAAGTTCTGGTGGAAATGAGGTTTGTGCTTCGGCTACTAATTCTCAATGGGTTTAAAGGAGTCGTGATTTCATGCAGTGATCCATATCCTTCTTATCAACGGGATGGAACAGAACTTAGATTGCCATGGAATCTAATGCTAGTCCCCAAGACTTGTTAACCCACGCTTTGGCATCTTCAGTTTAGAATGAATTCATCACATCACTCTTACTTATAGCTCCTTCTCTTGAGACTTGGCTCTAACCACAACGGGCATCGAAGTGAAAGTTGACGACCAATCCAATTCCACAAGATCTTGCTTCCCATCGCGGCAATATCGCAACCAAATCGACCAGGTAAGGTTATTATAAGCGGCGATCCCAGTCAGAATATGCCTACATTCATTAGTTTCCATGTCCATCTGAACATTATGGACATGAAAGAACAGTACTCACCACCATCCATGTCCCTCTAAAAGAATTCCCCACGGCAATCCGACCTCCCTTCTCCATCTCCTAATCTTCCCACAATAAATATTATCCAAATTCCAGATGGCAAATGCGATGGCTACATAACTCAATCCTATATAATTCAACCTCCACATGGTTTTCAGAATGTGAGAATCTCTCTCATCTCTTCTCTTCTGTTCTGTGGTGTTGACCTTTCCGACGCTTCCACGGCGATTGGGATTGAGTATATGTTCCATTATCCACATACTGCGGAATACCACCACGGCAGTTATCAGGGCGAACATATTCTGATGAAAGACCGGGTCCTGAAGGTAGTGATAGTACAAAGTAATGAAGATTGCCATTGCAGAAATTGAGATAGCAATGAGGATACGAGCCAAAGGTGGTTTGCGGTGTGCAAAAACTGCGTATGCCAAGATGCACTCCAAGTAAATCATAGCTAATTCGTCGAGAAGTTGCATAGGGTCTAACAGTTATCAGTCTTGTCGACCTTTCAACTACTGCAGGAGGCTGGGGGATGGCATCAGGAATGAAAAAAAGAGATATTACAAATTAAGGTAGAATGGAATAGCATGCTTCCCACCCCAATAACCAAATAACTGGCAAATCCAACAAGAAACACGTGTGCGTGGCCATATCTAATACAGCTAGCAATTCCCTTCCAAGCCAGAAACACAAACATTAAATTCGTAATTGTGTTCACGATCTCAGCCGAATAGACTGTGGCATAGTAGTCCTAAACACCATGTTAGCAGTGAAGACGGAAATTTGACGAATCAAAATTCAGAAACGTGGGAAATGGAGAGGGACACGCGCTTCTTCGCACCAATTAATCGTTGATGTAACAGGACCCCAGTACCCTGGGCCAGCGGAAGGGTAGGGTGTTGATGGTAGCATTTCGAGGAGATCCGTGTAATGCTATGCTAGGAAAATGCCGTGCTGGTCCTCTAAGGCGTGGATGATGTCTATCGAAACGCTGCGTGAAGGGAAAAATTTAGATGGGTTGATGCGTGATGTGTTAAATTGATTCAAGCATGACATAAATTGTGCCTTCAAACCCGTCGTAAAGTGATTTTGCCACGGGATTTACTTCACGATCGACAATATGTGGCCTTTAGATATTGAAAACCTTCACATAACTGAGCACAAATTTATACAATGTCACGTGATGTCATGCATGACAACGGGTCGACTTTATCGACCTCCCCTGTCTCGTTTTTACCCCAAAAAATCTGAGCTAATACATTTCTACAAGGGACATCGCACACTAACTGAAGCTCCCTCAGTACACACTGGCTCCCTGAACATCGAGGTGAAACCTGGTCCGCTCAGATGGCTTGGAGTCTATTTCGACAGAAGACTAAACTTCAAGCCACATATACAGATTCTTACAGCAAAAGCCCTCAAAGGAGCTAATGCACTAAGATCCTTCAATAACACATGCCGAGGGATACCCTCCTACTCCACCAGAAGAGTGGCTGTAGCCTGTGTACTAAAGAAATGCTACTTTGCTTCGGAAACATGGTGGCCAGGCCGAACCAGATTAAAGAAGAATGCCTCGAACGAGTCAATTTCAAATGTAGTGGACAGCCATATAAATCTACTCAACAAAGTGATCCTCACTTGTGCAAAAGCAATTCTACCGGTATACAAAACCACGAACACAGCGGTGCTATACGAGGAAGCCAAACTCAGGCCCTCCGAAATCGAGCTAAACTTAGCCTCACAAACATATGCTGTGCGAACCTTCAGACTAGACCCTTACCACCCCCTCAGAATTAGAGCGAAGAGCATGATCAAAGCCAAAGACCAGAACCGAACTGTAGATACAAGACTTTCAAGTTTCATCACAGCATTACCAAAAGCCGAATATATAAATCCATTAGCTTTCCCTTCATGGGAACACAAGGAATCGAGAGCAGAAGCCGAGATACGTGTAGCTGGCCCGATGGGCAGAACAAAGGCCCAAGCAGCTGACGACTTCAAGGCCTTCCATCCTAAGATCCCAAGGAGTGATATACAGATCTTCTCGGATGGTTCAAAAAGCGAAAGCAAGGACGGCGCCACCGGAGGTGGCTTTGTAATCACACAATTTGATATCCAAGTGGCCCAATACTCCTTCTCACTTGGCACAAATGCAGAGGTATTCGACGCGGAAGCTATGGCTGCAGTAACGGGGGCAGCAAAGGCCCTAGCGCTTCCATCAATCAAACTTGCTACAGACCTATGGATCTTCTTGGATAACTACGAAGTAGCCCTAAGATTAGGCTCCCACTTCAATGGCTCGTCTCAGGCGGTCTTCGAAGATTTCCTGAAGCTCAAACAGGCCTGGGCCGCTAGACCGAGGCTCTCACATATCCCCCCTGGTAAAATACGCATACACTGGGTCCCAGGGCATCTCAACATTCCAGGCAACGAAATGGCCGACAAAGCAGCCAAGGAAGGGGCAAAACTCCCCCCACCCCCCAACCCGGCCTGCACGTTAGCCTCCCTCAAAAGACTAATCAGATCAAAGACCAATAAAGCGGATAACCAATTGTGGAACACAGTCAGCCCTCAGTATTACAAAGATCTGCAATATAAGCACACTTCCAATACAATTACTCTCTCCTTAAAAAGAGCTACACTTCACTACATTCTTGCAGCCAGATCACAGCATGGAGACTTTGCGGCATATCACGAACGCTTCAACCACACTACAGCTCACACTCTCTGCTCATGCGGTAAAAGGAAAACCCCGTTACACTTCTTCTTCTGCAAGAAAGGCAAAGCTTACAAAACACTTACGAAAAGCCCACCATCTGAAGCCATCCCCTGGCTTCTAGGCATCCCCACAGGTGGTCTCGCACTAGCCAAATGGCTTGAATCCACCAAATTCTACACAGATATCTGCCCACAGCTTGTATCTGCAGCTTAAAAAAAAAAAAAAAACAAAGCCTCTCCTTCGTTTTCCCTCTACTTACTGTATCTCCTTTTTCAAACAGGTACTCAAAGGGCTTATTCTCTCTCCTCCTCTTCTCCTTCCTTCTCTTTACATCTCTATTCTTCTCTTCTCTTTTTCTCTTCGTTCCTCCCCTTTCTTTAAAAAGGAAAAAAAAAAAAAAAAACAGTAAATACACAAGATAATTCAACAAAAACGTATGAGGGGAAGGGAGAGTGATCAAGAGCCAGTGATCTAGTGGACGAGGAGGACCACAATATTAACCACTAAGCCAACCGGCCCCAAATCTGTCGCGAAGGCAATCATGTAAACCCTGCCCTAGCCCCTTTAAATTGTATATAAATACCCTCCCTAGCTAGCTAGTACACTACTCAGAGGCATACTCCTCTGAGCGTCATTTGTCCAAAACTGGAATAGATGGCTAAGGTTATCACGCGCCAAGGCGCGTGGGCCTACGGCCTATGACGATAAACACAATCAATCAATCAATCAATCCCCTGTCTCGTTTCTCCACGACTTTTTGGAGCGTCAATAGCATTTTCCCCCTCCACTCTTCATCCCGTTCCACGAAAACCTGGGTTGGTTTGTCCGGATATCAGACATGTATTATGGTCAAATTTCTTTAGCCTTGTTTCCATGCCATTATTCTAGATACGAACATCAGGATAAGGAAAGACAAAGTCAAAATAGGGAATACATCATTGGAGAATATTTCACTTTCTCCATTTCTATTGTTTCCACGCTCCTTTATAGAAACCTAATCATCGTCAGTAATATCTTGGTCAACTGTTGGGTTCTTCACACAACTATGGGCAGCATGTGCGATACACTCCGCGCATTATACCCCATAATGTTCCCAGTGTTCAGGTTAATCACCGGATTTTTTGGAACTGTAGCCGGTATACACAGCCCGCGCATAACTTTTGACCTCTTTTTCCTGCACTAAAGAGGTCGTGTCTATACGCAGTACTTGCATTTGGATCACTCGAGCGTTTCACATTACGGCTTAGGTGAAGGCTCTAGGGCTTAGTTTGACATAAGCATCCATGGTATTTTTAAAGATTGCAAGTTTTAGCTGTCGTGGTGTTATTGTGGAAGTGACATGAGATTATATAGGAAAGGTTAGTGAGTTAGGGAAGTGGTGAAAGAGAGTACAAGTGCTTTTCTCAAAATCATGTGTGTCATGATTAAGCGAGCAAAGGACCAAGGTGGCAGTGTTTTTTGAGGTTTCCGATAGTCTCGATATATCCGACTAATTGGCACGTATCTAGTGTATTAAGAAAGGCCTAAAAGCTACAATCCAGAGAATCCGAAACTACAATCTATATCTAAAACCACTCGTCTCAAAATCTGTAAAATCACCTTCGATAACCCCATCTACCACATGAATATCCCCGTATCTGTTCCCTTCAGCCCCCTCCTCCATCTCCCTCCTCCTATTAACCCTCTCCAAATAAATTCTCAGCACGATTCCCATCCCCGCCGCTACACAATAACACGCCAAGATAATTGCAAAGCCCATGCTATATCCAGTCTCCTCATTCTTTCTAAATATTTGCGGTCCAAACATATTTCCCACACAGTACGCTACAAACATGACGGCACTAACTGTCATTTTCTTCGTTGTGCCTTTTGTGTTTGCTCCTATGAGACTCATTGTTAAGGGGATCGTTCCGTGTGAAAATCCGATTAGGTAGAAACCTGTTAGTTTGAGGGAACTGAGGGGTGCCCAGTTCATGAGGCAGGTGCCTATGATAGGGGGAAGAAGGAAGATGGGGAGGAGGATGGTGGTCGTGTTACGATAAGAGGAGGCTAGGTGACCGGTTGAGAGGATGGTTAGGAAGGAGATTAGGGAGGAAGGAAGGGAGATAAGTGTTGATTGGAGGCCGGTGAAACCAAAGCTTGTTATCAAGATGTTTGCATAGCTTGTTGTTCCGCCGTTGGGAATCTGAATCTTGTTAGATGTTTTTCTTTTGTGATGGCGGAAATAGGTAACGAACCATGGTAAATAAAGAGATGAAGAAACAAAACCATGTTTTCGGATCAATTAGACATTCGATAACTTGATCCCCTTTCCATTCATTCTTGATAGACATAGTGATGCCAGTTCCAGCCTTTGAAACTCTCCCCTCTGCACATTCCTTCTCCTCAAGGGTCAAGAATTTCGCACTAGAAATAGTATCCGGAAGAAAAATAAGGACAATGAAGCCCCATATCGCTGTCGCCGATCCAAATATCTTACGATTTGTCAATTATTATCCTCAACCCCTGCGTGGAATACTCACAATATACAACCATCTCCAAGGTTTCAACGAAGAATGAATCTGTCCAATCGCAAAAGAAAGCAGATTGGCAACCGCGCCTCCGAATGAATTTCCTGCATACCTACACCACATCAGTCTAGATTTCCTTATCCCTCCTTCATCCAAATGATATCACTCACCACAACCCCATACGACTAGGCATTTCATCCCTAGTATACCACATACTTGTTACATACAAAAAGGCCGGACTAATACTTGCTTCCACGGCGCCTGTGAAAAACCTCGCAATCATTAGTCCCTCAAAAGATGTACAAGCCGCGGTACTGGCTACGATGATACCCCATAGCACGATATCAGCTGCAACGTATTTTGCCACAGGAAGTTTTTGAATGAGGTAGACGCTAGGGTATTCCCAGAATAGATAGCCGAAGTAGAATATACTTGAGATGGCGCTGAATTGGTTGTTGATGAGATGCTGGGTAGATATTAGTCATATTTTGGGAGACTGGAGGAATTTGGATTTTCTGGACTGCAGTTCGAATTGGGAAGGTCTTGAAGTTTGACACATTTTGGATACTTTTTGATAAAAGTCGAACGCCAGCTAGATTCATTGCATCAAACAGATTCGACAACACAACAAAAAACCCATGGTCGTTTGCAGAAGGAATATCTAGGACACAGGAGGATAGAAAAAGGATACACACCGTATCCTCCACCAATCCAAAAACAGCCGCACTACTCAAAATCGACTTATCGATATAATTAAAATTAAAAGTTATGAACATCAGAGGCATAAGTCTTAAATCTATTTTCCTGACTAGTCTTTTCATGAAAGCGTCGTTCCCAGGATAGTACTCCGGATATGAGGGTTCTTCATTTTGTTTGCTGGATTCGAGAGGTTCTAAGAGGGAGGATGAAGGAGGAGGGTCATTGGAGCTGTGTAAGAGGATTAGTGTGTTTTTGTGGTTTTTGAATGAATTGCACGGGAAGTCAAGATAAAGGAGGGAGTGCAGAGAGACAGTTGTACATACAGTAATGGTGTTTGTTCCGCTGACATGGTGAATGTCTAGCTTTGAGTTGTCGATATGTACATCCACTTTCAAACCTCATTTAATGTCACGATGTAGATGATCTACGTTTCGAAGTATAACAATAGAAAACTCAAACCGTACTCGAGTGAAAATAGTTCATTGAAATGTATACATGTTTTTGAATCATGATACCTGTGTTTGTGAGATCTTAGAAGTCACGAGCGTCTTATCAGCAGTGGGTAAATCTCGGGTTAATTGCGGGGTTAGAACTGGATCATGGGCCAGCTGAGCTGATGAGGAAAAACATAAATGGAGATAACACTGGGACTGGTGTATACCTTCAAAGACATTTTAGAATTTCTATTGATAAGGAAGGAATGTCTGAGTTATTGATGGATCTGTAGTTCTTATTTATAGATAGATTGTCGTCTTGTATCACGTACGATTTACAGGCTGATTAGCCTTAACATTACTCAATGTTAGGAGATGTTCATCACAGTTTCCCGTCCCATCCATAGGTTGGAAAACAAAGAGCATCCTACCACCGCTCATGTTTCTTTCGATATTAGAGAGCATCCATCCCATATACTCCAGCTCGTCATATTGCATGACCCTGCAGCACCGCACCGTAACACATTTCGCAAAAAGCGGATGTAATTCCACAACTCCTGATGTAGAAATACATGAATTTCGCCAATCATCCTCAAAATCGCCCCAATACTTGGATTGCGGTTATCGCAGGCAATTTATATCCATCTCTTGATTAATGTTTGAAGATGCGAGCCGATATTTGTGGCATCTTGACCTAGGAGATTGCAAAGATGGTGAGACGAGAGCGGCGAAGGCTACTCGCTTTTTCGGTGCCATTCTGTAGTTGTAGTTCCAACACATGCTGTGATATGTTATGATGTGAAAGGGATGTATATACGACCAAAACTAACCAGGTATCCATCATTACCGTATGTGCAAAGCCTCGTAGATTGACGATGTGAAGTAAACAGGCATCTAAATAAATTCGACATTTTCCCAGTAGGATTTGCTAGGCTTTAATGTCGTGTAGCATCCCATTAATATATACTCGATTCGATTGATGCAAGATCTGATTCCGGAAGACCAGATAGCTCGGCGAGATGATCACTTGGATTGGTCCACTGAGGACTTTCGTGCAATTGTTCTAGCCCACCTCTCAAGAATATAGCATGACCAGAAGATGCGCCTTAGGTATTTGAAAACTTCTGCCAATTCATTAAGCGAGGGGTACGATAAAAGTAGTGAACATTTTGCAGCGGTTGGAATAATGTATTCCCACGCTTGAAATTATCGTTGTGAAAATGGAAGTATCCTCTCGTTTTCATGGCGAATACCTATGATGCCGAACGAAAGGAACCCTCACGCAAGAAAGACGAAGATGAGCAGAATGGGGTTTTTGATAAGCTCAGAGCAGTCCCGTCATCTTCTGTAGAATCCTTGAGTCTAAACAGCTGCAGCTTCCCTCCAAGCCGTAAAGTGACCATTGAATGATCGCTTGAACCTTCTCTATGGTGTCGCACCAAAGCCTTGAAAGCTTCATTGCCATTGGCTTGTGCCATCAACCAACCAGCAGGTTCTGATAACCAGCGGATGCTGATAGCATCGAATCTGGAAGAGAATAACTGGCACCAAATGGATACTCTCCAACTGCCTCACGATAGTGTAGCTCATATTTTCTTCCTTTGGCCGTTAGCGCGAGGTACTATCAAGCCCTTCTGTTTCCATATTTGCAGGTCCGCCATTATTGGCCTCATTCTTGCCTACCAGTCGTACCTGTTTTTAATCTCGTCGAATCGCGAGAGAAATCAATTCTGGCTATACACCGGCATCACCAGCCCTTGCTTGTACCCCAGATTCATAATCTGGGGAAGACGGCAGGCATTTGCGACCAATAATCCGGGAGGCAATAGCTTCCATTTCGAATTAGCATTTCGAAGTCGCGGTGACGTTGGGTTGGTGCAAAAACAATTGAAACCCAAGATCTCTTGCTTATCATAATCTAATTTGCATGGATAACTCATCGGCTCCATATTCGCCGAACCGAGAATATTGAATATACCCAACTTTTGACCCCTCTTTTCACTTATCCCCGTTTCACCCAGCCAGACGGGAGTCAAAAAAAGTTAACAAACCATCACAACTCCAACATATTTTGAATTAAACTATCGGAACATATATCCCCGAGCCCATGGCCTATCTCCCATCAACTCAAGCATCTAAGTGTTTTCCAGCAAATGATGAGTTACTTGGTGCGGGCAAAAGTGGTGCAATGCCCAATCTGGGCGAAGATGAATACCGGGTATTGATAGCTTTGATCAATACTTTTGTAAGATCTTAGTATATTTCTACATACCAATACAGGCCTAATATATTGTTTCTTGCAGTAAATGCTTATCGCCTTCTTAAGACTCGCAACATCCTCACAGCTAGCAGTACCGCCATCATGGCTTATGATTTAACCTTAGATATTTGCAACGAGAAGATTTTCCAGCGAAATCGATTGCAAGCGAGGTCATATTATATTCCACCTTCTTCTCTCCTGTTGAATGGCAGATGGGACTTACATTATGCTCCAACACCGAAACATGCACCACTTCCGGCTCAAGCAAATACACCAGCCCCAGAATTGCATACTAAGGAAAGCTATGTGAATGGGCGACCAGTTTCAAACAAAAAGATCGAGACTCTACCAGATGATGAACTAGAGTGGGAAACCATAACAGTTCCGGGTCATTGGCAACTTCAAGGGCATGGACGACCTCAATATACGAACACAATTTATCCATTCCCCGTTTGTCCTCCACATGTCCCAACTGAAAACACCACAGGGACGTACCGCGGATCCTTTCACGTTCCGAAATCATGGAATGAATCTTCACAATTGCGATTGAGATTCGATGGCGTAGATAGTGCTTTTCATGTCTGGGTCAATGGCCGATTTGTTGGATATTCCCAAGGATCCAGAAATGCGGCAGAATTTGATGTTTCGACATTTTTGAACCGAGCAAGCTCAAATGAAGTGTGGGTTCGTGTATATCAGTGGTGTGATGGATCATATATTGAGGATCAAGATCAATGGTGGTTATCGGGTATGACTTGACCCATTGAGAGAGGGATAATCAAACATATACTTACAAATTGTTGTGCCAGGTATCTTCAGAGATGTGAATCTCTTATAATTTCCTTCAAATGGCAGGATAGACGACTATTTTGTTACACCTAAGCTCGATGAAAATTACATGATGCAACTTTGGAAGTTGCTCTGGATTTGTTTGCTTCCTCTCCCGGTGAGGTGGTTTTGTCGTTACGAGATATTTCCAACAGTGATGAAATCATATCAGCTTGCGCTGGAGGTTTTGAGTCTGGTACCAGGAAACTGAGCTTGTTGGTATCCCAACCTAAGAAATGGACTGCTGAAACACCGTATTTATACCAGCTTGAAATTTCAGTCTATGTGGACGACAAGATTACCCACACACTTCACCAAAACGTCGGCTTTCGTTCTGTCGAACTTAAAAATGGTCTCATAACAGTCAATGGAAAAGATATTCTATTCAATGGTGTAAATCGCCACGATCATCATCCACATTTCGGACGTGCAGTACCATTATCTTTTGTCAAACAAGATTTGCTGTTGATGAAGCAGCATAATATCAATGCTCTACGCTGCTCGCATTACCCATCTCATCCGGGGTTGTATGATTTGTGTGATGAACTCGGGCTGTGGGTCATTGATGAAGCAGACTTAGAGTGTCATGGATTCTATGATGCCGTAGCATACCCGGCTGATATTCCAGAATCAATACCTGACGAAGAGCGCAAGAAGTTGATCTTTCCACAAGCCGCTAAATTTACCTCCGATAACGAAACTTGGCACGATGCATACATTTACCGAATAAGCCAACTTATACATAGAGATAAAAACCACCCGTCGGTCATCATATGGTCTCTCGGAAACGAGGCATTTTACGGGCAAAATCATAAGTCAATGTACGATTATGCAAAGAAAGTTGATCCGAGTCGATTGGTCCATTACGAAGGTGATACTGAAACGAAATCGGCAGACATGTACTCCTACATGTATCCACCAATCGATGCCCTTAAAAAGCACGCGAAGACTACTGGTAAATCTGGTGGTTCTTTTGATAAGCCTATTGTGTTATGTGAATATGGCCATGCCATGGGTAATGGTCCTGGAGGTTTAAGGGATTATCAGGCTGCGTTCCAAAATTACGCAAGACTCCAAGGTGGATGGATTTGGGAATGGGCGAACCATGGACTATGGAAAGAAGAACCGGGCAAAGAAGGTTTTTATGCATATGGCGGTGACTTTGGCGATGTTCCGAACGACAATACATTTGTCATGGATGGCCTGTGCTATAGTGACCATACACCCACACCTGGCTTGACAGAACTTAAGAAAGTCATTGCTCCAATTCATGCTTGGGTGAGTCGTGATGAAATCTTCATTTACAATGGTTATGATTTCATAGACCTTGATCACGTCGCCGCTTCATATAAAATTGAGATGTTTGGGACTAGGTTTGTTAACATCTATTGCACCTTGAAAACTGTAATTTCTAATCCTTGAATGCAGCCGAAAGATTTTGAAATCAGGAAGTCTGGCAATTCTAGATACTCCCCCTGGAGAAATGTCTGGGATGAAATTGCCGTCTATTATTGCTCGGGAGGGCGAAACTGGCGAGCTATGAATTACAGTCACATTCCAGCAAAAATTTCCCACAGCTTGGGCTGATGCCGGTCATGAGCTCGCGTGGATGCAGCACAAACTCTCAGCTTCTGACGAAAGCTCTATTCCCCGCGGTCTTTCTACAAACACATCACATTTGGATGTTGTTTCATCTAGAACGAAGTACAGGATCACAGGATCAGATTTCTTATTTATATTTGATGCAGCTCGTGGTGGTTTGTGCCAATGGAATTTTACAAGTCCAATGACCTTGAAGTCAGGTGAAATACCAATATCCTCAATTGCACCAGGTTTTTGGCGAGCACCGACCGATAATGATATGCCATTTGACTTTCCTTACTATCAACGATATGGTTTGGATGCGATGACATCCCAGCTTCGCTCATTCAATGTGGAGCCCTCTGAAGACGAAGTTATTATTACCGCCGTAACATTTATTTCCCCGCCAATATTGAATTGGGGTTTCGAAACTATTACCACATATCGAATTTCATCAACAGGCTCGCTTCAAGTTAAAGTGAACCTTAAACCAACTGGATCAATTTCAAAAAACTTACCTAGAGTTGGTTTGGACATCAAACTCCACGATGACCTCGATAATGTTGAATGGTTCGGTATTGGGCCAGGAGAGTCATATGTGGATACATGCTCCTCACAAAAGATTGGTATATACTCAGCTGATGTCGATCAATTGCACACTCCTTATGATGTTCCTCAAGAAAATGGCAATAGGATTAGCACCAGGTGGGTAAAGATGACCAATTCTTCTGGAGTGGGAATTAGAGCAAGTTCATCTGGAAGCCCAAAAAGTTTTCAGTGGGCAGCTACAAGATATTCTCCTACTGCATTGCAGGAAGAAAGACATCCAAGAGATTTGGTGAAAGGAACAGATGTTCTGTGGAGATTAGATGCCAAAGCTGCAGGTGTCGTATCGGCAGCATGTGGACCTGGAGTAAAAGAGGAGTTTCAAGTGAAATGTGAGGAAATGGAATTTGAATTTGTGTTTGAGAGAATTGGAATATGAGCAGCGATGACGTATAGATGGACAGGCAAATGGATTATTAATGTTTTATTTCTCTCGCAGCCCAATCTTATTAAACACCCTCCCTACCTCTCTCTGCCGCTAGTCCCCAATTCTTCACCCATAAACATACAAAGCTCGCTCAAAAGCAATCCGTCTCCTTTCTTCCAATGCCTCGCTATCATCTTTCATATTTTCCGGTGCTGCTGCACTCATCATTTGTGATAAATTTGCGCTAGCGATTCGAAGTGAAGTGGTGTCTTTTTTTACTAAGCCTGTTGAAAAATAGATTATTAAGATTTCTTGAGACAGTCTGTCACAAATTACGCTCTGCTAGACCAGAGTAGTGGAGGCTTTTCCACCTCACTCTACATGAAAGAGAGTAAAAGATGAAGAGGGAAGATAAAAATAAAAACGTACCAGCAACCCACAACTTGTCAAAAACAGGTTTAGTATCGACTAATAGAGAAAGTTGACCCTCCGTCATATCAACTACTTTTGTCATTGCTTCAAGAAGGCTTTGTGCTTCAGGGGCAGTTGGAGTAAATCCTTGCTATAGGTTTGTCAACATTTTGTTCGAACATCGCTTCTTCATAGGGAGTGAACAGTGATGAAAAAAGACAAAGGTCAAAAGAGAGAAGAGTGGTTGGTTCGGCTCGTCGTACCTCATAAACAGCAATTGCTTTATTAATAGTCGAACATACATCGCTACTTTTTTTGCCGAGGTTTATAGCGTTGAAATAGGATATTGAGGGACCTTTTTGGAGTATCTCGTTTATTCCTTCCATTTTATGTGGGATGGAGGTTATGAGAACTTGAAGGCTGTCCATTTTTGGAAGTGATGTATTGTTTGGGATGATGGGTAAAGGATTCGAATTCAAGATCAATTTAATTCAACGACCAAAACAAATTTGTAGGTTAATGGAGTGAAATTATAGTATTGCTTCAAAAGTAAAATGAGTTTTCGATTCTTGCAAGTGCTACACTGAGGTTTTTATGTATTTATACATCATACCGCTGATATCAAAAACGGTCTTTCACGTGTTAAACTTCGCAAGGTTAGATTTTTGCCCATGCGGACTTGTTTCACGTCGCATGAATATGGATCATTGTTTGTGTTTGGACCTCTCTTTGTTTATGTGCTCCAGTATTCAAGCGGAGAAGTGGACTGAGTTGAAGCATTGCGGTCAGATCTTTGGGGTTGCGAGCCGGGGTCAGGTGATTGATGTGGATAGTAAGTTTAGCTTTGGGCATAGTTATTTTTTTATTTTGTAGAGTCGCTTGAACTTCTCCGGGTTTTGGGGTGAGACCCTTTGGTCTCGGTTTAGGAGATTTCATGGTGTTGGGGTTGGGGTTAGATGCTTTAGTGGTGATATGATGGGGTGTTGTTTTTGATCATTTCTTGGCAGGTAGAGTATTGATTGCTCTTTCTCATTTTTGTTATGTTGGGGTTGGAAGTTCAATATGATTCTGTTATTAAGTGATACTAAGGTCATTATATACTTCGAGGGCTGATGGTTCGATGTCAGATATCTCCACGTTCTAGTATGAGTGTCTCTGGACTAATGCGGTAGCCCTTGGGATACTTAGATAAATTTTCAGTTTATTGCAGTTGATCTAAAGGTGTCAGGGGATAAAAAATAAACACGGTTATTTCCCTCTGCGAGCTTACTGAATCTCTTGAGACTCTGTTAGTGGTGTTTTTGTTTTTGAGCTATTTGAGATTTAGTGATCCTCAATTTTGATTGTTGTGAGCTCATATAAGTTTTTTAAAAGGACTGAAATTTTATACATTTACCTGGTTGGTCTCCAGATGCAAAAATCTGTACAGAAATTGATATCGAGGATATTTGGGAGCCCTACGAGCCTGAGTGTTGTGTGTATTGAATTACGAATGTCATATAATTTCATTGTTCTGTGGATATAGTTTTATTGACCTAGAAAAGATCATCTTCTACAAAGTCATTGGGATATTTGGAGATATTGGACAAAGAACCTGCATCTTCGTCCCTATTCACAACTCAAAGAGAGGTCTAGTAGTGAGGTCTGTAGATTTCTTTGTTTATTCGTCTTTCACATCTCATCACATTACTTGCAATCCCCATTACGTGTGAAGTCGTGATTCCATCCTTCGAAATGAACCACTTCCTATTGACAAGGAATACCCTACTATTTGCTCTATCAATTGCGTAAAAGATAGTCAATGAACCTCACCATGCAGACAAATAACTTCTTCTTGAAAACCATTCCATGGCTTCTTACCCTATTAAACTCCATCCAGCTCATCACTGCTGATACTTCAGCCGGACAGCCAGGCAACCGGAAGTCTCCCAGTCGCTATGTCTTCGCCCATTTCATGGTAATCAATTCCTTCTCGTAAATACTAAAGCCCAACTGACACGCTCAGGTCGGCATAGTAAGCAACCGCGCCAGTTCCTCCGAGTACGACACTGATATGCGACTCGCTCGCCGCGCCGGCATCGATGCCTTCGCTCTCAACATCGGCACCGACACTTTCACAGACAAACAACTCGACTACGCTTATGCATCCGCCGCTACAAACCACATGAAAGTATTCTTGTCCTTTGATTTCAATTTCTGGAACCCGAGTGATTCCTCTTCAGTAGGCGCAAAAATCGCAAAATATGCTAATCATTCTGCACAATTGACTGTCGATGATAAAATTTTCGTATCTACTTTCGTAGGCGATGCTCTCAACGTCGCAGATGTGCGAGCAAAAGCAGGGGTTCCAATATTCTTTGCACCGAATTTCAGCCCGGGTTCGTATAATTTTCAGGAATTAGATGCCGCGTTTAATTGGATGGGGTGGCCTAATAACGGTGTCAACAAAGCGCCTTCTTCTTCGGCAAACTTCACAGTTCGTGATGGTGATGTGGCTTATATGAATTCGTTAGCAGGTAAAGATTATGTGGCGCCTGCTAGTCCGTGGTTTTTTACACATTATGGTCCGGAGGTGCCGTATAGTAAGAATTGGGTCTTTCCGGCTGAGGGACAGTGGGTGCAGAGGTGGCAGGATTTATTGGGTTTGGGAGCGAGGTTTGTGGAGATTGTTAGTTGGAATGATTATGGTGAGTTTCAGATGTATGGTTGAATTGAAACAGATGCTGATCTGGGATAGGCGAAAGTCATTACGTAGGCCCGCTATCTTCACCCCATACTGATGATGGGAACTCCAAATGGACAAATAATATGTAAGATTGCTTTTAATATTCCATCCCATTCATGTCAAAATGTATACTAACAAAGCCAGGCCTCACGGAGCATGGCTCACACTAGCTACCCCCTTTATCCGCGCTTTTCATGCGGGCGTCGCCTCCCCAGCAAAATACATAAACCGCGACCTCATAATCTACTGGTACCGACCTAATCCACTCCCCCTCAACTGCGACGCTACCGATACAACCATGCTCGAAGCATCCAATTCATCCGGCGAATATTTTAACGGCAAACCGAATGGCTGGGAAACCGAAAGCGACACCATCTTCGTAACCGCTCTTTTAAAATCCCCCGGAAACGTAACCGTCGTTTCTGGAGATGGTGCTTTTCAATTCAATGCCATAAAAGGTGTAAACGCATTTACAGTACCAATAGGAGTAGGAAGTCAAATTTTCGGGCTCTGGAGACGTGGGAAAGTAGTCTTCCAAGAAACGAGCCCTAGGAATGTAACAGAGATTTGTGCGTGTGGAAATTATAATTTCAATGCGTATGTAGGACAAGTTCCTTCTTCGAGAGGAAAAGATCAGTTGCCGCCTGCTGGGACGGCTTTGTTGACGAGTGGTATTAGGGTTCCCCCTGATCAGTGTGTGGCTGTTACTGGGAGTGCGGGGGAAGTAGGTGATGATGATGGGAGTGTGAGTTTTGCGGAAAGTACGAGTGAGACTTTTGCTAGTAGTGAGAGTGCGAGTGAGAGTAGTACTAATCAGAAAAGAGCTTTTGGGTTACCAAGTCGCTGGGAGTGGATTAGGGGATGGAGGGATTTTGTGGATTTGGGTTAGACGATCGTTTTCCTAGTGGTTGTTGGTCTGTTGTTAATCTGCTATTCCGTTCCTTTTCGTGTTTGTATTTTGGTTATGGTTCTGCACTTTTTAAGGCTGGATTATTTTATCATCGGTTGCAAACACTGAGTTTGAAAGAGAAAGTTCAAGTGCTCCTGGTTTATTGCAAATTTTGTATGCTTACAAGACGAAAATAAATGCACTTTTCTAACACTAATTTGGGTGAACAATAAGCATTCCTCAAATTCTGATGCAAATATCAATTAAAAGTATCATTTTGCGTGGATTGTTCTTGAATGAAGAAAGGAGATTCATAGCGTGTGAATGAAGGTGACAGATTGATTGATTGATTGATTAAATTAACGTCTACACTGAGTCTATGACTATCTAAGACGGCTAGGAGCTTTGTAGGCTTCTAACAATAATACATGGGGGGTAGCTGGCCTTATTCGATCGTAGCTAATACAGGTTGGGGAGATTGAAAGCCTCAATCTTCTAATGTTTGAATGGGGGAAGTGAAAACTAATACTAGGGAACCAAGCCCGCCTTACAGATACTCTCGTATTCAAATAAGAGGAATAAAAAATGAAATTTGACATTGGGGTGATTGCCCAACTTGACCAAATTGACCAAGTTGACCAAATTGACCAAATTGACCAAATTGACCAAATTGACCAAATTGACCAAATTGACCAAATTGACCAAATTGACTAAATTGACCAAATTGACTAAATTGACCAAATTGACTAAATTGACCAAATTGGCCATAATTGATCAATTCAATCACAATCTTCCGGTCCACCCCCTTCTTCTCCGCCTTCTTCCTCTTCTTCTTCATGCATTCTATTGAGATGCCATGATCTGGTGGCTATTCTCGTCGCCTCGATAAATTCGAGGGTCTTGATGATTCCTGCTTTAGTGTGAAGCAGATATTTCATGGTAGGTCGGACTATGGGGTTATCCTTATTGAGGGTTTTCCTTGCCATTTTATATAAAGGACAACTGAGCAGAAGATGATCAGGAGATTCCTTTCCCCCACATCTACAATTGTCATTAGAGGAGATACCGAATCGTTTCAAATAAGATTTGAAATATCCGTGTCCAATTTTGAGTTGGAACAGAGCACAGATTGTGCTTCTTTTGATGTTTCCTGGAATTCTGATTTTTGAGCTGATCTTCCAGGGGTAGTTTCTTGAATATGTTGACGATGGTTGATGAAAGTTGTTAGTGTTAAGGATGGCTATCCAGTTCTCTGATTTCATTCTTTTTATATCCATTCCAATGGAGGCATAACTGGTTTCGTGAGATGAAGATGGTATTTTGGTCGCCTCTTTTGCAAGAGAATCAGCTAGCTCATTTCCTTGTACAGATGTATGTCCAGGGACCCAATTGAGAGAGATTTCGGCTCCTTTATTTTGAATAGCTTCCGCAGCTTTTATAGCTTTGATTTGGCATGATTGACCAGGTAAATCGGAGGGGGTTTTCAACCGGAATAATCCTGCTTGATTATCTGAGTATATCTTGAACTTGTTTCCTGGTTGGGCTATTGAATTTGCGTATTCGATCGCTTTAGTAACTCCTAGGAGTTCCCCATTATAGACAAGCTGATTCACACCTATATTGATAGTCTCTTGATGTGAAATTCGGCCATTTGGTAAGATAACCGCTATCCCGATCCCAATCCCTATTCCCTCTAAAGTGGATGAGGCATCGGTGTATATTGTAATAGTATTTTTGCACCTATATTTGAAAGCCAGATTGTGGATCATCGCAGCTTCTTCTTTTCCTAATTTGCTGATATTGACTTTATATGGAACTTCTTTCTTCCAAGGAGGAAAGTAGAAGTGATGGATTCCTTCTAAAGTGAGAGGATCGAAGTCTTTCTGAATTGAATTTTTGATCTTTTCGAGTTGAGTAGGTTTTAATTGCTTTCTTTGAGGGGTTGCAACTACATCTTGATTCTCCTTTTCTGTAGCCAGCTTTGTAGCTACTAAATTGACAGGATAAGAAGGCGAGATTTTCAATAATCTAAATGCGTATTGTTTGATTCCAGCATTTAGCCGTACTTCTGGAGGGCACAATGCGGCTTCTATTTCCATTGGTTTTATTGGTGAGGTTTTGAATACTCCTAGGATTTTTCGAAGGGCGAGGTTTTGCAAGGATTGAAGGATTTTCTTGAATTGGTTTTGCCCTTTCCACCATAAAATTGAACCGTAGTCAGCTATGCTGGTGACGCATGCCATATAGAGCTGTCTCATTGCCTTGGGACTAAGGCCTTTTTCAGAATTAGCAAGTCTAGCCATTCGGTAGAATGAGGTTTTAGCCTGGGTAGCTCGGATTGTGACATGTTGTTTGAAACTGAGGCCAGGGTCGAACCATATGCCTAGCCATCTGACTAGTGTTGAGGGTTGAATTATCTCCTCGTTCGGAAGCTTGATTGAGGCTGTCTTCGTATCTTTGGATGTAGAGAAGTGTATTAGTTCCGTCTTCGCTAGATCAAATTGAATAGCATTTTCTTTGCCCAGAGCATATATCTGTTTAGTTGCTCTTTCGAGGGAGATGATGTTCTTTTTCCAGGATGTTGAAAATGTTGTTAAAGCTATATCATCTATATATGAGAGATATTTGATCGAATTTGCTGAGAATAGATCTCGAATATAAATTAAGAAGAGGATTGGCGAAATAGGGCTACCTTGGGGGATCCCGGTATTGATCGGTTTGAAGGTTTCAATTTGGCCATCGAATGAGAGCTTGAGTAGCCTTTCCTTCAAAAAAGATGAGATCCAGGCGATTAGGCTGGTTGGGAGGTTTAGATTCTTGCAGATATCTAATAATTTGTTCATAGATACATGATCAAAGGCGCCTTTAACATCCAGGAAGAGAGTTGAGGTTTTCTTCTTGGATCTTGAATTTCTTTCGATTTCGGTAGTGAGTAAGATTGCTGTATCGATGGCTGATTTCTTTTGTCTTCCACCCATTTGAGAGTAATGAAGTAATTGCGTAGTCTCCGCTAAGTAGCTAAGCCTTTGAGCCAGAATTCTTTCACTTATCTTGCCAAGGCAATTTAGCAGGGCGATAACTCTATAAGCTTTTGGGGCCGAGTAGTCTGGTTTTGAAGGTTTCTTGAGAATCGCTCCAGTGGCTTGTTTCCAGCAAGAAGGATGGTAACCAAGGTTGATAAGATGACTGAAGAGGGTGAAGAATGCTTTTGGTATTGCTTTGTACGCTTGAATAATGATATCTTGAGTGATCCCATCGGGGCCAGGGGTCTTTCCTTTGATTTTTGCAGAGCACGCGTTTAGGAGTTCGCTCTCTGTAAGATCAGGCCATTCCCATTTCTTAGATTGTTTATAGCTTTCCCAATTGGGCGGTGGGGTGAATGGAGGAGGAGGAAATAGGGTCGATCTAAATGCAGAGCATTTTCCCTCGAAAGAATTTTCTAGTTTAGAGGGATTGGATCGAATATTCGGGATTCGTTCGGTTTGTATATCTTTTGTGTATGACATTGCCTTGAATATGGATTGGGTATCCTCTTTTTCAAGGAACTCATTCCAATGGTTTTTCTTTGCTGTTTTAATAGCTTGGAAGTAATGATTCCTGGCTGACTGATAGATTTTCTTGAACATATTGTCTTCCGGGTAAAGTTTGGCGTTCTCAAATGCATTAGAGAGTCGTTTTCGAAGGGCTTTCAGCTCTGGGGACCACCAGGGTTTAGCTCTTTTTGTGGACTTGATTCTCGGTATACTGGTTTCAGCCGAATAAGTGATTATTCGGGTGAATTCTTTTGCAGCTTCATCCAATACTTGTATGTATTGGCTCTTGTCGAGAAGGGAATCAAGAGAGTTGGATTCTGAGGTAGCGATATTAAGGTATTCACTCGAATTTAAGGTAGTTGATATCGATATTTTCGATTTGAGGGTATTCGCGAATTTTTCCCAATCCGCAAGTTTTGTATTGAATCTTGCTGGCTGAGCTATATTCGTTGTACGGGATAAAGTGCCCTTTACTTCAAAGAGAATGCTTAAGTGATCTGATCCAAGATCCGGGAGGACTTGCCAATCAGTGATATAGGGAGATACTGAATCTGTGGCTAAAGTAAGGTCTAAGACACTTGGATTTGTCATATTTGTTCGATAAAAGGTGCTTGTGCCTGGTTCGTTAAATAGAATGAGATTGTGATCCTCAAACCATTCGGTGAGTAGGTCGGCATTTGAGCTTTTGTTAGAGAAGGGGTCCCACCAAGGGTGATGGGAGTTGAAATCTCCTACGAGGATGGTGTGATGAGTAAGAGGGGTATTGTAAAGGCATCTTTCGATGGTGTGGCCTTTTTCTTTGGCTTGGTCCGCTTCATTGTAGATATTGATGAGTTGTATTGTATGTTTTCCTTGAGTGATATTAATGATTTGAATATCTGGATCATTAGGGGAGTTGGGAGCTAGGGCTACTAGCGGTTTGAATCCTTTTGAAATGTAGATCATAGTTCGGGGACGCAGGTTCGACAGTGATAATATTATATTTGCAAATCTATGAGTCTTTTATAATATATCCAGTGAGACTACAAATATAAGTAAGAGTAACCAATTCTTACCATGCTTTCCCAGATACAAGATGTCAGTCTCAATATCCTTTGAGAAGGTTGCCCCCAGGCAAAAACAACCTTTCTACACCTATTATCCTGTTTGCTCCCTAAGCCTACCCGGTATCTCCATTGCCAGCTGCCTTGTACCCTATTGTAGACCGATACGCGCATCCGTCCTCTCGAGCCGTATAGACAGTGTCACTGTCGCTGCCATTATACGCTACGCCCCGCGGCTTGTGCACCGTTTCGCGTTACCTTGCCGGATCTCTCCTGCACAACAAGGCCGACCGTATCTTGCAAGCTTTGCTGTGTCTTAACCCCTAGCCAGGCAACTAAAAATACAACGTTTCCAGCTCACTAACCAAAGCACAGCCTGCAAAATCCATTCCCCCAATGTATAGTTTGTAATCGATAATGCGGAGGGTTGAGAACATATCGGATATGTATCTCATAAGGTAGCTTCTGCTAGAGCTCATCCGCTGCTGTGATGTCTGCCGAATGCTTCGCAGAAGAGTGAATCTTGCTAAAAGCATCCCCCTCGTTCGAGAGTTCCTCTGCCGCCATGATACCGCTCTTGTACATTCGTAGAGCAAAGTGCCAAAAGCGTCCCTCCATCCCTAATCCACCCATACCTCCGTTGGCCTCAATAAGACTCTACCACAACCTTTATACATTCTCGATTACTCCCCTTAACCACCTGTAAACTTCCAATCCGGTATACCCGCAGATTGTACGCATTGTTGGGTTGTGAAAATTCTGCACGCTAGCGCCCCAGAGGTGTCCTGTCAATCACCGGCACAACGCTTTCCTTCTCAGGCTCTGCTCCCACACAGATTCGTAAAGGCAGTCCGCTTTGAAATGCTCCTTAAAGCAATTCTCAGGCTCTGCATCCCACTGCAGATTCGTAAAGGTGGTTCCGCTTCGAAATCCGTCGTTGTTTCGTTGATTGTCGGGTAGTTTTCATCTCCGTTCGACTGATAGTCCTCTGTTCCGGGCCAAATTCACGATACCTTCACTCCCAGTACCGCTCCTTTTTAAAGCACGACCTTTGCCCAGCTTCAGCCTGATTCAATCTTGGCTCTGTAAGAAAAATTACAGGTTCGTAGGATGCACCACGTACAGGTGTTGAATCATCGCATCCCTGAAGGTGACAGAGAAAATGTACGTCAAATGCAGACGAAGCTTTAGTCGGCCGTAAAACCGTGCTATGTTGACTGTCTATATAAGTGGGCTTGTGACATTATTTTAGTTCAGGGCGCTACTCATTGTATAATTCAGACAGTTAGGTTTATTTACAATATAGTAAGCACGCAGGTCAAAGATCGACATTTGAGATAGCTTCACTTGAGTCCTGCTTTTCATTCGAAATACGAGAGTTTGTTTCTTGGACGCAGCAGTGTAATTGATATATATATGTATCCAATATCACTTTATAAGCTGCCATACGAACTTTCGTTCCGTCTGTTGAAGCTTCACTCTGGTAGGTCACACGCACCAAACAGTAGCAAATATTCGGGTGATCTCACCCTCTATTGAAATTCAAAGTTGGAATTTTGATTCATAATAAATAGGACGAATTATCGTAGGTAGAGACGATGCTACTCATTTTGCCGTATACAACGCAACCTGACAGCCATTACCATTCTTCGCTACCAATTTCACGTCTTCAGTCCATGGCCTATCATCACGACTTTCTATCCACTCAAATTGAAGTGCCATCCTAGCAATAATGTATGAGGCCTCCCCTAGCGCTTTGTGTCGACCAGCGCAGCTACGTGGACCGTGGCTAAATGGCATAAATTCCCAGTTATTCGGAGAGATATCATTCCATCGGTCAGGATTGAATAACTCGATATCCTCACCGAACACAGATTTTTCTCGGTGCAGTCTGTAAAAGTTTGTGCTGACTCTTTCGCCAGCTGGAATAAATATCGGTGCTATACCATCGGGGCCTCCGCCGGTTGGAAGTGTGGTATTGGTAACAGCTATACGACCGTTTGCATGGAGCAGAGGGTATATGCGTAGAGCTATAATTGTTAGTTATCTATTGAATAAGAGCTCAAAAATTCTTGAGTAAAGGAAGCTTACATTCTTTAATACTATTATGAAGAAGTTTTAGATTCTTCAAATCGGCTGCAGTCCAACCCTCAAATGGCCCAAGACTTGCAACTTTCTCTCGAAGACGCGCCCATACTTCTGGATGCCGAGACAACAAGAAAATAGTATTGCTTAAGACTATTCCCGTCGTGTCTTGTGTGACTAACATACCTTGGATGATTTGCGATCGAATCTCGCCCTCGCTTTTTCCACGCAGTACTAAGTTCTCGAGGAGACTTGTAGCAGATTCCTGTGACTTTGAGACGTTTGATTTCTCCAGCGCCTCGGTAATATGATGATCCACAAATGAATGCACTACCTTGCACGATTCTTTCCACTTCCTACTTAGTAGAGAGATGCCGCATCCAAACTTTCCAAACGCTAATCGTATGCCCATCCAGCCCTGTGCAGTATTGAATGCATCTTCAAAAGTATGCATATCCACCGGAAAATCTCCTGAGTATAATGTTGCAAGACGCTTGCCAAACAAGAATTGTAGTGATAGATCCAAGAACTGTGGTTTATCAGTATATATCCAGTTTTGGTTCTGAGTCAAAACTCACCAGTTCGTTGAAAATTGGAGCCAAATCTACAGCCTCCCCATCCGATAGCAAGTGTTGTATGTACTGTTCGTAAGTCTCACTAAGGAGTTCCAGATTAACTGTATTAGCCTCGGTCAAAGTTGAAGCAAATAAAGCTCGATGACTTCGCCATTCTTCGCCATCCCTAGTAACAAAACCTCTCCCACAAAAGGGTTCCATTGCATCAGCTCTGCCTGTACCCCATTCTTTCCAATTTGTTCCATATACGGCTTTCAAATTGTCTGGATGCACAGTATAAATGGTGGTTCGCCCAAGACGTGAAGCCTGAAAGGTCTTGCCGTAGACATCATGCTGCTTTGCATGAGTCTCTAAAATCTTGTGCTGCTTGCTTATCTTAAGAGATTCCTTAAGTAGATCTAAGCCAAAGAAGGGGTCGATAGAGGGTAATTTTGGAGGTGGTTGACATTCCACAGGTATTTTTCCTCTCAGCTTACATCTTGCGTAACGAAGGTAGCAGAGAATAACTGAAAAGAGTAGTAGGACATCAATGATAGAGGATGGCATAGCTAATAGTGTTTGCTACGCATGTAGTTTGGGGATTAATTTTTGATTTAGATGGCATAGCTCGTGGCGTCTACAAGTACGGTGCATTTGCTTGTGTAACGGGGGATTACTAACTTTGGCAAATTGGCACGGGGAACAATTCAATTCACGTGCTTTTATGTCGTGTGGTGTGAAAAGGGGTAGCTCCGATTGGATATTACATTCACTGCAATGGATGGGTCAATGCGGAATAACATCCGAGAAGTGATCGAGGTACATTGTTTCAAAACTACATGGCCAAAATCTCTTGGCCGCTAAATGCCGAACCTCAATGTTGCATGGAGTTTCAATCTCGCGCTTTCATCCATCAAAATGCCATCAAATCAAAATAAATGTAATACACCTTCTGCAAGCCGTCATCTTCCACTTCTGGATCTCGGAACTCAGTCCACAGATTTGGACGTCCATGTCAATCCCTATCTGACTCAGTCTGTCCAGTTCTAAGTAGTGTTCGAGTCTTCGTAAGCTGCAACGAGGAGCCCATTCTCATCGACGCCGTTGTCAGGCCATCTGACATATTCATCGCCATCTACAATCAGTTTAGCACAATTATGCTCCATAGCTGGAAAGGGTTTTCACAAACCAGTGGCTCGGACAATGGAGGAATCTTCAAATATCAATGTTAGCGGAGTAAACTTTCAGTTGTGTTATCTATTTATCTTACCAAAATTGCCTAGAGGGGCAGCGATGGCGACAAGTCCAAGACTTAGAACCACGAGTTGGTAGAAAGTAGCTCTCATTTTGCTTTAGGTTTCTTTGGTTAAGTCGAGTCTGAAATGGGTTTGACGGAATTCCAATAGGTATATGGGTCTAGTTAACCATTTTGTAGTTCGGCAGCCCTAGGATGATCTTTATTTCCATGTTCGGGTCAGTTCCTCGGTTAATTCCCAGAGTATTGGATGATGACAAGTAGCAGAAAGCTTTGCCTTCCACATGCATAAGTGCCGAGTACCATTTATGAAGTTCTGCCCTACGAGTTTTTTGTCCTAGTTTCATCTCATTTTCCCCTTGAAAGAAGCCTTATCGGTTTCCCCATCATCTTTATCTTAAATTTGGTCGTACAAGTGTCGGACATTCATCGTTTCCGCAGGTACCTTTTACTGTTTCGTATTTAGCCGGTGACCAAAAGCAGGTTCGGTGTCGATTTTATTGGATGCTAATGTTCCTTTTCAGCTCCTGGCGTTTCGAGCATCTTCCGATGTCAATGTTCCCCTCACCGTTCGCGGAGATGTCATCGGGTGTTGAACTCTCCATAATCCTTGGCTATGTGGGCAAAGCACTAAAGCCTGCTACTACCTAAACAGTCATACGATGTACCTCATGTAACAGCCGTGATACTTCGGTGGTGTTAAATTTTGCTTGACTATGCTGAGCTGGATTAGCCAATATGTGATGTGCTTTGGTTCAAATTAAATATTTGTACAGACACTCATATCAAATTCCAGCAAATGATCCATATTTCATGATCACGACACGATGTCATCAGAATATAAACCATTTTTACTAGACGAGAAAAGATCAGAAAATGAAGAGTCTGAGAATTGGCCAGGTAATCCAAATGTATCTTGGCGATTCATTTTCTTCCATCTTTCACTTATCTCGATATATACAACAATTTTTATACTCTCCATTCATCGAACAGCCTCAAACACATCAACTTCAGTCCATCGTATGCTCTCTTGTTTTCTTCTAACAGTCGGACGTTAACTTATCTTCTATTTAGCTATATCAGACTTGAAGATTCAGTATGTTCCGGTCGCTCCTCCCGATCTTCCATCATCACCTTACGCTGGACCACCAAGTGACTCGGTAGACCAAGCATGGCATAATCTATTGAAAGATATGAACATACGGGTAACAGCTGAGGAACTAGAAAAAAGCAATCAAAAGTCCATAGCTCTACCCGAAGGTGGTGGATATATGGCTTGGATTGGAGCTCACCATCAATTGCATTGCATTGCAAGTCTTGTCTCAATCATGACTTAGAATAAACAAGCAGCTAACAATTCGATAGAAAATGCTTCGACGCTGGAACTATCGAGATCGTTACTACCCCAACATTACAGGCTCAACAATAGAACATTGGAATGTTCATGCAGGTAACTATTAGTTGCCAATCCTAATTTGAATAATGATATTTACTTGTTCATAAGATCACTGTTTCGATGTTCTACGCAGTGCAGCGATTTGTCAGGGCGATACAACACTCACAACCTTCGGATGGGAGAAATTATCAAAGCCACAACCGCACGTCAAAGCAACAGAGCATTGGTGCGTAGATTGGAATGCACTAATGGAGTCTCTCGCAGATCGTGTTGTGGGCGAAGAGGAAATGGCTGCACTTATCAATCCGAGATTGGAAGGAAGTGCATGATCGGGATAGAGCTTGGGACCGTTGCATCATGGAGATATTATATACGACAGTGTTACTGAAAAATTGACCCCCTTTAACTTCTTTTTTACGAAATTCATTAATGATCGAAAGTATATTGATATGAGTTCTTCAGCGTCTTTTCGCGAGACATGTTATCTTCGCTGAATTAATATAAACACGAATCACTATGTGTCTATGTACAGTTACATCAGCACAGAATAGGGTACCAATGGGCTCATGATCTCTTAATTCATTTTCTTCTGCATATGCTCGCAAGCCGCTGGAGTTTTGAGATTGACTTTTGACACTTGCCTTAATCACCACTTACTTAGCAATGAATGTGACTATCATAAAAATTTCTTCCTAATGCCACTATCCTGTCTAGTAATCGCACAAGTCTCAGGTATTCACGCTTTCCTCTCAAAATCCTTCCACAGGTTATTTTCAACTCCACATGATCTTCTCCCATCTCCAACTCTCACCCCTAACGGTCCAACCTCTGTCTCCCTCCAACCCACTTCTGCAATTGTTCCCAACTCGTACATATATGCTCAGTACCCCAGCCCGTTACACCCTGAAGATTCTCGTCAGCAAGAGCTCTTCCCTTGTTATCTGTCCTATTTCTCCCCAGTCGTTGAACAACGAGAATATCTACATTGACCCCAAAATTGTGAATGTGCTTTAGGGTTAAGATCAGTAGACTTACCTTCAACTCAGGATCAACTTTCTCAATACTACTATCCCCGCAACACATCAAACTCTGCCTCAAAAAATCAAGACAATGTCTCATATGGCTTCTTTGCATATGAGGCTCTAGCTCTTCCTCAACAAGTAATGTGCCTTTGGTCGCAGCGTCATTATTGAAATAATATATGTGGCGTATTCCATCCTATTTCACCATCAATCTTCCATTTTTAGACTTCAAAAGGCTAAGTAAAAGAGGGATTTCAACGCCGAGAAAACATGCGAACAGAATAGGAGAGAGAGAAAGCATCTTCCTACCAAGCAATGCAACTGATGTAGAACACTCAAAGTAGCTCTTTCTCCTTTGATATAAGGATGATTAAAAAATCCTCCATTTCCTTTCCCCAGAAATAGTTCGTCCCAGGCAGTATCTGTGGCATTGGATGGCGGGTATGAGAAACTGCGATTGTAGGAGAAAGTATGTGGTTCTTTACTAACTAAACATCGGCTATCAGTTTTGCGCAAACAGTCGGAAAATGAAGAGACGGAGAACTCACACTGAGGTCCGGAAGGGGTGAGAACGATGGAATGAGTATTTAAGATTCTTGCAAAGGCAAAACCTAGGGCAGCGGATGCGAAACATGCCGTCAGAATAAGCAGGATGTTCCATTTTGATTTTCTCTCTTCATACTTAACACCCACGTGTGTTTCCGCCTCTTCGTCAGGGCCGGTTGTGAGGGGTGTGTAAAAAGGATTTCTGGTAATGAGTGGAAACCACATGGTGCCAAGAACTTTGAACATATTTGTGCGTCACTCTACTATACAGTGAACTAAATAAAGTGTTATAATAACGCTACAGCATAGAATGATAAATGAATTCACCAAATATTTCGTGGATAATTCTTCGGTACGATTGGACTTCTCGTGGAGCGGCACGGGTCACAGCATGCACGAATACGGATATGGCGTGTTTGACTCTATGCGTGATAATTTCAGAGTAGATTGTGCTAAAGTTCCATCTGGTGCGCCAATATTTCCAGCACAAACTAGAAGAAAATCGTACGACTGCCAACCAATATCTTTATCGTCTTGGTTTCTTGGTAAGTTGTACATGTACAACTTTAGATGTGATCAGTGCATAATCATATAACCCGGCTCAATCTCTTTATCTCAATATTTTAATGGTCATTATCTTCGATAATCTTGAATACTTAATGGACTTAATATTCATTCACCATAATCAAGATCGCTCCAAGATAAAGAGGCTCCAGCCGAGCTTTTAGAAATGATACTCAAGGGATACATCATGCACCGGGGATTAATGCACCCTTAAAATCTTCAAACTCTCCGGCTCGGAAGAATGAAGGAACTAAGGTTCCGTAATCCTTTCCAGCCTGCCTAAAGTGACATCCTGTAAGCACCGTAGTAACTGGAGTCCTGAAATCCCCGACTTGGAAGACCGTCATCAGGTATCCAAGCCCAATTCTACCGTCTCTTCCATCTGCGCCTGTGGTATGAGTGGGTTCTTAAGCTATAACCAAGGCTGAGATAAATAGCCATGAAGAGTGAGATGAGGGGAAACTGTTTGCTGTGTAAATTAAATTGAAAGTTAAATGTTGAACTGTGCCATTACACGACAGATAGATGGGCAGGATAGGTCACCATGTAATTGGATTATTTACGCGAAAAATATATAGGGCGGAGATTGGTTGGCAAGGAGTAATGTGGATGTGCTTATGGTAGCACACGAAGGAACGGGGGTGATATTAGATATATTCCGGGCGTCTCCTAGCGGAGCATTAAAAGGTATGAAGTTTTTTGAAGGACAAAAGAATTTCGATAAGACAGATAGCGGGAGGATCATGAAGCTTAAGTGAACACAGTTACCATACACACTCAATGATGTAACCAAGGAGAATAAACGCCTCGAACTAGGGCCCATACTACAACCAGCAAGGACCCGTGCTAGCAACTTAGTAACACAGATATAGCCACAAATTTTAGAATCGCGTGTCTACCCGATCTACGACCAATATCTCAACGCCTCATTTCTTGGAATACACAAGAGCATGTAAAAGAAACGTGTACATCCGACTCGTTGTATTAAATTCACTGAAGAATCTTCCAGCTCAGCCGTTTCCACATTTACCCCTCACGATTCTGTAGGTACCCAGCCATGCATCTTGAGGAACGGTAAGTTCCAGTACCTAATTACTGGTATGTAGTACGACACTCATCGGCGCTCCGGCTAATGAACCGGTCTTATATGTAAAAATATCCCCACTCGAGTCCATAGGTATCATACATTTCGAACAATAGTTGAACATCTACTCCGTGATATCTCCAAAAAAATTTGCGAGGAAAACATAAGCTTCTTTTCCCCAATTATGGCGATCCCAGAAGTTGCTGTCGGCGGCGTAGTTGCAAATGTGATTCTCGCCGTCTCTGCTACTATCATCGTTTCCTTACGCTTCTACGCCCGGAAACGAAGTAAGCTGCCCTTGAAATCTGACGATTGGCTGATTCTATTCTGCTTGGTATGTTCAACCCGATGATTTTATTCTCACTGTATATCCTATTAATGACTTTTTGTGCGTTAGGTATGCTCAATCGCACTATGCGTTGAATGCATCTATGCAGCAGCGACTGGGCTCCGAGGAGTTCACTTATCGACACTAGGTTTCCCAGACATCGAACGGTTCTTTGAGATCCAATTTGCAGATACCTTGATTTGTCATTTCGTGTATGGACTTATCAAGGTGTCGGTGGTGGTGTTTTATAAACGCATTTTCACTAGTCGGATTTTCAATATCTTTGCGAACACGGTCTTGGGCATGATTTCGCTATACATGATTTTGTCTTTTTCCGTAAGTATTACTCACTGCCGTATAGAAGTAGACATGTTAACGACATATCGCATGCAGCTTTTCCTCTTCTCTGCTCACCCTGTTGCCGCTTACTGGAATACACCACCCGAATTAATCGGCACCCAATTTATTCTCGATGTCCCAAATCTCGTCATCGCTTGTGCTGCTGTGGATATCTTTCTTGATATAGCAGTTCTAAGTCTTCCTTTTCCAGTAATCAAGGGTCTACACATGCCGACCGAGAAGAAGTTCTATGTTTCTGGTGTCTTCCTTCTTGGTGCCTTGTAAGAACCCCTTCTTACGTCCATCTGCAGTCGATGTATTACCAACACTAATTTTCCATAGCTGTCTCATCTCATCTTGCATCAGACTTTACTACTCCGTGAAACTATTCGGAACAAGTACACCCGACCTCAGTAAGTTCTTCTCCCTCAGCACACCTCCACCTCCTCATCACATAAGCACAATCTAACCACCACCCAGAACTCGACGAAGAAGTTTACCTCTGGGCGCACATCGAAGCCTACGCCTCAACAATAACAGCCTGTCTCCCGTGCCTCGCACCTCTCCTTCGTGGCGGCCGCAACCTCGGCAGCATGATCGGCAGCGTACGATCTATATTCTCCATTCGCAGCAAAAACAGTTCCCTATTCCGAAAACCATCTTCTGATTCCAATTCCAACAATACACCAAGTCCGGTCTCCGAAAAAGCACCTTGGAATGAGGATGGACCGACGTCGGTTGTTACAGGCGGAGCTAAGGATTTGGAAAGCCAGAAATATCCAAAGGAGAGAATTCTGGTTGAGAAGAGCTTTGTTTCGGCTGCGGGTTCGATGGTTAATTGAGATATAGTGTTGGGTTGGTGGGTGAAATATGTAAGATTTACTTTCTGGCGTGGAATTCGGTCGGTTGCAAAGGAAGAAGGTAACATTACATTTGGACAGCTCTATCCTTTCTGTAAAGATTGTATTAAAATTAAATTTTGGCTGTCTTGACACTAATTGAAATCGCCGTGATTAATCTTTCGAAAAGTTTCGTTATAATTCTCGAATGATAAAGTCATGTCTATTTGAATGATCAATGGTTCGCAACAAACCTCGCACCCCGCAATCGAAGTTCTGTTCTAGAACCTAGCTTCAATCCCAGAGTTTTCGATCCTTTAACCTTTCCCATTGTAATTACGATACCATTGACTTCAAAAGCTGTAATGTTGAATTTCTCGGACCCAAGCGCGCGCGTGTACTGTACTGCCATCAATCCCAGCCCACCCGACCTATACCAACACGAGGCTGAGTAGACGCGAGCTCTAACATATAGATCTTGAAAAACTCTTTAGAAATTTGAATCAATCCACTCCCCGAGTTACAACTATTTCTTTCTTTTTTTGGTTCGTGTAATAGAAACTTGATCCGATCTGCCCCATTTATTACGATTTTACAACTATTAACGCCCTGCCACAGGGACACTTTCAAGATCATGGCGATCCGGAACTTAGATGTAATTCCCCGATTTCCAAAACGACGTGAAATTCAAAAATTATCAGTAAATACCACTGTCAATCTCAATGCTGTACCGGCTCAATCCCCCATTCCACTTCCCAGCTCTCCTTCCAAAATCATGGCTCTATCGGCCTATTCAAGAGATTTATCACTATGGGGAATACCGCGTTGGCCATTTGAACCGAAAATGGAACGAATACGTACGCTCGTACTAGATCGTTTGGGACTGCGAGCTGATATGCCTTGCGTCGTATCCTTTGATTCGAGAACAGCATTTAGGAAAATCTACAAGATTATTATTCATCAGAAGATAGAACTACAAGAGGGTAGAGAAGGGCAGAAAGAGAGGACATATAACTTGAGTGTTAGATATCCTTTACAAGAAAGTGACGAAACGCTGAGTGAAGTGGCCACTATGAAATTTGCAAGGAAATCGGGGGTTCCAGCCCCAAGGGTAATCGCTTGGGATGCGGACAGAAGGAATAGACTGGGATTCGAGTGGATCTTGACAAGGGGATTGGAGGGTAAATGTCTCAGGAATAAATGGGGAAATTTATCATTTGGACAAAAGGAGAAAGTGGTAAAAAGCATAGCGAAATACCAAGCAAAACTGTTTGCGACGAATTTTGACCACATTGGAAATCTTTTCGACGCGCAAGATGCGGATGATTACATCACGGACTACCGATACGGTAATTTCAATATTTCACATCAAATATCGAGAGAAGTGCGTCCCTTTGTCGGCCGATTGATATCGACAGCGTCAATTAGTGAAAAGAAATCATACTATTCTTTCCCCGACAGCAGCTCCTATTTAGAAGCTCTTTTAGTACCCATTTGGAAAGAGATATTTACGAAATTACGGACCTCGACTAATGAAGAAGAAATGATTGAAGCACAAAGCCTTCAGAAGCTTGTTGAAAAGATTCATGTTAAAATCCTTCAAATATTTCCCGAAACAACTGTATCCACAGTCCTAGTCCATGACGATTTGTCAATGAGAAACATTTTAATTGATGAAATGGGAAATGTAACTGGAATCTTGGGATGGGAAAATGCGATGGTAATGCCGACCTGGAAGGCAACCCAATTCCCGCAAATGTTGAGTGGTGAGTATACACCGCAATCAGAGAGTCTAGGTCAGGAGCATATTACTGGAAATATGGATGCAAGAATTGAAGCAGTAAGATTGAGACGTCTGTATGACGAGGATATGGCAAAGAGGGTAGTCGCTTGGAAAGAAGAAATCATACGAGGGAAAACGAAGAGGGAGCTTGAATTTGCATGCAAATTTTCCAGTATTGAGAGTTGCATAAAGGAAATTGGGAATTGGGTAGATGCACTCGAAACAAATGTACCAATAGCTCTAGTAAAACAATAACCTCAGATACGTATTGCGGCTTCAGAGAAAAGAACCGTTAGAATAACAAATCGCTCTGGAGCTTATGCTTTCTTTTCCTTTGCCATGTTCGCAGCAATCTTCATTTCTTCGTCAGGCAGCATATTGACGATCATGAGATACAACACATCCTACAACCACATGAGTATACCGGTATATGATACTACTTCTCGCCGAGGCAAATCGACTTACCTCGTGAAGCTTCCTCTTTGCCGTCCTTAAAATTCCCATCCTCTGAGGTTTGGGATTTTCATCCTTCGGCAGACCTTTTCTTTCCCGCCTTCTCTCTTTCTTGGCAGTTCGCCCTAAGTGACCACCGGACAATACTCCAATGATTCCACCTTGGTTGACTGGGTGAGATGGATCGGCCCAGCGCGATGAGGGTATTTGAGGTTCGCCGGCGTTAGTTGCCAACGTTGTCGAAGGATTTTTGTATGCCTGTTAAATAAAGTTAGACACTCTTCTCATATAATGGAATAAAACGAAAAACTATCTTGAGGAAAATGACGCAAAAACATACAAATTTTGCTGTGCTTCTCTCGTCCCTCCATTCTCCAAACCACACTCCTGCTTTCTTCATAGCATTCTCTTTTTGTTCATCACTTGCTTTTTTCCAATAATGGAAAGACTAGTTCCGCGCTTTCCGGCATCTGCGACTGCCCGATTGTTTTACCACTGGTAGATTGCAGGCCACTGCGGCCTTTGACCTCACGTGAAGCAACGAATGTGACTATCTTGGTGTTCATATCAACAGTAGATACAAGCGGTTGAGGATTCGAGGAGTGAACTGGTTTCCAAGTCATAAGCATAGCATAAAGTCTGTGTGGTTTGAAGAGTTTCTCATTCATCCCCTGGAGGTATTTGTTTTGTCTAGGGGGTAGAACTAGATTCATACCTCCCAGCTTGACGATCAATGGATCAGACAGAACGTACTCTTTAGACATATATGCCCTTTTACTAAACTCAATACTGGTATGCACTGCAAATGCAGCAGCGTGAACAATAATGCTCGGCGCTACGGCGATTCCTTCAGCCATCACACTTGCAGCCACATCCAAATTGACTACATGAAAATAGGGCGATGCCTTGATGATTTGTTAGCGATCATATTATCACTTTATGGGTCGCCAGACAAGCCGTACCTTGATAGAAGCCTCGAATCTTATCAGGAAATCGATGAAAGTCTCCTGATCAATGCCACAATCCATCAATACAGGGGCATAGGCCCTTACAAATCCTCGATGTTTAGATCCTGGTCTTCGTTCTGGAATAATTACTGGGACAGCCAACCCTTGCTTTTTGTTTCGTCGTGTTGACGAAGATGAATCAGGATGTTGTTTCGTGAAGTCTCCAAGTATTTGCTTTACACTCTCAGGTTCATCCACCACTTCCTGGTCATATAGAGACAATTCGGCTTGTGTATCGTCTCTAATCCAATCGCCTTCATCATCTTCATCGTAACTTTCGTATTCATGAGCATTGGAGATAGTTTCATCGCTATCGGAGGGATCAGCAGAAGCATCTGGGGTTTTTTCTTTCTGGTCGCTCGCTTCTATAGTCCCTTCCAGATTGGCTTTCTTATCTTTGTATGAGGCGTATGCATCGGTGCCAAATCCAATGATCCCATTAACAGCATCTCTAATGGGGCGTCTACTCATGGCTCCAGTAATATCCTGTTCAATAGCAATTTTGGTAGATGCCGGCAGTGTAATTTTTTTTGGAATAACCAAAGCCTAAAAGTCAGAATAAAGGACACAGCTACCACAGCGATTGGGAAAGTTCTCTATTTTTATACCCCGCATTCCTCGCGTTCCTATCTCTATGGTAGATTGATGGAGGCGGAGAGGAATGTACCTTTGTGGCTTCATATAGCTCGGACTTATGCAGTTTTAAGTAGCAACTCATCACATTTCAATAGAGACTGAATAGTTCCTTTTCAGTCTTCCCCTTGAGCTTGATAACAAAATTTCTACAAACAGATTCGAGTACCTCATGCAATTGAGTTGAGGTAATACATTAATCTTGCCTCTAGCCATGGGCACTTAATGGAGTAGGAAATCATTAAATCCAACATTTGCGCAGCTCTCATAAAAGCCGCATTCAAAGTTTCCCTTCGAACTCAATCGAACTGAGTTCTGCAGCAAATTGAAGAGTATACACGGGAATGTAGGTCTGAAATAACGATGGGAGCGGTGGTATAAATAGTGATACAAAGAAAATATCATGCAACTTCAAATATATGCGTCCGTGATATCTTTTCACCGCCTAATTGGTTCTGCCGTTATTTCATCCAAGCTCGACACCCACTGTTGATCCATTTATTAGATCACTTCAACTCATGGTGAGGATGACTGATTGTATCAAGTTCTTTTATCCTTCCCTTATTCGGGATCTTCTCAATTATTTGTATAATACACAGAGGGACAGGTTCCTTTTGCCGTATCCTTTTCCTGGTCAAGCATCCATTTGGCATCTATTTGGTAACGACAATCTGAACGCTGTCTGTCAGAGACTCGATATAAGTGTATGTCTTTACAATTTTCAAACTAGCTGAGTCTGCACCTACAACGTTCTCCCATTGACTTTGAGTGCGTCCCATGGTAGAGAAAGCTGTCATCATCGTAAAACCAATGTTATGGCCTAGAAATTGGTGCCTGTGTTTGGAGAACCATTTCATCAATCAAGATAGCAGAGTCTAGGCCCATTGCCTCGAGTAGATGAGTCAAAATGATCTTGCATTTTTCATTTGGCCCGTCGGGCAAAATCTGTATTGCAATGGGGTTACTCATCCTGCCTCAATTTCTTCCATACTCCCACGGGTCTCGAGCGGTTCTTGCATTAACAACCTGATTCTATTCTTTCATTTGTGAAACTACACGACAACGTGCAACTTTTTGTTAAATCTCGATTGAATGTACTGCGGCAAAGGTATCAACAAAGATAGCCAGCGATGTAGTTCTCAAACAGTTCCAGTGTCCACTCTCTAAACATGGAACTCGCATTCTCAGGGCTCCTGTACAATTCCTGACCATCGTTACTATCCCCTTCGAGGGCTCATTCTCCGATATTCTTCCATGTTTGTCAAGCCGTTGAGTAATTAACTCCACATCACATCTCCGCGTGTGCTTTTCCCTGATGGTTTCTGCTCGCTGGTCGAAATCACACGTAATATGCCTTTGTCCAATTAGTATTTGGACTCCTGGACGGCCGGTGGTTTTTCTCAAGTGGACGGACGCATTTGCCGCTGACTATAGGTTTGTATCTGAAGTACCGCTCCGCGCAGGAGACATGGTGGATGTTTGCGATACCCTGGCATAAAAACGAAATGAGCTGCAATTTATTACCTTAAATAATTGTCCCAAGCAACAGGAGATGATAGCAAAGTACTTGTACTCGGATGGTCTAACTGTGGTACACTTGCCATGTCCACTGTCTTCACATCCCTCGAAGGTGTTCAAGTACTTGAAGCCATTTTAGCATTTCATTGCCCTCAGAATCATGAAGATAAATGTAAGATTCTCACCTCCAATTTTACCCAAAATGCCCGTCTCAGACCCTTTCATTCCTTACAATTCTCCTGGGGGCTTCAGTGCCATCCCAGTGGCAATCTATACACCAACAACTGGCCCCGGTGCTTCAACCCAACTTCTTTCTCTGCCGGATTCCCGCGCCGTTTCATCTTAGCACATGAATCAGCGTGCCCAAATCCTCCTCGTCTTAATGAATGACCTCTTTTTGCTCTCCATACTCGAAACTTCCACTTAAGCAGATACCTACTCTCCTCTTAGGAATTGCCCAGATTCTTTTACCCTTTAGTTCACCCCACATTCTTCACCCACGGCACCGAAGATTATCTGATTCCGTAGGTGGCAGCTAGATCAGTAAGCATATGAAGCATGGAGGTGGCGGGTTTTGGAGGTTTTCGGAGGAGAAGGAGCATCTTCTGGAATTGGTGAGGGATCAGGATGATGGAAAAGGGAATGGGATTTTTGAGGAAGTTTGTGTGAGGAGAGTAGAGTGGGGATTAGAATAGGGATGAAAGGATGTCTTAGGGAAGTTTTTGTTGAGGCTGGTGCTCAATAGGACGGCGTCGGACGTAATAGGTTGAGCGGCCGGGGATTTTTATTCGTTTTTGACATTTATATAACTTTAATGTAAGTTTAATACTAGCCGCAGCCGTCTAGGTTTCGAATTGACTTGGCCGCTCATTTGCCTTTATTAATTGAACTAAATATCATTCTCACTTATAATGAGCAAGCGATTTTCTGAACTTCTTTGCAACCAGGGTGTTGAACTTTACGGGGTGGTTCCCTTACTCCTCAAGGTAGAGCAGGGTGGTATACCCGATCCTTAGCCCACCTCTGCTTTTTAATGTTATTGAAATCTGGTAGATAGTTACGACCGAAGCTTTTTTAACGGAAAACAAGACGGTTACAGACACCTAGAAGGTTCAAGCAGCCGTACTATAATTGAAGCGAGAAGAGTGATTAGGGAGCTATCGTTTTGTATACATAGTGATGTGCATTTGCATTTGCTATATTGCAGTTATTCTTTGAGAATTGTTCTGGAAATAATTTTCCGCCTTGGGACATTGTGTGCTGCCTTGAGGGAGAGACTGGTGGTTTATATTGATGTTACTAGTGGTGGTATAACATTCTGCAACGGAAATTGCGGATATATGTGACTTCGAGTCTGTAAAAGAGTCGGTAACAGTATTAAAATGGAACAGCTTGAGCCGCCCATCATCTAGATGTAAGATCTTACGGTGTTCTTTAGACGGGTTTCCTGCAGATGGGTCGTGATCAACTTTCCAATACTCCGAATTGCATTTCGATAGTTAGAGGCTTTTCAATGCCCAGATTCAAGTGAAACATTTATGTCATTTAAAAAGTTTATTTGATTTTTAAATGCCTAATTGTTTTGAAACATTAAAAGCTCACTAACGAGCCCGCTATGTCGTCCGGAGCATCGAATAACCTGGTTCTTATCGGGGTAGCAATGGCAATATCCCTGACATGTGAACCGGAAGTTGAACCCATTCATGAGTCGTAATTGGGGTTTATTTTCTAGAATATTAGGACTAAAAGGGCCCCTATATAGATGCAAAATCTTATTGTAAACGTGTTTTTGCCGCTAGATATATGCTGAGTGAGTGACCACGAACTTTAAATATTGAATCGGAAGATATATTTTAGGTACCGCAGTCAATTCGAGTAAAATAACGATCGCTTGTATACCTAGTGCAGGATCAACTGTCGGAAAATGAGAGAGGTCACCTGGGAGAAGAAAGGGAGCCTAAAATGCGAGCACCATGTGATACTCACGTGATTGATTATCTTCTAATGCAGCTTGGTTTTGATGAAGAATAGCCTCGACTTAACAGGTAGATCAATTCTATACGTAGGTTAGATGGGTAAGAATTGTAAGACATTTTTTACCCACATATTGCTGTTTTTCTCTTTCGATGCTGCTTTAAATAAATCAAATAGATATTGAGCTGTTCCCCTTCAAGATTTCGAATTTTGAAGTTTTTGATGATTTCAATGAAATTTCAACGAATTCATGATTTTAAAGCCTTTGAAGTTTGTGTAACCTCTTTTAATCGATTAGAGATAATCATAAATTAAATTATAAAATAGAAAATTAAAGATTTCAGAAGATTTCGAATAACTTTGATTGATTTTTACTAGAAAAATGAAAATTTACAATACTTTAATCACCTAGATTTCACTATACAAATTTTCAATCAGCGTAATGATATTATTGGTCAAAACCCTGTAAACGAGGAAGCACGGTCATTTTTTTGGTGTGTCTTACAATACTTTCCCCAGCAACCTCCGTACAACGTCCTCATGCAAAACTAGGGCGGCATCTAGCGAAGGAAGATTTAAAAATGGAATCGCATTCTAGTAATGGAAAGATTTTCAGAGATGAGAAGCAGGTACAGGACGGACATTTTGGATGGAGTTTGTTACCTTGCGTGGACACTGATAACCATTGATATCGATAGGTACAACGTTTTCAACATTTTGCCCGAATGAAGCCGCCAGAGTCCGTCGACAATTCGGATATAGTGTCCATTAGTTCAATTGATAATGTATTAAAATTTAGGCCGAAGACAACGACTATCAGTCGCCAAGACTGTGTTATCGGGGAGAGATATACCAATTCGAGTGTATTCAACCTCGACTAGATAGAGTCCAGAAAAATGCCTCATTTTTCCTATCTAACCCAGGAGAATTTGTAAACATGATATCAGTATCGACATTATGGAGTAGTCCCCCAGCAGTCCAAAATGCGGAGCGTTATCTGTCTATACACGCCAGCCAGCCTGGTATCAATGCTCGAGCTCACACCTGGGGACAAGCGGAAATTCTAAATACTCCAGATAGGAACGGATCCATTCACGATTGGGGAAAGTGAACGATAATGATTAAATTTCCTAGATACCAAAATAGATTGGGTCTCATGAAATACTGGATGTGGTATCTATCATAGAACGGTGTGGCTAAAATGTTTGGAAATTCCAAAGCTGTGAACATTCGATGCGAGGAATCCCCGAAGACTTTATTTTGTTATGATGATTATAAAACGTCCTTCTTTTACTCCCCTCTCGTTCTGATCCACAACCGGACTACCTAATTTAGTAATTCGGGTCGTGACACAAATAACTCCGCATATAGGTATCCACGATACTGGAGTAAAATAGTAATGCCAACCTTAGAACGGTGTGCTCCAGTATGAACAACTATTAGGGTGGATATAATTTTGCAATTTCCAAGACGCGATGATGAGAGACAAGACTCGGAAGAAGTATGAGAGAAGAGTTTCCCAAATGCGAGATCAGCATTTGTGAGAAGAAAGAAACAAGGGAGGAAAAGTTAATAACGGCGAAAATTCCCAAATTCGTTTGTTTGTCCTAATATCTAGGTAATTATTAGTGTATTATTACAATAGTAAAATTAACCTCGTAATTGCAATAATATAGATAATTGAAAACTCGATTAATTGATACAAAAAGGTAGCCGGACAAATCAAATCCGAGTTGAGCGGAAAAAAAATACTTAAGTAACCAATAAAACACATCTTTGGACCGTTGAAAGGCTCCAATTATGGATCCCACCGCAATCCCACTGTATGTTACTCCATAAATCTTATCAATGGGGTTACCCAGGTTCACCCCACCGTCTGAAAGGCAATTGAATTTCCCAAAGATTGTGTTGTGTCTGTTTCCTACGAAAATTTCTATCGTTCCTTTCCCTCGGCCTCGGACGATATCATCTAGTGTAAACGAGAACTCATTTCTATCCCGCCTCTAAGCTATTCATTAGCTTCACTTTAAGAGAAGAAGAATGCCAGTTTATTCTCCCAAATCTGCTTGGTATAAGTTATCCGTCGTTTATGATGTACAAGGGCAGTCCTACACGGCACCACCGAGATTTGTCCATTTCAGCCTATCTTTACACTTTCACTCTACTTACCATGTCTATTCCTCATGCAAGATGATGCATTTGTCTCCATGTATTCCCACTCTGATACTAACCCCATCTCCATGCCCACTCGCGCTTACTTACTTTCTTACCTTGTAAAATCCTGGCAATTACTGGTACATTGAGCCTTTCCCACCAGACTGTAACCTGCGCTCGCCAGTAAGAAGTAAGGTCGATAAGGCAATCATATCAATCTTTTCCCACTGTTACGTAAATGGAAGGGTTTAAGTCGTTTGCTAACTCTCGCGCCTGTTTTGAACTAAAGATTTTTGAGCTTTGCCAAGACCAATTAATTCTGCTATCCATGGTCAAGTAGGTATTTGGAACGGCAAACGCTCTATATTTTTTTGCTGCTGATGTTATATATCTGGAGACTTTTCCATCCTTTTTTGATCTTTCTCCAGATTTTGGTATTCATTCGTTGTTCGAATTGGGACGGATCGGACTTGATAGACATAAAAATATCAGACGTATATACGATAGACCACAACGATCAACATGGCGGACTACAATACTTCCTCTGGTGGGATGGTCGACCATAATGCCAATCAAGGACAATTACATCGAAGAAACGTTGTCGGTATGGAAGAAGGACCTGATGCTGATGCACAACTCGCCGCTCAGTTTGGATATCAGCCTGTTTTCAAAAGAGAATTTGGATACCTCTCGACTTTCTCCTTCGCCGTCTCTATCAGTGGATTGTTTGCTACTATCATGACCACTTTCTCCTACCCAATAATGTCTGGTGGATCTGCTGCGGCCGTGTGGTGTTGGGCAATATCTGGTGCTGGTTGCATGTGTATCGCTGTGAGTTCAATGACAGCTACAATGTTTTGACCATTTTACTAATTCCATATTAGCTTTCTGTTGCTGAGCTGGTCTCTGCGTATCCTACATCCGGCGGTTTATACTTTACAATTTCACGACTTGTACCGCAAGGTTGGGTGCCATCTATCAGTTGGGTTACTGGTTGGTTGAATCTTCTTGGACAGGTCGCTGGTGTTGCCTCATCTCAATATGGTGCATCTCAAATGCTGCTAGCAGCTGTTTCGATCGGAAAAGATTTCAACTACACAATTGATGCAAATACAACAGTTGGTGTCATGGCAGGTCTTATGGTTCTTACTGGCTTGGTCAATTCTTTATCTACCTACTGGATGGAAAAGATGACAAAGAGCTACGTTATTTTCCATGTTCTTGTTTTGGTATCGTGCTGCATTGCTCTTCTGGTCAAAACCCCGAACAAACATAATGCCACCTATGTATTTACCGATGTTGATTCAACCTCCGGCTGGACCCCTGTAGGATGGAGTTTCTTGTTCGGTTTCCTTTCCGTTTCCTGGACCATGACCGATTATGATGCTACGGCGCACATTACCGAAGAGTAAGTACTCCGACTTTTTTTGAACCATTTGGGCTAATAAATCCATTAGAATTTCCGAGCCAGAGAAAAAGGCACCCTGGGCTATCTCCATGGCTATGCTTTTCACCTACATCGCTGGATTCCTCTTCAACATCGTACTTTGTTTCTGCATGGGTGACCCAGCCGAGATTCTTGGCACAAGTATTGGTCAACCAGTCGCTCAACTTTTCTATAACAGTCTTGGAAAAGCAGGAGGTATTTTCTACACCGTTTGCGGGTTCATTATTCTTGAATTCGTATGCTTTACTGCTATGGTATGTGATGAATTCTTTCTTGCTGTCTCTTGCAAAAATGGGCTGACAATCAATCTAGCAATCATTGGCGCGAACAGTCTTCGCTTTCTCTCGTGATAAGCTTGTGCCATTTTCCAAAGTCTGGACAAAAATCTTACCCATTACTGGAACGCCAATCGCAGCTGTCTGGATCTCTGTTGCCCTGTGCATTGCTATCAACCTTATCGGCCTTGGTTCCTACACTGCCATTTCTGGAGTCTTCAACGTTTGCGCCATCGCTTTAGACTGGAGTTATTGCATTCCAATTGCCTGTAAACTCATGTTTGGCAAGTTCGAGCCAGGCCCATGGCATATGGGCAAATTTAGTACTGCCGTAAATGCATGGGCTTGTATCTGGACTGTGTTTGTCAGTATCATCTTCATTCTCCCGACGGAGCGACCAGTGACTGCCCTCAACATGAACTACGCCATCGCCTTCCTAGGACTAATCCTAGGATTCTCTACCATTTACTGGTATGTTTCCGGCAAGAAGTTCTACACCGGTCCTGTCATCGAGGCCGCCGACGGAGACTCCCTCAGGAATTCGTCAGACCGTGGCTCGAGGCAGGAGAAGGTGGAGAACGGAAATAAATCATAAACCTGAGGTTTGGGTTATGATGATTTTAAGATCATGATTGATATGATAATTTGCGACGTATCTGCCATTGCGACCTTTTTGATAAGGGGGAAAAGGGATTATTAGAGCCATCGCGACTTGACGTGTTGATACGCGTAGGAGGATTTTGTTTTTTTATTGAGATACCACTTCATTTCCCATTGCGACCATACCTATTGCGCCTTATAAAAGCTATTACGCCTTTAATAAACAAAAATACAATACAAGAAGAAAGCAAATATGCAAAATAGCCCCAGGCGCAACAAGACTCCGGACTGATGGTGGGAGAGATTTTTTGCTTACATTTCGAGGTCACGTGAAGATAAAACTTATGCACTCGATAAGATTAGCCGAGGTTCAGATTTTTGCCCCTTCATCGATCGAATAATTAGCGATTTCTCCAAGGAGGAAATTTTACGATGGAATTAACATCGTCCAATATGTATCAAATGAAGGAGTTCAAATACATGGCGCGAAGTAGCGACTCAAGGTTAGAAAGGAACCATGTTTCTTTATCAAACAAGGTTAATCCGAGAATCAATGGTAGATCACGCCACTGATGTTCCCCAATATCTGACGAGTCAAGATATTGTTTTGGCTTCTTTGCTATGACTCTGCGAGTCGGATGGAATAGGATGTTATTGATGGGTAATTGGTACGAGTAACTCGCAACTGTTGATGTGGATATTTTATATATGGAGTACTATTTTGAGAGGAGACTCGAGAGGAGAGGAGGGGAGTGGAGTGGAGTATATATAGAGTAGTGGAGCAGAGCTAGCAGAATTACGACTTATGTGCATTAAGTTTTGGGGAAATTTTGTGCAGGCAGTGGATGGGTGATAAATGGATGGGTGGTGGGAGAGGGGTGAGGGGCTTTTTGAGATTGTGACTTTTTGGTAGGGTAGGGTAGTATTGAGTTGGTAGTTTGGAGATCGGTGGTGGGAGTTTAGAGGTGAAGTGGTTGGTGGTCCTGTGGCTTCGTTTCATGGTGGGAGAGGAAAGGAAATGCCTGTAGATGGATGTGAAGTGAATTACAATTGGGAGATGAATGAATATTTGTAAATGGTTGCGGCACCTTGGGATTGAGGAATGGAAATGGATGTGATGTATTATGCATGTATGCTGGTGATAATGAATGCGAGGTTTGTGCATCTAGATCAATCAATTCCTCGGTATTCACGTGCATTGAATTTAATCCCAACTACGAGCGTTGGACTTTCAACGGGACATCTCTAGATGATTCAAAAACCATAGTGTGGAAAGTCCTCATATTTAGCAGAATATTATGCATACTCTTCTATACAACACAAAACCTCACTTATTATGCCAATGGGCTTCTGGGAACACGCCGTGTCCCGGCAGCGTATTTGGTCCAATTCCCATTTTGCTCGTTGATAGTCCACAATTAAAATTTTCATTCAACGAAAAAGAAAAAAAAAATAAGAAAATTATTTCAAAAAATATTGTTCATGTAAAAATCCTAGCAAAACTTCATGGTTTGTGCAAAACGAGATTTGATGAGCGCACAGAATCGGTTATTGAAGGTATAGGATTATATAACTGATTCTTCCTTGAATCTTTCCAACCTGTTTGAACCTCTTCCTGATATATGCACATCGCATGAGATTTTCGGAGGCGATATTCGGAAATTTTATAATGGACCCCTAACCTACCTATGCGGTTCCGCTTGCCGATGATGTATCAATATGTCAATTTTTGCTGGAAATGTGTATTAAAACAATCAGTAATTATTGTATTTAAAACTGATGCGAAGATGGAAATATATATATCCCTATGGCGTATTCGAGCTTTGTGTATTAAAATTCAAATAGTTTTTGTACTTTTGGTCACTCGAAAAGAAAAGTTGTCAATTTTTCTCGAGATCCGCTAGTTACTTGTGCTAGTCGGGTTTAGCCAAGTGTATTCGGTAAGCAGCCAGCTGCAAAAATTTTCATTTTCAGCAATGTCAGGCATATAATAAAACAGCAGCTCACAGGGCAGGGGCCGCCCCTTCCTGGAAGCAAATTATCAATGGAATTGATCAGGGTCGATCGGCTTGACAGAGTAGTATTATGTCGGGTTTGGAGGGCTACCAGTCAGAAAGGCAGGTCTTATCTGGAAAGATGGATTTTAATCGAATGGTGGCCAGATGCTAGGACGGATGAGCTATTTCACTAGCTCGCATAAACTTCTTTGGTTGTGACGAAATTTTGTTATATGCTGACTCTTTCCTTCTGGTATCAATGTTTCTCGAATGCAATCTTTCTTGTTAAAATTTTTCGACTGTTTATTGTACATTGCGTTTGAATTCACTTAATATTTAGGACGGTGTTAGAGTTGGTAGACGGAAGTACTGGAAAAAAATTCACGGGTCAGAGAGTGAAGACTTTCACCGAATTGTCTGTTACTGTAACCTTTCGACGTAGTTTGAAATCGTCGAGGTTCTCAGTTTCAGTTTTTCCTGTTGAGTCACTGCATCCAAGGAGTCCACGGTACGGCACGAATAGCTGCAGGAAGAAGGGTATTCGGTGAGAGGAAAAGAAACGCACCTTGGAAGTTGGAGGAAGTCATTACGTTTGGAAACGTCGAAAAATTCGTGCACGCACTTTTTTCGCCAACATGGATCCACATTCGCAGATGGATACGATTAAGGCGGTAAATAAGGCCTCGGGTGATGAGAAGAATGATTCGTCTTCTGGTCATTCGTCGCAGGATCCGGAGAAGGCTATACAGGTGGGCACTGGGCCGGAACTGCAGAGGAGGTTGAAGAGTAGACATTTACAGATGATTGCTATTGGTTCGTTACTCTTATGGGTCACCACACCTTCACGTTACTCACTACTCATCACGAGATGGATGATGAAGGTTTTTGGGATGAACTTGAAATACTAATACTGTGTACTAGGGGGAACGATCGGTACAGGTCTTTTCATAGGGTCCGGATCAGCCATTGCTGAATCCGGGCCAGCAGGAGCTCTCATCGCATACGCCTTCGTCGGTACCCTCGTCTACAGTGTCATGATGTCTTTGGGAGAGATGGCAACCTTTATTCCCATTCCCGGAGCATTTACTTTATACGCAGCACGATTCATCGATCCTTCGCTTGGATTCGCTATGGGATGGATTTATTGGTTCTCATGGGCCATTACCTACGCTCTCGAACTCACAGCCACAGGTCTCATTATCCAATACTGGGCCCCTCAACTCAACATTGGCATCTTCATTTCCGTTTTTTGGGTCGTCATCACCGCTGTCAATTTTCTACCCGTCAGTTTTTACGGTGAAATTGAATTTTGGTTCTCACTCATCAAGGTTGTTACCGTACTCGGTTTCCTCATTTTCGGTATCTGCATCGATGCCGGAGCTGGTCAACAGGGCTATCTTGGATTCCACACCTGGGGCAATCCAGGTGCATTCGCACCCTATCTTATCAATCCCGAAAACCCCGTCTCCAAATTTGTAGGATTTTGGGCTGTACTCATCCAAGCCGGATTTTCCTACCAGGGAACCGAACTCGTTGGAATTGCGGCTGGAGAAACTGAAAACCCCAAAAAGAACGTCCCAGCCGCTATCCGCAAGACATTTTTCCGAATCTTGTTTTTCTTCATCGGAACAATCTTCTTCATTGGTTTATTAGTCCCATACGATAACCCGCAATTATTATCCGGAAGTTCCGATGCAACAGCCAGTCCTTTCGTTATTGCCGCAAAACTAGCTGGTATTAAGACATTACCTGGACTCATCAACGCTGTGCTTCTCTTCGTCGTTCTCAGCGCCGCAAATTCCAACGTCTATTCCGGTTCACGTATCCTCGTCGGTCTCGCAGAGGGAAATTGCGCCCCAAAACTCTTCTTGAAGACCACCAAAGCCGGAGTTCCCTACTACGCTGTCGCTTTTACCGCCGCATTCGGTCTCCTTGCTTATATGAATGAGAGTGCTGGGGGCGGAACCGCATTCGAATGGCTCCAGAATATAACTGCCGTTGCGGGATTCATTACTTGGGCATGTATTTGCGGATGTCATATTGCATTTATGAAAGCGCTCAAAGCTCGCGGAGTCAGTCGAGATCGTTTACCATACAAAGCGCTTTGGCAACCATGGTTCGCATGGTACGGATTAGGGTTCACCGTGCTTATTATCTTTACCCAGGGATTTACAGCTTGGATTCCACATTTCCAGGTTAAAGAGTTCTTTGTGGCGTACATTAGTTTGATACTTTTTGCGGTGGCTTATCTGGGTCATAAGATTGTTTGCAAGACGAAGTTTGTGAGTAGTTTGGAGGCGGATTTGGATACAGGGTGCGTGGGATTTGAGGAAGAGGGGGCTATTGATTGGGAGGAGGAGGAGCATAGGACGTTTAAGGAGAGGTTCGTTAGTTTCTTCTGCTAGGAGAGCATGGATGGAATGAATGGTTTGAGATTGGGAGATCGGATGGAGGTAGAGGGGGGTATTTGAATTCCCCCTTCTGGAATTCCTTCGATGATTGAACGGTGCCAGGCCTTTTATTCTTTCCGCTTTTCTGATGAAGTTATGATGGAGCTTTTTCTTTTGAATGATGGTCCTATGATACCGATTTATGAGGGCGTAATGGATGGCTTTTGAGGGAAATGAAGTTAAGGATTAGATGAAAGGTTAATGAGTGGAGATATTTAGATGTTTAGGTAGAAAAAATGAATTCCTTACTCTAAATTTGTGGATTTGTAGTAGATTGAGATGAATTATGTGGTGATTTATGTATTAATGGTTGTATTGTATTGAATTGAACAGTAGTGAGTTTTGAGAAGAGTTAGAGTAATCGGAAGAGGAATGGTGTGGAGAGGCTGGGATAGAGTGATGGAGTTCAAACCTAATTATATAGGGTAGGAAGAGGAGCAATAGGTTCTAATCATATAAAGGAGCATAAGATCGAGTTAGAGTTAGAGAGAACATCTATTGCACGTATATGATAAATTGATGGCTCTTCACACAAATGGAAGACGTTCTCTTGGCTTAAAAGGAATCTGATGTATACCTCTCTCCTACGATCATGATTACTGTCGTCTGGACTCTACTGAGCCTTCCCTCATTGCCTGAAAATACCCTCAACGACACTCGCACATGTACTCGAACCTCGGACATAATTTCACCATTCCATCCTCATGATTTACCATGTCAAGGCCATCCACGTCTGATGGAGAAGAAACGTCCATTTGATACTTTACTTCTACAAAAAACTGCCATCTATTCTTAAAATTTCACCGCATGCCTAAGAAAAAGGAAGAGATGTAAATATCTAGATATCCTGCATATCATCTGAGGCTTACGGATAGATAGCCTGCTTGGAGAATATCAACAGGTTCCAATCTCATTCTGGAAAGCAATTACCTCGCTACTCTTGCTAGTTTGTTTGAATGGCTATATACAAATTCCTCTTTTGAACTATCCGAGGAGGTTGAGCAGTGTGTTGAAAGACACAATCCCATCGATACGATAGGTTATTAGGTAAGGTCATCTCTTCAAGCTATAGAAACTCCTAGTCATTAGAATTCAACCTCTATCTGAATATTTAAATATTCACTACCTCTACATTTTTCTTGTACATCTGAATATTTAATTATTTCCGTTGTAAAATCCTCTGTCACTTGAGGTAGTGAGATATCATTGAGCTTCACGGTATGAATTCTCACATCTCATTATTCAACTCACTGATCACGTGTCGTCAGCCAATCAATCGCTATCTCAAACATTTTGTTGCACATCTGTAAAAACATTGTCTATTTAGGTGATAAATTGTAGTAGACTTTTTTGGTGGTAAGAGAGTGCGCGTAGTGTTGTCTCTGAGCAATGT